TGAACAAATCCTGCAAATCTATCTTGAATGAGAAATATGAACACATCCTGTACTCCTGCACAGACTTCCCCCCTTCCCCGATTTGGCATTGTCCCATTATCTGTTCTGAGGTTTACAAACCAGAACTATGCATTAAAACAAAGTAAATAGTCCAAATTCTGATACATAAATGGACAAGTAATTTGGCACCAATCTATAACTGGAACAGTTAAGTGCATGTTTGGAATGGTTCAATGGTCAATCTTTCGCAAAAGTTAATCTTTCCAGTAATTTTGCTGGCAAGTATGCAATTAACTTGACGTTCAACTGTGTGGCTGATCCACATTGTTTGGTTCAGTGTGTCTGATATTCAGCAAGTTTAACTTGGTCTTTGTTGGCTGCAGTAACTGGTGGCTGGTATTTTATCTAGGAGCACGGAAACATTTGAGTGGAATTTTCTGTTTATTTAGGAATATGTGAGGCAAAAATTCTATTCATTGTTCCCAAGGGAGCAGATCCCAATGCATGTCTGTGAATCTGTCAAGAGTTTGCCTGCTTCCTACCTGCAGAATATGAGAATGATAAATGGGGTTGAAAGAAGCAGAAACAGCTAACACTGTAAATTTGATATCTATTCTGCAGAAAATTGATATGAAAAAATAATAAAATACTAAAAGTCAGATGACCTTTGTGATTGCATTTTTTTGTGCTTCTTACAATGCAATACTGCAAAAAGTTATAACACAAAAATTATAACTACATAACTTGCATCCGCTATTCAATCTGAACCGTCTAGTGATTTGTTTCAAAATGTATTATACAACAATGAAAAACTGGCACATCCAATCTCCAGAAAGGCTGATTTGTATCCAATTGCATGATGAGCCCATAGATCTTTCTTGTAAAATCTGACTTCCCTCAGAGATTGAACTCTGATTAAGTATTTCTACAAAAAGAATATGGTTTTAAAATATGACCACTGCACATCAAATTCCAATCAAATGTGGGCTACTGGGCAGTATTCTGAGCAGCCTTTATCTTCCTGAACTTTTTCATTTAAAAGCTACAGAAAATGGACTATAAATTAGAATTAAATTCTACAATTTGCAAACTTTGCAAAGCTTCATTAATTGAGTAAATCTAGACCCAGCTGGAATTACTGGGTGGAAACCCCAGTTGATTTCAAGTGCACTTTTGTATCTGATCCAGTGTTGTAATGCATGAACCTACCATACTACAGGAAATATGAAAATCTATCTATTTTCTAGTTATAATAATAATAATCTTTGCATTTGATATAGCGCTTTTCACGTCGGGAGGACGTCTCTATTATTAGGCGTGTGGAGTAAGGAAACTTGCCCAAGGTTTCGCCCTGCCTGGAATTGAACTTAGGTCTCTCGCTTGCAAAGCGAGTGCTCTAACCACTGTACTAGTTGTAATGGTCCTGCAGCACTATTTGAGAAGAGGAGGGAGTTTCTCGTGGGGTGTTGGCCAACAATCCTCCAGATAAAATTGATCATTCACTTCTTACCTGTTGTGGGACATGTCTTTGCACAAATTTGCTGCTGTTACACTTATACTTCACAGAAACTCCGCAAAGCTTTTTGAGACATTCTTGACCTAATAAAGCACTCTATCAACTGCAAGGATTCTAATTATTCAGGAGAGCTGGTATGAGAAATGGTTCAGAAGTGTACTCATGCTTTACTCCCCCTCCAACTTCTCCTCTCCTGAATTTCCATTCCTGAACAATCACGTTCTTCACTTAGATAAGCACAAAACACCCTGCCACACCTCAGCCTTTTTTGGTATTGTTCTCTACGTTCCTTTCTCACTATCTGTTGTTTCCTGCCTGAGTGTGAGCAGAGGACACTTAAGTCCATGGCCTTCATCACCGCTGCTCTATAAACTTATCACGTTAGCAAGTGGGCAAGACCTGTTATGACTGATGTCAAAATCGATTTGGAACCTATTCTGGAACGATAGTCAAATCAACCGAAGCATCTTTTTCATCCTAACTGCTAATTTGTGTGGGAGGCAGCCAAAATGTAGACACACAGCTGGTGCACATTGTTTTTAATACTGTTCAAAGTAATCTCAATCATTAAAGGATCAAAGCAGAAGAGATCATGCCTCTTGGACTTGGGGCAGTCGGCAGAGGGATGTGTTCGGGAGTGTGGGAGGCCACTCTGTTTTGAAGCTATTGAAACATAAGGCAAAATGCACTTTTTTGTTGTTTTAGGTTGTTCTGACAAAAACTGTGGTAAAAGATAAGGATGTATTTTAGATCCTACAAAGTACTTTAGCCATCTGCTGCTGGTCCAAGCCAAATGCATAAAAATAGCGAGAATCTTAATGCGAAATGTTGCAATGGAATCGCTGAAGATTGGATTAAAAAAAAGTCTCTCATTTCTGTTGGTTACACTACCAGCACCTGCCATCACAGCTAGTTGCTGTAGTTTGTTCGGTTCAAAACTCCTAGAAACATTTGAGACATTGAAAGAAATTGACACATTATGTCATCTCGACAATGACAACTGGAATCTCCGGAAAATGTAGCACAGTCTGATTCATATTGAGCATTTATAATAATAATCCTTAATTTTTATATAAAGCCTTTCATGTTGGGAGACGTCTCAAAGTGCTTCACATGACATACCTGTATAGGAGAGTGACTGTATAACATGTAAGTGAACACTATTTAGTGAAGAGTTAGTGGTTGTCAACAATGATCTGATAACACAGAACTAGGAGTGGTGGCGGTGTTTATTCAACATTGTAACGCTTCCATTTTTATGGACTAAACACCATACATCAGGTCACCTGTTAGGAAAGAAGTTTTGAAAACAAATCTCTAGAAGCTGCTCATTTCTTTTTCTGTGTAAAACATAACAAATGCAAGTCAAGTATTTTCAGAAAATATTTAATTGGTTACGTTCCTGAACTCCCATGTTTCCATATATGAAACAACTTATTTTCCCATCCATTGCTCAACACTGACCCCGGGTATTAAACTCCACCCCAAAGTTTGGCACCATGTTCCACCTGACGTTTTCAGCTTTGTTCTTTCCAATCCCGATCCTGGCCTTTTCTGTGGAGAGCCACAGCTTAACTTAACTCAGTTGTTATCAAACACTGGCTCAGGTTGAGGCTAAGAATCTCTGGTTAAAAGGGAATCCCAGATTGTGTTGAAAGTTCCTGAGAACTGGCTTCAGACACGGCCATTACACTTCACTTTAAGAGTGGATGGGAAAATGTGAGACTTTTTAACGGATTCTCGCTAGAGAATTGTTGAATCTGTTATGAATCATCTAATTTTTCAACCTGTGGAGTGTAGAAAAGAAGCAGCCTGCTTCTGGCGTTTCTCAGAAGAGGCATGTGCGATAGACTCTCATTAGATATGTGAACAGCGAGTTTTTAAAGACACCCAGGTGACAGCCTCTCTTGAGGTGCACAATATTAGTTCCTGTTGCAGTGATGGATTAATGTACTATAAACACTATAAAATTGTACTTAGAGATCACACAACACAAAACACCACTGATTTCAAGTTTGCAGTTTGTTATAAGTTAAGGATGAGTGACATGGCCTTTCATGTGGTCTCTTTTGATTTTTATGCCATTTTCTTCAAATGATTTTCTTTGTTGCTCAAATTAGTCTCTTTTCTGCAACTGCACTTTGTTCACATTAACGATTGAGTCTTGTCTTCAAAACGACTTGTTAAGAATCAGTCAGCTACCTTGGGTTCTAATCAACGTTAACACCTTCCTTTTGGCCGGGATTGCTTTTGTTTGCTTCTTTGAACATTCGAATGCTGATTGATGATGACATTGCTGGGGTTAAGACTCATGGAATTAATGGGAAGTTAATTAGCTACATTGGAAACCTGCTAGGCGTGAGAATGAGAAAGTGAGGATAAATGGAGCGAGTCCTGTCCAGGGGAAAATGACTTACAGAGCTCTCCAAGAGTGTTCACACTGCAGTAGACCCTCATTAGAATGTACTTCAGTATAACAGGAATTTGCTTATGGTGCTATTGGGGTGTGACTGTGTCATATGTAAATGAACACCATTTAGTGAAGAGTCAATGGTTGTCCAACATTTACTTATCCAAAATCTGCACAGAAAGCAAGCTGACTAGCTTCAAAACATTGGTTAGCTTTTCATCGTCTTGCAGGTTATGAGGTCACCACCAATATCACTTCCTGCACACTAGGGTTAAATGACCTGATTATCCAGGAAGTCAGCCATTTTTTAGTGGACAAAAAGCTAGCTGATGTTTTGAAATGAACTGGCTTTCTGCTCATAGGTGCAGTGAATGCGAAAGCACTGATCAGCGATCGGGCCCAATTATAATTCTGGCTGGGATATTATGGAGCCCCTCACCCACCAACTATCCCATTGTAACAGGGCTCTACTGTATTTACAAAAAGTTATGAATGATGATATTCCTTATCCAATAGCCTATACGATGCCAAGTGTTCTGGTGCTAAGTCTGAGGAACCTGGATTATTTTAAAGCTTTAAAATGCCAGATATGTCGAACTGAAGCTGAAGGCATTCCCCTTAATTACCACATTGCTCATCCAATAACTCCCTGCAGTGCATGCCCAAGTTTGTAATGTTTGGGGTGAATCTTGTACCTGATGGAACCAGGAAGAGAAGTTAGGTATGCAGGTATTGGCCTTTGCTCTCTCCCTATCTTCTCATCTTGTGTTTTAGATTGCGAAATACTGGCATATCTGAGGCTGGTTTACATAGTTTAGGAAACACCTACATTTTGTTACAAATTAGTCTTGGATGTTTTGGACAATGCTTCAAAATGCTGATTGAATACAGCATGAGAGAATATTTAAAACAAATGTTTAATTGCAGTTTTGAAAAGAGCAGGATATTGTGATGGCAATGGCTCCTGTGATAGGAACTAAAAATCACCACAAGCCAGTCAGGACTACAGGACTGGCAACGATTTCATAATATGGACTTCTCAGAAAATGACATCCTCTTTCTTCTCTTCCACAGAATAATACAGGTTGGAAGCCAGACTCCTGCCAAGATTGCAGCTGCCACAGTGATATTGTTCTGTGCAGGGTTATGCAATGTCAGAACCCCCAGTGTGACTTACAGAAGGTAATTGTGTAGTTAAATATGATCAGTGCATTTTAACATGAATGGGCTAAACTTTCATGCTTTGATTGTGCAGAAAGACCATCGGTGTTTGTGTTCGGTGTTTGTGCCTTTAACTTTACACCAACCTTTCCCTCCAATTTTCATTCCTCCTCTTAGCCTAAAGCTATGTTTGACTCCTTTTCCTTTCTACTGTGAGACAATACTGTGTGCCCTGCAGTAATTGCCAAGTAGTCATTTTGCTTGTTACCTGAAGAAATGCCTGCAGGGCTTATATTAACTGGTTTAAGGTAATTTCCTCCTCAACACCGCCCTTACAGATTGCATCCCATGTCAGGACAGGAGAGAGAGAGGTTAATTTTTATGAGGCAGAGCAAAGCTGCCAAATAAACAGAAACAGTGCCCTGATGTGGAGCAAAGCATAATGTACCATTGCTCCCACACTGTCGGACTTGAAAGAACAGAGGTCAGCCCTTCCTGTGTGCTGCTGTAGACAATAAATAGTTGGCAATGTCATTGTGACTTTTACTCATGAATGAAAAGACTATGTTATGGCTTGATTTCAAATGTCAGGGCTAGGGTGGTACATGTGAGGGGGAGTGGGAGCGAAAGAGGATGAAAGGGGGGCGTAGGTTTATTCTGATGATTCCTGCATTCTGGAGTTTCTAATCACAAAGATGCTGCTGGTTGTTCGGATAGAGCAGATCCCCACTTCTCCCCATGGAAGAGGAGATGGAGTCAGTCCCAAAGAATTCCTCATGCGACTTTCAAATGGCCGGCTTCAGTGGCAAAGGTACGGGGGGAGCAGTTCCCCCACCCTTTGTGCTGATGGCTATCTTGGTGAGAAGAAGGAGATAGCAATGCAAAGAATTATTAATTAACCATAGAAATTTACAGCACAGAATAGGGCCATTTGGCTCATCATGTCTGTGCTAGCTCTTTTAAAGACAGTTCTTTTACATCCCTCTTCCTCTTGATCTATTCCCTGTCAGCTTTCTCATTTAATGTTTTGAAAGTTTGACCATTAGATATTTCTTAGGAAGAAATCTGTCAAGAAATACCATCAATTAGATTGTACGGAGTGAAAACTGTTGCATGTGATCACTGATACTATTAATCATACACTGGACATTCCACTCCTGGAAACATCTCTGACAACTCTTAAAGCTGAGTTAATCTCCGAACCAGCACTGATTTTCTGGGATTCACAAAGCAGCCTCAAGAGCTGAAGAGATCTTTGGGTGAAACCATCAGAATGAAGTTGGGGGTGAAGGGAGAATTTCTCCATGGCGGGGGCTCTAGGAACAGAATATCCCACAGTCCAACCATCTCACCAGTGATCACATTAGTGTTGTTGGATATTTTATAATTGTTTTCTTCTTGCTGTTGTAGGGAGAGGTCTTCAGAATAAATCCAAACAAGTGCTGCCCTGAGTGTGCCCCGCGGACACATCAAGCCTGTGATTTTGAAGGACAGATCCATGGGGTAGGTGGCCTGGCTTTTCCCCCATGTATTTGTGGTATATTAAATTCCATGGGAGCTGCAGAGAATTTCAAAGTGTACCACAAGACATTGTATGCCACTGTTACCGCCCTCCTTTCACTCAGAGCACTGTAAACACTGTAACCACATAAATCATTTCATTTGCTGGAATAAATCATACATGGCATTTCAAATAGGATTACAAATTAACTTGCATTGTTCCTTTTTAAAGCCTTTTTTGTTCTTCTTTTATTATCCGCTGTGGGTTAGAGTAGAAGTGATGTACAGTAATACTGGAGCTGTAGATTGAGTGTTAAAACGTGGAGTCCCTGTGGAGTGGTTAGAGAACTCACCTCGCAAGTGAGAGAGACCTGGGTTCCATTCCCGGCAGGACGAAACCTTGGGCAAGTTTCCTTACTCCACATGCCTGATAATAATCCTTCAAGAAGAAAAACAATAATAAATTGGTCACTTGAATCCACAACTGTTTCTGGCACACTGCTGTGCGCAATTGGTTGCCACGTTTTTCCCACAAATATAGTCAATTCACTTCACAGTATATTCTGTGAAGCGCTTTGAGATGGTTAGAAGATGCGAAAAGCACTATATCAAATGCAAGGATATTATTATTATTAAAACAATTCACTTAGAATTAATTAATTCCATTGACTGAAACATTCACTTCTCAGCAATTTATTTGATTATTTAACTGCTGAAAAGACGTAGATTTCAGTTTGTCAATTGAAAAGATCACAAGAGACGTTTGGGCAAAGAAAGCCTTTCAGCCCATTTGATCTCATTGTTTTGGAATGAATTAATATTAAAGTTTAATATTTCCACCACTTCTACAATTTCCTATAACTTTTCACTTGTGTTCCTGGCACTGACTTGTAGGAAGGATCTGGTTGAACTTGCTGAATGTATATAAATAAAAACCTTCCAAACTCTAAAGGTGTCAAATTATTACGAAAGGATTAAAAGGCAGCAATAATTTAAGATTATTATTTAAATATCTAAGATTATCTCTCACCTCTCCCTGTCTCGGTGTCAAGTTCCGTCAGTGTTAAGCACTCTATGTGAAGGGCGCTATATAAATGCAAGTTGTTGGTGCTATCATTCAATCATTTTCAACAATTATTTTAATTATTTGGTGTCCAGCCAACAGCGCAAAGTGTTTTGAGACATCTTCCCGATGTGAGAGTTTCTACATAAATGTAAATTGTAACTTATCGCATTATCGTGAGAAACAGTTGGATGGGAGGATGGATTTTCTGGTGGGGTGAGATCAAATGGGCTGAAAGGCTTTCTTCGCCTGAAGGTCTCTTGTGATCCTTTCAATTGACAAACTGAAATCTACACCTTTTCAACAGTTAAAGAATCAAATAAATTGCTGACAAGCAAATGTTTCAGTCAATGGGTGTCAGTCACTCTGTGGAATACTTGGATATTAGTTAAGAAAAAGCTTTTCACAGCAAACATCCCTGTAGGTGCAGATCTTGACTGAGCGAGATTGCCAATTTATGGAACAAAATTCCTCCTGAGTCAAGATCTGCTCTCTTTCCTTAGTATTTAAGAGTGTCCAGAATTTGGTAACTTTCTCTAGTACAGTCATAATTTTTTGGCCAGTCTTCTATAAGTTAAGATTGAATTCAACAATTTGTAAAACTCTGCTCACTCTGAAATGCTAAGAAAACAGAGTAAATCTGGACCCAGGTGGAATCTTTATCGAACAGTGTCTGGTGCTCAGATTCTGCTTATTTCCTTGTTCCGTTTTCATACAGGACCCATCTTACGCCCGTACTGTGGCCTAGCCTCAAAAAACATTTGTAAGGAAACTCCTGTTCGAAAGAGTTCCTGCCTTCTACTTTAACAGAAGTAGAAATAGTTTAACAAACAATAAGTCAGCCGCACAAAACTGAGTGAAGTTGATGCTGACACAATGACAAGCTAAAGGTCCTTGTTGTGAGGCAGTACATATAAATATAAAGGATTTTTTTGTTATAAAGTTTGCAATTCATCATCTGACAACACCCACACCAGGAAAGTAATTGGGTGGAAATAGTGATGATAAATGTTCTGACTATATTTTTTGTTTATTGCTTTTCTATTTTGCTCTTGCAGCTGGATATATTGGGCAGTGCCCAATACGTTCTTACTTGTCATACGCCTGCTGACTTTATGTTGAAGAGTTGCTCCCAGTGCGATGATGCTTTGCAGGGCACTATGTTTATTATGTTTAGTGCAGTTCAATAGTTTGGTTGATAGTGCAATTTCCCATTATAATTGCACACTGAGGTCAAATATGCAACAATTTCCAATGGAATTGATTTATTCCTTTCCAAACCACTGAACCAGTGCACAAACTTAGTGTTCATTTCAACTCCCTCACATCTGGTCCCTAACCAAGACCGCTTTTTGTTATCTTCACTGCATCTCACACCCAATGTGGCCGAAACCTTCATTCTCCTCTGTGCATAAAGCAAGAAGTGATGTTGGCGATGACTTCATGACCTGGAAGTCAGAAATGTTTGCGAAAAACTGGTCAGTGTGTGGGATGTGAGTGTGCCTGCTCCACCTATGGGCAGTGAGTGGGGTCCACAATGCAATTGCGTTATAACAGAATGAGGACTATAAACAAAAAGTGTTTTAATGAGGCTGCACTGTATTACTATTTAAGATATATTGTCCTTTCTCTGTTTTTTTCCCCCGAAGTGTAATAATGTGCTGCCCATTTCTCTCTATTGAATTACATCATTTAGTATGTGCTTACTAGCCTGCCCTGCACATCTTCCTATATTCTTCTTCACAGTTTGGCATGCCTCTGAATTTACTGTTATCCATGCATTTAGAAATAAGTATGTGTTTATGTGCAAACCATTTGTCTGTATAGTATACTTCATTTGAAAAGTAACTGGCTCCTGCATTATTTCCATCTGCAGCATGACACCGAGTGGATGGGTTCAGAGTGTACAGTGTGCTCCTGCACCAACACCAAAGCCATGTGTGGCCCAAAGTACTGCCCTCCAATTACCTGTGATATAGGAGAAACCACCTACACGCCGAAGGGAGACTGCTGTTCAAAATGCGTGCAGACTGGAAGTAGGAAGTCAATTTTTTTTTGGTCTTGTGGATTAAACGTCATGCTTTGCTTCTCCCCCACCCCTCCATCTTTTACATAATTTCTCCTTATGATTTAGTAATTAGATGGGAAGAAACGTGAATGTATAAAAGACTGATATAAAGTATTGAAGCAATACAGACCTTAGAATCCACCAGCATGCATTTTATTTCAGAATTCTAATACCGGGGTGAAAATGTGCTGTGTTCATTTACACATTGGTCCATCTCTTAATCAAAATTGTGATGTGTGATGTTAAATAATACATTGTTCAAAATGTGGCCAGTTTATGTTTATCACCTCACTGTGGCTGTAAACTTCTCCCTCCCCCCAATTCTCACACAAATTTTGGGTCCAAAGATCATTTGCTGCCCACTGGCCCACCAATTCATCAGCCTGCTTCAGTTTGTACCACTCTTGCCTCTCGAGTCAGAAGGTTTTGGGTTCAAGCCTCTTGTGGAATCCTGTAGCTCAGTGGTTAGAGCACTCGCTTTGCAAGTGAGAGACCCGAGTTCAATTCCAGGCAGAGGGCGAAACCTTGGGCAAGTTTCCTTACTCCACACGTTTAATAATAATCCCTCCAAAAAAACAAAACAATAATAAATTGGTCATTTTCAATCCATGACTGTTTGGGGGACATTGCTGTGCGCAATTGGCTGCCGCGTTCGCCCACAAATATACAGTCAATTCACTTTACAGTGTATTCTGTGAAGCGCTTTGGGACGTCTAGAAGACATGAAAAGCGCTATATCAAATGCAAGGATTATTATTATTATTATGTTGAGACTTTGAGCTTACAGTCAAGGCTGACAAACCAGTACAGTGCTGGGGGAGCGCTAACTGTCGGAGATGTCATCTTTCGGACAAGTTGTTTAATCCGAGGCACCACCTGTCTGTTCAGGTGGATATTAAAAGTCCCATAACACTACAAAGAGAAGGGAGTTTCTCCTGGCCAGCAATCCTCCAGATTAAAAATGTGATCATTCACTACATGACTGTTTGTGCAACATTGCTGTGCCTGAATTGGCTGCTGATTTGACCTACAGATACACAGTCACAGAAAAGTTTGGTGAAGTGCTTGGAGACATTTTGATGTGATTAGGCATTGTGGCAAGGATTATTATTACTATTATTCGAGTGCTGGTCAGCTGGATATTAGTTCAATCGAAGAAATAAATTAGAGTTCACCCGTAGTCCAATGCCTCAGTCCATGGGCTGGCAGTGTAATAGGCGGCATTTGTGACTTTGGTACCTGAACATCATGATGGAGAGTGGAGTTGATGTTGTACACAAATTCATGAATTAAGGCATAGACTGGTTATGTTTTCATTACTACATCAGAGAACCCGCTGTTCACTCCATTAAATCATGCCGATTAGATGGGAATTTATTGTACACGCACTGTGACCGTGCAGGTGTGCCTCATCAAAGTTAAGAGACCGAAACACATTCTACTTGTTATTTTTGTAGGTGGATCGTAGATTTATATCAATTGTCTTTATCTACAGCATCCTGCTTCTTTGAGGGAGAAATGTACAGGGATGGAGAGGAGTGGAAGCTAACTGGATGTTCAAAATGTGTCTGCAGTAATGGTAATGTACAGTGCTACATCGCTGAGTGCGAGGCTCTACACTGTGAGGAGGTGAGTGATTACATGCATTGTTCCTTTTACCACACCTAGAATTGCCTATCCAGATTTACACCTGCTCCACTGGCTCTCTAAGATTAAATCAGATGCAAATTGTTTTGCATAATTAATAACCTACTTGTGCATTTGAAATTGGCTTTGGTTGCAAAATGTTAAAGCTAGAAGTGAACAAAAGGGAGAGAATAGCCACAGAGAGGATAATAAAGACAAATAGAGAATGACCATCAATAAAATTGAAATACAGGACACGACTATTATGTTGAACGTATGTATGAGATAGATTGAAAAGCTGTTGTGTGATGGAATACAATTGTTCCATAAGATAGCACGGTCTTCAAATTTGGGCAATAGGTTGAGGTGAACAAAAATATATGAAGTATTCAGCTTTACTGAATATTTGAAGGATGAAACAGACTTTCAAACAGTCTGAACATACAGGTATTAGAATATTGCCAGGAATGTGCAGTCCAGGAGTCAGCTGCACTTTATAATAATAATAATCCTTATGTTTGATAAAGCGCTTTTCACAAGGGAGGATGTCTAACCAGTTAATGCCTTATAGCTTGTCATTGACAACAGGAAAGGTGGGAGAGGCCAGAACATTAGACTCAGTTACAAAGCAGCTTAATGGTGTGATGGGTGGAAGGTAGTAGGTTGGGTGCTCTGGAGGAATGAGATTGAATGGGCCGAAGAGTCTCCTATATCCAAATTGATCTTGTGAAAATGCAATCCATATGAAAGCTTCATTTTTCTAAATTGATAGTCCCAGAAGTGAGAGCAGGGAAAACTCTTAATCAGAGTTGGCTTTTCTGATGTAGCATAATTGACCTGATACTTGAAACATAAGTGCACAAAGGTAGACTCAATTTTCAGCTTCTCAGGACAAGGGAGATTTATTGTGGGACACATGAATTCACTGACACTTGAAGAAATTGTATTGCCTTACATTCAAGTATGCAAAACACAAGTACTGCAGAATACATATCTTTTTCAAGGCAGGATAATTTTCATTGATTAATGTAATCGACTAAAAAATGCCATGAGCTAAAATTAACCTTTGTTAAGCTGTATGAATGATAGCAAGCATTCTCTTTCAATCTCGTCCCAAATGGTGCTCTTTAATATTCCTTATGGCCTTTAGGGTTATGTTGGGAATTAAAATACATTGACATTGAAGAGGTTGTTTTTTTGAATAATGGGAAGTGACCCCCTTTGTGATTGTGTCAAACCTGCGGGTATCAGGACATCATCTGATTTACAGTGTTCTGTATTGTATGAAACTTACAGGAAATGTTTTATAAATGTACTTTCTCCTCATTCAGCATTCACTCAGCATCCCTTCTCCACATGAAGGAGCATAAAAGCAAAATTGCTGTCAGACTTAATGAAATTGTTGCATTTCTTCATTTCCCAACACTTCCTTGTAAATGGCTTTAACCTTTTCGGGAATCTTCACTGGAACAGATGTTGAAAATTTTACTCCAAAATAATATCATTTAGTCTATGATAGTCACAATCCACTTTACTGTGTATGCTACGTGTATTGTAGGGCTGTGCTGTGCGATGCCAGAAACTCTGCATTCTGAGCAACAATACCAACGTGCTTTTATACAATTCCCTATAATATGTCTGAGGGTTGGACACTGAGTAAGGGAGAGGGAGGTGACCAAAGGTACAATTTAATAGGTGGGTTTTAATACGGGATTTAATAACAGATAATAATAATAATCCTTGCAGTTGATATAGTGCTTTTCACGTCTTCTAGACGTCTCAAAGCGCTTCACAGAATATAAAGTGAATTGACTGTATATTTGTGGGCGAAACCGGCAGCCAATTGTGCACAGCAGTGTGCACAAACAGTCGTGGATTGAAGTGACCGATTTATTATTTTTTTTCTTGAGGGATTAATATCAGGCGTGTGGAGTAAGGAAACTTGCCCAACATTTCGCCCTGCCGGGAATCAAACCCAAGTCTCTCGCTTGTGAGGCGAATGCTCTAACCACTGAGCTACAGGACTCACAAGATAGAGAAGAGTCGAGGCGGAGAGGTAGAGGGAGGGAATTCCAGAGATTAGGGGCATAGTAATTGAAGGCTTGGCCACCCATCGTGGGGAGTTGAAGAACCTTGAATTCATTCCATTGGAAGACAGGGCACTAATGGAGTCTGGCTAGGACTGGGGCGATGGGTGTGCAGAATTTGGTGTAGATGAGCATGGGGGTGGTGTTTTCTGGATAGTTGGAGCTTCTGGAAGGCGGAACTGGGGAGATTGGTGAGGATTGCATTCGAAAAATCTAATAAATGAGTGAATGTTGGTTTTGGTGTGAGAGGAGCAGAGCACATATAACAGAAGACTTGTCTTTCAGGAAGTCAGGCAAGCCATAGCTAAATGGCAAATGATCACTGGCTTGTGGTTAACTGGTAGCAAGATTTACAGTTTTCTTTGGAGCTGGGATTCTTTGCCACACACAGAGAAATCCAGCACCCTGTTAAAAGTCTCGTACCCAAACACTACAATAATTTTTAATTATTTCTGTAACTGGGCATTTTTTTATTTTGACGTTGTCTTAACAGATTTTGTTGGATTTAGAACTTTTGGGATTTAGTGTTAGGGTGTTCACAGAATGACAACTTCTTTCCTCATGTCTGTACGGCTCACTTACAGGTTACTTCTGATGTTTACTAGTAGGGTAGCTGTTATGAACAGCCATGAAGTGAGAGGATAGAATGCTAGACTCCAATTCTGAGGCTTGAAATAGAACACAGTCTTTACTGTCAAAGCAACGTGAATCTCTTCAATGACCACGATTTCCACTTCTCAGTCAGCCTTCCACTTGATAAGTTTTGAGGTATTATTATTAATATTATCAATAATAATACTTATATTTGATACAGCACTTTTCAAGTCAAGACGCCGATTCAAAGACCTTCACTATAAAGTGCAGTGACTGTGTATTTTGTTGGCAAATAAAATAAAGGTTCAGCCAAAGGGATAAAAAGAGAAACAAATTGAAGGAGAGATGTTCAGCTACTGAAAGAAATGCTTCCAGGAGAGACCCATGCAATGAACTCTTCACCTCAGTTGCCTTTTGAAATACAAATTATAAAATGGCTACAAATAAGAACCTGTAATTTTGTGAAACTATTGATACAGAGAAAGCCAGATTGAATGGACCTGGTTCTTTGTGTTTCTAAACACAGCAATTAGAAAGTCACAAAAGCTTAATTTCATCTTTAAAAGGTCAATTAGCTGTGACCATGGAAAGACTGGAACTGTCATTTCACATAGAGCAGAGTATTCATTTCAGGTTGGGAATGAAACGTCACTGTTTGATTGTTCTCTATCAGCACCACAGTTGAAGTTGGAATTTTTCTTTAGTAACTTAACGATATTTGTATAGCAAATAAATAATCATCTGCCTGGATGTTGTTGACTGATCAGTTATTTCTTCCTGCCGCACAGCACTTGCATGGAATAAATCCAATCTTGGACAATTGTTCCTTTCGCTGTGGTTGACAGCAAGAAACATGAGTGTTGGGGGTTGGGAAGAGAACCCACACTACAAATGTATGTATGCCAGGACGGGTGGTTGAGGCGAGAATACTGAATTCATTTAAAAAGCAGCTTGATGTTGTGATGGGAGTCTGGGTGGTCTGGAGGGATGAAATCAGAGTGGCCAAAGGGCCTTCTTCATCTGAACCAATCTTGTGATTTGCCCATGTGCAGTTGTTGTGCTAATGCTGATTGTGAGGGTGGGGCTGGTCTCTATTGGCAGAGAGCTTCAGCAGGATATAGTTCACTTTTAAATTGTCTTAGACAATACAAGACTCACATCGTTCCCATTCACAGGTGACCCATCTTCTAGTCACTGCACGCTGACTCCCTGGTTTTGTCTTACCCTACACCTGTCTCTGAGATGTGTTATGTGGAGTCCTGTAGCTCAGTGGTTAGAGCACTTACTTTGCAAGCGAGAGACCTGAGTTCAATTCCAGGCAGGGCGAAACCTTGGGCAAGTTTCCTTACTCCACACAGAGCCTAATAATAATCCCTCCAAAAAAGCAAAAACAATAATAAATTGGTCATTTTCAATCTACAACTGTTTGTGGGACATTGCTGTGCGCAATTGGCTGCCGCGTTCATCCACAAATATACAGTCAATTCACTTTACAGTGTGTTCTGTGAAGCGCTTTGGGACGTCCTCCCGACGTGAAAAGCGCTATATCAAATGCAAGGATTATTATTATTATGTGATGAATTCTGAACCTCAGATGATGATCTTCTTGCAAACTGAGGGAGCAAATAATCCAAAGGTGAAAAACAATTCATATTCATACGAACGCATGAGCCAGAGGTGGCCCTTCCCTCAGTTGATTCAGCCTGGGGGTTGGAGATAATAAACCTAAAGGAAGGCATTAGAAGCAAGGGTAACAACTCAAAGAGTAAATTTGAACCCACTGCAGCACAATGAGGTCAAACTGACACATGTTCCCAACACCACCCACACTCGTGTTACCACCCCTTCAAATTCCGATGCTTCTGAAAATTCCTGTCCTTTTTCATTCAAAGTGTAAGTGCTAGCAAACAGAAATCCTATAAGCCGAGTCCAAGGATTCATTTTTATCTTTAATTTTATCTTTAGGGTGAAAATGCGGCAATGCTGCCTGGAAAGTGCTGCCCTGAATGTCGACCAAAATCCTGTACGCTGACAGAGGAGGAGTATGAGGTAACCTTGAGGCGACTAAGAGACCTCATTTTTATGAGTTAATTGAGATCTATTTGTCAACTGCACACAGGGTTCCAGTTCTGACAACACAATAGGCTAATCTTTGATTACAGGACCATTGCTTTCTGTTAAAGTGGCTCATTTTAGAAACCTGAATGTACATAGGTTGCAAGTGACAATTTGCGTAACGTTCCTGATAAGCCATATTTACCTAAAGATGGAGATAAGGATTTAGCTGCTTCGAAGTCCCGACAAGGATAATGACAGCTGAGGGTTTCGGGATGAGGTTAGCTGTTGCAAAGCTTTTGTCCCTTTGATGGTTTTGTTTTTCCGAGATTGCGGTTAAACTCTGAATGTGTTTTGTGTTTTGCGACTGGTTGTTTGGGTGGAACAGGAAGGTCTCATTTTTCTCTGGAGGGAAGTCAGGTTGCATGGGCCCACCCACTGGTCCCGCATAGTCAAGCTCATTACCTCCTGCAAAGGCCCTCAATAATACTTGGAATTTGTCTGAAGCTATGCTCACCTGAGCATGACTTCTTGTGTGATTGTTATCATTTTAATAGTTGAGATCACCTTGGAATTACAATCTGATTTTATACTCTACCCACAGCAAACCATGCGAATGACTGGACTAGGTTTTAACCCTCGCATTCTGGTTTTTCAAACAGATTTCTGCATTCTGCTAGAAGTTACAATACAAATAATAATTACTGCCTTTGATGTAGTGCTCTTATCACCTCACAGAATCTCAAAGTTGCTTCCTACAGTTTCCTGTCAAGTGTAGTGACTGCGTTTGTAGGCGAAGGTGGCAGTCCCACAAACAGCCAAGAAGTTAATTATAATTTTTTTTATTCGTGGGATTATTGGCAAGACCCTGAGACAAACTCCATGGGACAAACAGTGCCATAGGATTTTCAATGTCCACCCCAGACAGACAGGCAGGAGTTTTAATGTTTCAGCTGAAGGATGGCACCTTTGACAGTGCACCATTGGAGGTATATGGAGTGTCAGCCTAGACAATGAGCTTCAAGTCTTAACGTGGGGCTTGTACTTACAACCGTCTGACTCAGAGGCAAGAGTGCTGCCAGATGAACCAGGATGACATGATAGGCTCTATTACTAATTCTGTTATTTTATTAATTATTGCTTAAGATGCTTAAGATCTACTTCAGTCACGAGCCACTTCAGAGTTGTGTTATGATTTACATAAAGGAGCACACCTTTAGAATTTTCAGCTTGCAAGACAAAACACTTGACATTTAAACAGGCCAGTTGTAAGAATAATAGTAGCTTGTGAACATCAGTTTCAGAGATTTGACCAAGGCTAGTTCTGATTGTTATACAGAATTATTTCACACATTGTTGTATTTGGCATGCATTCAAAGTAATGTCGAGCTCGGGCTAGGTTTGTGTTACCAGAGCCTCAGAATTATATGGATAAGAATACAATAAATTTAGTGCATCCTTTGTAATTGTACTTTGATGTGTTAAGCTGTAATTTGGGACAGCCCTGCATTGGTGGTGTTATGCGTGAAGCTGAGCTTCATCAGGGTTTGCTTCTTGGTTTGAAAAGTCTCTTTGTTCCCTCAGCACGGTAAACAATGGCAGGAGAACGCCTGCAGCACCTGTATTTGTGACAGAGGCGAAATCCGGTGCCATTCCCAGACATGCCCACAGCTCACCTGTGAGAAGGTAAATGAAACAAAGGAAAGCACAAAGTCATAATAATAACCCTTGCATTTGATATAGTGCCTTATTATGGCTTCGAGACGTCTCCGTTATCGGGAATAAGGAAAATATTCTACGTATGCCTAGGACTTAAGGGTCCAGGACACTTAATATTTTCCATATCATGCAGATGAACGCATTGTTATTCCACAACAATTCCACAACATTTACTGCACCATTCAAGAATTTGTACAACTTGTTGAATAATTTTTACAGGATCATTCACTACTATGGAGGTAGATTAGTGCCCAGCAATGTTAAGTGATGTATTCTTATACAGGAGATGCTCTTGATAGAGGTCTTGGGTCCAAATAAAGAGTGTAACCATTGGGATTTCCCTCTACAAAGTTCACACTCTTTATTCGAACCACGACCTACATCGGGAAGCACCAAGCCATTTGCTTTGTGTTTTCCCAGGACTGTTTCCCTAGTGCACATTGTGAATATTAAAGACTGGAATCAGTGCACTGATGACTCAGGTTGGATAAGGAACAGAAATACAATTATTAATAATAAAATAATCCTTGCATTTGATATAGCGCTTTTCACGTCGGGAGGACGTCCCAAAGCGCTTCACAGAACACACTGTAAAGTGAATTGACTGTATATTTGTGGGCGAACGCGGCAGCCAATTGCGCACAGCAATGTCCCACAAACAGTCGTAGATTGAAAATGACCAATTTATTATTGTTTTTTGTTTTGGAGGGATTATTATTAGGCTCTGTGTGGAGTAAGGAAACTTGCCCAAGGTTTCGCCCTGCCTGGAATTGAACTCAGGTCTCTCGCTTGCAAAGTGAGTGCTCTAACCACTGAGCTACAGGACTCCACAACTTGTCTTAATTAGCACAAGGAATGCTTTAAAGAATCCTGCAAATTTTGCTTTAAACTTTAAGACATTAAAGCTCAGTGGGAAAATGGTTTCTTGGCCATGCCACAGGCCCACCTACCTACATTAATATACTGCCTGTGGCTGTTGTAGTAACAGTCACCCTAAACACATGGCCAGAGAAACTCCCAGGTGGAGAAACTATTTCCACTAGCGGGTGGGTCGGTAACCTGAGGACACAGATTTAAAATAGTTGTTAAAAGAGAATAGAGGGGAGGTGAGGAGACATTTTTTCATAGAGCGAGTTGTTCGAATCTGGAATGCATTGGCTGAAAGGGTGGTGGAAGCCGATTCGATAACAACCTTTAAGAGAGAAATAGATAGATATTTGGGAGGACTAATTTGCGGGGCTATGGGGAAAAAGTGGAGGAGTGGGATTAATTTGGATAGCTCATTTCACAGAGCCGGCACAGACATGATGGGACGAATGACCCCTTCTGTGCTTGTATGATTCTTGAGAAGGGGACAGGAACCATCGATTGGCCTTCTGTTAACATGACTCCTTCCCCATTGAAGAAACGAGTGGCAGGGAGTGAAACAAGACAAGTTAGCCCATGAAATAATCCTTCCTGCTGTATATTCACTCTTCCCACATGACATCTATTACACATTGCATAATTTTTCTATTTTCATAATTTTTGTCACTTATCTATAAGTTCAATGACATGTTCAGAGACCTAACAACCTATTTGACATCATCCTTCCAGGATACCCACACTACCATTTTCCCATCACAGCATCAAAGCTGCTTATTAAATCAGTCCAGTGTCCCAGCCTCATCCATTGATACGACCTGTTCCGGTCGTTAATTACCCTCTGTCCTAAAATTGCCCTTTGCAATCCTGTACCTGCGCCCTTTCGTTTTGTTGCCAAATCAGCTAGACTGTATCCTTTATAAAGATATACTAGACAACAGACAAAATCATAATATTCACTCCTCTTTCACTTTTAATGGTCACTTACTGGAGGTAAATTCCCTCACCCCTGTACACATACATAGATACAGTAGAATTGATATCACCTCCACTAGGAAGTGCTTTGACCCTGTACACAACTCCAACTATTTCAAAGTTACTTTTTTTTATTGTGTTTCTACCTCTGCCTCCCCTTGTCACAGAGACAGCCCCCACCCCTCGCGGGCTGCTTTGCACAAAGAGAGAGAGAGATATAGTCCACCTCTGGGCAGCCTTCCACAGCCTGCTGGCTTTCAGCCTTGAGATAGGCAGGTGTTGAGGCTGTAGCCATTTAATCAGAAGCTGACCTCAACCGGTTAAGCGAAGCTACTTTTAACCCCTGCTGAGCTAGTCATTAAATCAAACACACCTTATTAAAGGATTATGGGTAGGTTACATTCTAAACGTATATAAAGATTAATTAAAAGCCTTAAAAGCATTAAACCCTCACAAATATAATCTAACACAAAAACATGTTTGGAAAGCACCCACAGCTGGATTTATAAGCCTGAAGTGGATGTTCTCAGGTATTTTGTGTAGTATCAAATACTGATCATTGAAGATGCTTTCTGTTCACTGATAACTTTTCTTTCATGGAAAAAAATCACCATTCACACATTTGGCACTGAGGAATTTAAGGCACCGAAGGCAAGAGCTGTCACCACAAGCGCAGAAAATTGGTTAAAACAGGTTGACAGTTTTTCTCAAATTGAAGCATCTCAGGCCCATTGGTGGGTAGAGCAGAAAGACTGTACCCTATGTGCTACATCTCCCCTTGATGCTTGATGCTCTTCCTGAGTTCTCCAAATGGGAAAGTGCTCCCTTGCACTAATTATTAATCTACATTTGGTGTAGAGCCTTTCACATTGGGAGGACGTACCAACGCTCTTCACAGGATATCCAGTAGTGATTGTGTGTTTAGGAGGCAAATGCAGCAGCCAATTTGTGCACAGAGACGTCCAACAAACAGCCATGAACAACAATAACTTGCATCTATACAGCCCCCTTCACGTGAGGAGGGTCTTGGAGCACTTAACACTGGTCCAATTTTATTTTGGGGGTTGTGGCCAGGGCACTAAGAGAAACTCCTTTCTCTTTTCGAGTAGTACTGTAGAATTTTCAACATCCACCTGAGCAGGCAAAACGGGGACTCAATTTAACCTTTCATCTGAAGGACAGCATCTTTAACAATGCAGCACACCCACAGTACTGGATTGGAGTGCCAGCTTGACTAGATGCCCACACGCCAACATGAGGTTTGGAGCCACAACCTTCTGACTCAGACGTGCGAATGCTACCGACTGAGCCAGGCTGACTCACATTATCACTGATACCTCTTGCTAAATTCAAAACCACCATTATGAAAGCTTGAAACTGCACAAATGGAAGATTTTAGAATTCTATTTGCTTATTATTATGTTTAAGCATGTATCCATGCCACAAGTGCTTTGTTACTGCATGTGGAATATAATTACTACGGTCTTTAAATGGTAAATGCCAGATGATAGTTTGGTGTCTGGAATGTGCTGATGATAACAATTTTATACATTTATTTATGGTTTGCAAATGCAGGGACTTTCTAATTACGTACAGAGTGGCAGCTGTAAAGTTAATGTAACGCTGCTGCATAAATATAACCATGAATCATGAGACAAATATTTTCGACAGAATGTTTCACCAAATAGTCATGTAAAAATCTCCAGTCGCCATGGGAACACCAAGCCACAATCCATAATGGTTATAGGTGAAAATCATTACCTGCCTCTCGCCTGTAAACCAAATTACCTGTAAACAATTAACACACAAGCTATTTGGTCCACTTAGCCCAGCAGTGGTTAAGGCAGGCTTAAACTGTGTCGTTTTTTTGACTCCATCTGTCAGATTCTCTGAGCAGCTGGGGCGGTGTTTGTTCCTGTCCGTCATAGATAACAGCACTTTCCTCCATGTTTGGATGCTAGGGGTGTGCGTGAAGGAGTGTGAGAAAGAGAGAGAGATGCTGTGGGGGTGGGAGGTGAAGAGAGAGGGGGAAGGAGAGGCTGCATTCCCCATTTGATATCTTTTGGCATCAAACCATCATTGTGCACAAAGATGCAAGGTAATGTTATAAACTAGCTCAGTTGTAACGATATAGTTAACACAGTAAATCAGTCCAAACAATTTTAGGGAACAAAAGTAACATTGGATCTCTCTTACAGGTGAGGCTGCAATTTTAAAATTTTATTTATAAAAATATCCCTCGACAGCAGAATTCAAACCCCAGTCCCAGGGGCGTAGTCAGTTCCTCAGTCACTATTGCAGGATTTTTACATTCAAAAAATACTATATTTTTTTAACCTTGTAATCTGGAGGAAAAGAGGCAGTTGGAGAGACTCTTTCAGGTCTTGGTAGAAGCTCAAACCCTTGAGGATCCTCTGACAGTAAGTTACTTTGAAGTGTAGTGATGGTTATGTGGGTAAATTCGTAGCTAATGTGCACAAGTAATGTTTGGCAAATTGCAATTCTTTGTAAGGGGGAAAACAGTTGGAATCGGAAGGAATGTCGTGCGGGACACTGGGAGAATTCCTTGTTTTTCAAAGTAGTGGCATGGGATCACTAACATCACCATCACAAAGCACCACCAGTACAGGCTCCTATGAATATAACACAAGTACATTGATTTTCATAGGGGCAGCAGCAAGTCCAACGACCTGGTCAATGCTGTGAGGAATGCGTGTCCAGGAAAGGGAAGTGTCCATACCAAGGTGTGGTGAGGTATCACGGGGAGATGTGGAATGCGAGTTCCTGCGAGTTTTGCATGTGCGAAAGGGAACAGGTGGTTTGTCAGCGTGCAGAATGCACCAGGGTGGAGTGCTTGTGGGTAAGGAAGCATTTTTTTTCTGTGTTCTCGAAAAATGATCGTCTGGCCTTGCAGCAATTGGTGAAAGAACTATTTATTCTATAAATCAGAGTGGACTAGAAGGAATAGTCAGGAATTCAGGTCATTTATTCAAAAATATCTGCACATCATGGCATAAAGCATTCCTGCCATTGGTTGTAATCCTGGAACATTTAAAATAGAAGGCTGATGCTGATAATGTCAGTTAGTACAGCGCCTTCTAACTTAAATCAAACAAAATGCAATTGCTTTTTGGCACTGAATTCATTTCGGTGAAAATGCGCCTTTCTCTTCCTAGTTATCTGCATATGCCTGTAGCTTAACTCATTGGGTACCGACTTTTGCAGATAATGTTCTGCTTGGCCAGCAAAAGCTGATGAATAATAATCCTTACATTTGATATAGCACTTTACTACATCGTCAAAAACGTATCAACAACAACAACACGATTTATATTTGTATAGCGCCTTTCACGTCAGGAGGACGTCCCAAGGCGCTGGACAGAGTACAGCATTTCAGACCCGAGCTGGGGTTGGGGGGGGAAGGGAGGGGAGGGGAAGGGGGGTGGCCAATGGCATGGTCGAAGAGGAAAGTCTTGAGGTGGGACTTGAAGGAGGCTAAGGAGGGGGCGCGGCGGAGTGACTGGGGGATGGAATTCCAGAGGTTGGGGGCAGAGTGGCTGAAGGTTCTCCCGCCATTGGTGGGGCGGGTGGGTCGGGGGACATGGAGCAGGCCGGAGCCGGCTGAGTGGAGGGAGCGGGCAGGTTGGTAGGGGGTTAGAAGGTCGCAGAGGTAGGGTGGGGCGAGGCATAGAGGGTTTTGTATGTGAGGACCAGGATCTTGAACTGGATCCTCTGAAGGATAGGGAGCCAATGGAGTCGGGCGAGAGTGGGGGAGATGGGGTCACAGAGTTTGGTGCGGGAGAGGACGTGGGCTGCAGAGTTCTGGATTATCTGCAGCCTGTGGAGGGAGGAGTTGGGAAGGCCGACAAGCAGGGCGTTTGCATAGTCGAGCCTGGAGGTGATGAAGGCATGAATGAGAGTTTCAGCGGCCTGAGGGGTGAGGTAGTGGCAGATTCGGGCGATATTACAGAGGTGAGGGAAGGCAGAGCGAGTCATGGCTTGAATTTGGGGGAGAAAAGACAGTTGAGGTCGAACAAGACATCCAGGTTCCTGACTGGCTGGTGAGTTGTAGTGTGCAACCATGGAGGTTAATGTTGCCAGAGCCTGAGGTGCTGAGGCGCTGGCGTGAGCCAATCAGGAGGGCCTCAGTCTTGTTCACATTCAACTGTAGGAAATTTACCCTCATTCAGGACTTGATGTCCGACAGACAGTCTGTCAGGACAGCAGTGATCCTGGAGTTGAGTGTGGAGGCAGAAAGATAGAGTTGGGTGTCATCCGCATATATATGGAAGTTGACCCCATGTCTGCGGATGATGTCACCAAGGGGGAGCATGTAGATATTAAAGAGGAGAGGGCCAAGGACAGAGCCCTGGGGGACGCCAGATGTGACAGTGCGGGGGCTGGAGGAGAAACCGTTGGAGGCAACAAAGTGGAGACGGTGAGAGAGATAGGAATCAAACCAGACAAGGGCAGGTCCGTGAAGATTGAGTAAAGCAGAGCAGGATTTACCTTGGACTACTTTATGTATTTTGTAGGTGAATCCAGAGCTAAGACGGGAAGCAGCTCGCTATTAGGTTGTAATGTTAAAATGACACATCATTACATTTCTACACTTGGTTATCAAGAATGTATTGAAGTAAATAACCTACATGTGAACTGGAAATACAAGGTTTTGAGTAAAACCTATCTTTTTAAGCGCTCATCTATAGAATCTCAGTGTTTCATTTTACCATGTAGCTAATTTATATTTTGATGAGAGAAATTGTTATTGAATGCAGGGTGAAGAGCTGCTACTTTTGCCTGGAAAGTGTTGCCCTGAGTGCATACCCATTAGCAGTTACTGTGTTTATCAAGAGCAAGCCAAGGAGGTAGGTACCTATCTGCAATAATATTAACAAAATTAATATATTAATCCTTGCATCTGATATAGCTCCTTTTCACATCATTGAAACATCTCACACTGTGTCACAGGAATTATATAGTAAAGTCTGGTGACTTTGTTTTTGTTGGTCAATGTGGTGGCCAATTTGCACATAACAGTATCACACAAATAGCCATGAAGTGCATGACTGATTTCATCTGGGGGATCATTAGCCGGCAAACAGGAGAAACTCCCCTCTCGGTATACTCAAGAAAACAAACGTAATGGAAGATGCTTTCATGCTGCTGTAGTTATGCCAGGAAACATTGATCGACCTCGATAAACACTTCTAATGTGAAAAATTGCATTACTAGGTTAACCATTGTGCGTTAAATTGTCTGCGTACACTTGATTAACTAAGGAAAGCAAGTGTGCAAGAGTAAATTATATCAGTAAATCTAATGAGGATATAACTCATGAAAAATTATGGGGATGCGAAACGTAAAGGCTTAGTTTGAGATGCTTTGAATGATCTGACTTAAATATAGAAACTTAAAAGAAAATTCAACTTTGTTGGAACCTAATTTAGGTCTGTTACATGTAAGATCTTATGCTGAATTTGTTCGAAATTAACCTTTGTTTTTCTATCAGAAATGTAAACCTTACCTAGAACCTCCTGTTTTCTTCTTTTGCTATATGTAGGTTGTGTAGAAAATCCATAGTGAAGTGTTTGAGTGGCTGCCAAATGACTCGTGCTGCCAATCTTCACGATTATCAAGCCTAATATAGTGACATTTGTACACAGCTGCTTACGTATTGTGTCTGGTCCTACATGCTATACTGCCAAGAAAATGGGGAAGTGGGGAATGGGGGATTGAGACAATGCAGAGAGAGATGGGAATCTAAACCACAGGAGACTGCATTTTTAGCTTCATGATGGTATTAGGACACTTCATACAAATATGCAAATATACATTAAGAGAAGAGGCATGCACAGATGTCTTAATTTTCATTGTAGCATAATATTTACTCTCTTTTCCTTCAGATGCATCCTTCTGATTTGAAAGGTGAAAAGCATCTTGTGGTATGTAGATCCTGTTTGGTTCTTTTACAGTTTGATTCACAGTTTCCACAAAAGGAAGAACTATCACAGGTGAAGGAACAATCACTAAACCATAATTATAAAATCTAATCCCTACAAAATATAACCGGTCATTTTATCGAATTAATTGGCGTGAATAACAATACCCTGATTTTCCAAAAATTCTTAGCAAGATAATAAATTACTATAATTTGAAATAGGTTTTTCTATAAATAACTCTTTTTGAGTACTTGTTGAAAAACTGATGGAGAATATTCCCACCAAGGTTTATTTATGCATTTCTGAGAGTCCAGAATTCTTAAAAGTTGTTTTTTAAGAATTACATAAACTCAGCTTCAAATTGAACAATTTGCTAATTTCTGGACATTCTAAAATGCTACATCGATGGAGTAAATCTGAAACCAGGTAGAATTTCTCCTCACAAAACTTGTTCTAATTAACATTCTGGTTGTTCAAATGGGACATAATGCAAACAATATTGCTCTGATCATGAAATAATGCCTAATCTTCTTGATAAATGAAATTGAGATGTGATTTTTGAATGATCAATCGACCTGAAGGACTGTTGCCTAGGACATTACCTAACTCCCTTGTAATTTCAAATTACGGGTTCTTTAATATCCGCCTGAACAGGCAAATGAGACCTCAGTTTAACGTCTCCTATAGATTGATTCTATTTCTTATGATTTCAGAGTGGCTAAAATTTGGTAAATTGTTGAATTCAGTGTTTACCTTGAAGCCAGTTTTATGTAGAAAATGAAGATTATATTTAATACTGTATTCTCTGAAATATTAAGAAAATTTAGTAAATCTAGACCCAAACGTCAGCTACAGGGGTATAGAGAATGGGCAGGTAAATGGTATTTATAGGATAACTCTTAAGGGAGCCGGTACAGGCACAATAGGTTGAATGGCCTTCTTCTGTAAAGTAAACAGTAAAAGAACAAAACCATAAATTTCTATGGTTTTACCTCCTTATTGCTTAAAAAAAAATTCAATTGCCGGACAATAAAAGTGAAACGTACATTAGAAATGTCAAGCCTTATTCTGCTATCATTTGCAATTTATTAACCAATTTTCAAGCACTTGATGTATTAGCTCTTTATTGATTTTAGAGCAAAGAATTGCTTCACTGAGAAGTTCCTTTTTTAAAACAAAAAATCCTGCTTTGAAATAGAATGGAGAAAAATGGACTGAAGGCCCTTGTAAAGAATGTGAGTGCCGAGATTCACAGGTGATCTGTTATAAACCCTCCTGCCCTCCATGCCCTGTTGGGACACTTGCTGTAGAAATCAAGGGAGTGTGCTGTCCAGAGTGCTATCCAGGTATGTGGAATATCTTGAATATCAATCAGATTGATTTGAACCTTGAAATTCCATTGATCATTACTGTAAACCTGGATTGTACAAATATTGAGGTTTAATGCACACTTGTACATTGGGTGCATTTAATGTTCCTTGTACAGTCCTGAGGCCTCGTTCCTAGTTTTGTATTTTCGGGCTTAGCATCAAACTGCATTTAAAGGACTTGCTGACACATTAACTTACACTGTGGAATGATGTCTCTCAGAGAGGTTCTCACTTAGACGGTCTCCTAGATAGTGGATCCAGCTAAAGTTAACTTGGGCACTCTTGTCTTAAAGTGCAAACATGCGTGCTCTTAACATCCAGAATTTTAAGATTCTCCACCTTTACTTACAAATCCTAGTATTTCCATACATATCTAGCAATATAACTTAGACCCGTGAGTACATATCAAATATCCACAACACAAATTACAGATGACCGTGATATAGATAAGGTAGGACTAGACTGTCTGTTTAATTAATAGACACCAGTTTGGCAGTTTGGCTGATACCATGCTTTCTGATCACTATTCTTTCAGTGGAAGTGAAAATGTTTCAACTTCGAAAAGACAGAAGTGTGTCTCTCCAATAGCCCAAATAAATAAAACTGTATTTTGTTTGAAATTTACTTTGTGTTTTATATGTTTGTCAACAAAAGAAATGTTGAATGAATAGAGTTATCCGTGACCTCGCCTTGTAAGATGATGTTAGTGATATATTTATGACTTAACTTACAGCTCAATGCCACTCTGACTGTCTGACGTGCACGCAGTCACCCGATCATTGTGACGTCTGCTCCGATAAGGGCAAATATTTGCAGAATGGCCGCTGCCTGCCAAGATGTGACCCTGGGTTCTATGAGGATGGTAGACTATGTAAAGGTGTGTGTAAGATTCACGTGTAGTGTCTTCCTTAAGAAGTGCATAAACCTTCAAAGTTAAGACTTAATTGAACAATTTGCCAAATTCTGGATGCTCTGAAATGCTGGTTAATAGAGTAAATCTAGACCCAGGCGCTTTTGGGGTTCCTGCTGAAACCTGGTGAATAATAAAGGATATTTACCATCTCTGTAATGTTTTACCTTTGAGTTAAGTCATTGAAAGCTGAAAAATATCTGGGACACTATAAGTAATAATAATACTTGCTTTGATAAAGCGCCTTATCAGTCATTGAGAAATCTCAAAGCGCTTCACAGTATATACTGTAAAGTGAATTTACTGTGGATTTTTTGGGCAAAATGCAGCAGCCAGATTGCGCACAGTGGCGTCCCACAAAAGGCCATGTAAGTAAGTCTGCTCTTGGAGATATTCTAGCTATTATCAGAATGGACTATTTTTCTTTCAAGATTGTAAGATTTGTTTCTTATGAAATAAGCAGGAAAAACAATTGAATTAAATGACAATGGAGTACTTTGTGTCAAGGTTACTGTTAAGATAATAGTTGTATTGCAATAATATTGGAACATTATTGCTTTCTCAATGCGGAATGCCCCTTGGCCTCTCCTCAATTTTTTGAGAATGGGCATGTTGTGCATGTCCACGTATCGTATTTCTATATCTTTGAGCACAGAATAGTCTAACTTCAAACTCTTGGATTTTCATCAGATTTGGTAGATCTCTTCATCTCATGAACCTCTCAACTATTTCTGCCAAAGAATATCCTAGAGCTTGCACTTTTTGTTACTTTGGAGCCAGCCAAAATGGTGTTTTCGCTTCCTATACGTTCTTAAGCTTTTAAGTTTCAGATCACTGAACTGTGAAGAAAGCCTTAGGATGCCAAGTTTATTCTTGTTCGAAAAAAAGGAAGATAAGGGAAGACATGTTCCATCTTTTAAACTAATGAAGGGAATCTCTAAAACAGATTTAGTTTGTTATTTTGAACAAAGCAGGAGAACCGTAAAATGTGATTCTCAAGCTACAAGTTAAACTAGCCTTCAGTACTTATTTCTTTATACCTAAAGGCTGTCAGCTGTGGAATGGATTTTTGCCTGGCACAGTGATTGATGACTAAATTAAAGTGTCCAGATTCGGATTAGACAGATTCTTTGACTCAGCTGCTGGTGGATGTTGAGGAGACAGTGCAAGACTTTCCACAACACGGAGAGAATGTGGTAAGGTCAAACCAGCGGCTGTCAAACAGCCACTTGTAGCTGGCTTAAGAGCATCATTGGCAGCATTTTGACTCCACTTTTTCAGATGAGGAATCCCCATCAAGCCAAGACCCCAAAGTGACGAAGAATAATACATAAAGTGATCTGGTTTGTTCAGTATTGCATGTTAGTATTTAAATTGCAGGAGGTAAACAGGGCATTTTAGCGACACTTAGACCTGAAAGCTGTAACTCCTCCTGAATCAGTATAGATCCTTTGCTGGCATTCTTTTCAGATACATCCTTTTTTTTAGAACAGTATGTTTGACCAACATTTACTTCAACACATTTCCCTTGTTTACTTACGCAGCATGTAAGGATTCTTGTGCCACCTGTAGTAATCGGTTTGAATGCACTTTATGCAAGGAGTCGCTGATGATGAAGTACGGTCAGTGTATGAATTCCTGCGGAGATGGGATGTATCAGGAAGAGCAGCGGTGTGCAGGTAATGTGGACAGGACTATTGCGCATTGATTGCTTGGAGCTCTTTGTGAAATCATCGCTACCAAGATCTTTGTTGTAAATGAATCAAGCAATCTCATCTATCTCTATAGATGATACAATGCTAATTTTTTAAGGCATTAAGGAGATTTGCTTCTTACGGAAAGGAATAAAGTATGTTTTTTTCTGTAAATGAGGTGAAAACAAATGAATACTGCACTATAGGATTATATTGTTACATATTCAGGAAAGTGGAAGTTGACATTGAGTCATGCCTTGGATAGGTACAGTGAGACTGCTGCAGGCTACATGGGACAAACCTTGTCAGAAGCAGTCACACCTGTATTTACTCAAAGCACAACAATGGAATAATTTTAATTCCTCCAGATGTAAAATGCAACAATTTCAAATAAGGTTTCTTAATAGGAACTCTGAGATGAACATCCTCTGGTAATGAAAGTATGTAACTCTAAATCCATTCCAGGAGTGGTCCGATCAGAGTTCTTCAAGTCAGCCTAATGTACTTCCAGTTACAGTTATGAGTCTCTATTTGCAACTGGGTTCCTATAAAGGAATCATGTTTGAAATTACCATGTATTAGATTTAATGGTATAAATGAAATAGCCATGGGTTAAATGTAGATACCTTGCCTATGAGGCAGAACTCTATTAGTGACTCATGAGATATTTGATCTTCCTCATTTGTGGGATACAAATGATATCCCATATTAGCCAGCAGCAGCATCTATTTATACCAAGAAGAATGCCTGTGTGGTCCAAAGCATCTTCTGAAGTATTCTGCATGGTGCCATGTTTAAAGCCTGTGACGTTAAATACGACAACTGCAATAGATTACTTTATAGGACTACCATTTTACAAGACAGATCTCTGTATGGTTATTCCTGCGCATTTTACAGGGTGCTATTCGATGGAGACAGCAGCTAAATAATTAGATGGGCCTCATCACTTGTGTTTAAGCTTTTCAGCATGATCCTGGCACTGTCTGAGTGCCAAATATTTGCATGAAGATGTCAGACATGTTTGGCAGGCATCCCTCAAGCTGATGGTTCAGGTGTGAAGTGTGAAAGAACCGTTGCTGTTCAACGGGCATTTTTTAAAAATAATTTCACTCTATATTCATGGCTATGTTTATGTGGAAGCGCTCAGAAACCGCATTTTTAAAAAGTATTTCGGTTATTCATTCATTTTTGATCTTAATAGAACATTGAATTTGTTTGGTTGGCTTAACTAGGAAACCCAGAACTAGTCTCATCAGTGGTGACTGCAGGCAGCTTGGCTCAACCACCTTGACAAAGTTCTGGCGGGTGTTGGGGGAGGGAGGTCGAGGGATGTGATAATTGATTATAATTATTAACATAATTATAAATAATTATGTGATGCGATAATTGTCACTGGTGATTCTTATCACCTTGCAAGTTTCACAGCAATCTCTTTGAATTGGACCTATGAATGAAAATGATAAAACTACTGTAAATCAATATTTACCCTGATGCTAAAGTGCTCTCTCACTGTTTGCAGACTTCAAAATGGCAGCAAAAGCATTCAGCTGTTATGGCAGATTGGTTACATTTTGGAGATTGCCCAAGTAATTCCTACATTTTATAAAGTTACAATCACCCTTTGTTCCCACACTTTATTGTGCACACATTTTGATTAGAGGTGGCTTTGGAGCACACATGTTATCGCAGAGCTCATGAAGGTTTGTGGGAGATTGTGAAGTTTTGCTCCAGTGTTATCAATAGTCAGGAGTGCTGTTCACCCCATGGTACTCCCACAGCAGAGTATGACTCCAGCTGTGTAACTCCAGATGTCCAGAAGCTGGGAGTCCTGCCACAAAGACCTTTCTCGTGTTACAATCTCGCTTGCCTGAGCTGCTTGGCAGATTGACACTTTCTGACTGCCAGAGTTGGCTACATTGGCCGAAACTCTGCCAGGTCAATCAGTTAAATATTCTAACCTGCCTTTTACCATCAGTAGTGGAAAATGAAACATATGGGAAAAATCAAGAATATCTTAAATAACTACCATTTTTCTGCTGCTTTTATTTACTAGGAACACATGCTTGTTTATCGCTTTAGTTCCTTTTTTAAGACAAAATCTAATCTGCATATGGTATAACCTAAATGATCCAGCACACTGGAATGACTCGCCCTATAGTGAAAGGAGTGCACCCACACACACCCCCTCCCTCCCTGCCCCCCAAATTGGAATATAATAGTGTTTTTGCATTTGTTTTGGTGATTTTTTTCTTTCTGCCCTCTCCTTGTCCTTGTTTGAAGCTGCTGATTCTTGCTGGCAGTACACCACCAAGGAGCTAATCTTCTATATGTGAGGCTGGACAGTAAGTGTTTGCAACCTATTGCAATCTCAGCCAAAGCTCAGTCTTTTCGCAGCTAACATCTGCACACATGGACTTTCCAGCAGACGTACCAGGTCAATAGTCAGATTCTCAATAGCCTGACTTTTTTGTCAGTCTAAGCCAGAAACACTCAGCTCAATTTTTATACCTCGCCATTGCTGAAATGATCTGCTTCGTACCAGGCAAGAGATAGGTTCACATTGTGGTCAGATCTGATACAGACAGGGAACAAAGACTGTACAAGAATATGTTCTAATCCTTAACCTGACTCCTGTTTTAGCTTGGCTCTAATCAGGCAAACTGAAACAGCTATTCTCTTACACTGAGTATTTTGAGAGGTAAAATTTTGAATCAAGATGTTGGTTTTGGAAATATAATGAATGCAACGATTTGACCTGTTCCTAACCTTAGGACTGTTGTTTTAGGATGCCAAATTAAGGCTGAATTTGAGACTTAGTTTAAAATTCTACATAATCTTAAAATTTTAGGCAATGACGTGAAGTTTAAGAAAATGAGGATTTTCAGGCGTCTGATGGCCACGCTGTGAGATAAAATGCTGTACTTTTTTGTGTTCGGCCGGGTATCTGAGACATGGGGAAACCCAACACCATGCTTAAAAGTATCCAAACGAGACTGAGAGCTCTACACATGTACGCCACTTACACGTGAACACTGTTTAGGAACCTTACTGCCAAGATTCCCATGGAGGATTGACTCACACAGTTGTTAAAATAAGTCACACGGGAGTAAGTCTGGAGATTCCTGGTGAAGAGCTGTTAATTATATCCCACAAGTGGGCTGCCCTAGTTATGAATTACTAGCACAGTCACGAGTGAAGCATGGGGGTTGAAAATGTGGTAGTCGTAAGGTGTATTCTCAAATAGCAATTCCTGCAGGTAACCAGATATGCTTTACATCGACATGTGGGATCTCTGCCCTGACACACCTATAGACAGAGATCTCATCGGTGCTGTGTCAGTGGAACACATACCTGATAACTTGCAGGAGTCACAATTTTTAAATCCGGGTTACAAATAACGCTTTTTCCATTCAGTGCTTAATGCTGTGAATTGGGTGTCAATCCTGGTCTATGCTTCCTCATCTAAAATACTTACGTGCAGCGATTTAGCTGATCTCAGTTGAGATGTACAATGGGCCTCAATGGTTAGGGAGAGAGAAAGCAACTACAATTCCTGCATATCATGTCCAGACACCATGCTCTACATGGTAAAGTGCATGCCTGTGGCCGTCAGGTCAGAACTGCATTGCGATGCTCCCTGTGGTTGAATATCCTGGCAACACTGACTATCAGGATGAGGTACCAAAGAGTTAATTAAGCTGCACTGTTTTTACCTTCACATGGCAACCCAAAACTAGTAGTGTGTAATATGCCGGGGGAGGTGAATGAGCACAAGGAAAACGTATGGTAAATTGTGGAATGCAAAGAGACCATCAGTTACAACATCATGGCTCTCGTTTTGAAGAATTAGGGATCGATTTGATGGTTGCTTTCATTTTTTTTCAGCTTGTCATGAGTCTTGCTTGACATGTCAAGGTCCTTCAGAAGCAGATTGTATTACCTGCAAAGACCCATCACATTTGGTCAAGGGCAGGACTTGTGTTGCCAAATGTGGTCAGGGATATTATATGAAGGACAACATCTGCTACGGTAAGCCTAAATCTCCAAACAGTTAGGTGCAATCCATTTGCATTTGCCTTCAGATGCTTTGGGGAGAGAACACAGTGTTGGCAGAATAACAGTAGAACTTTAAATGGTAGCATTTTAAGTTATAACTTATAAGTGATTGTAGCAAGTGCTAGATTTAAGGATGTTGATTCATGTTTTCTGCACATGCCACTGTTTCCATATCCAGTTCATGTTAAGTCTACCATCCTTTATCAATGAGCATGTACTAATCTTCACTTGTCTGTGAATATATCAACCTTGGTGGTAATGGTATAGCTCTTCATCTGACCCTTGGGAAGTCAAATAGGAAAATCCCATTATAAACACACATGTGTAAATTCACTGACTAGTTAATGTAAACCGCCAAATGTTTCTCTGATATTGCCTAAAATCATACGATATTACATCATAGAACCAGGTCATTTGACAGATAGTATCTTTCATTAGAAAGACGTGTTGTGTACATGTTGATCTTTAGGAGCATGTAAAAACTGTCCTAAGATCTTAATGAAGTACCTGCAAATACCTCATCTGAACAGAAAAAATGCTTGAGGCAGAGGGCATGCGTTAACTTAAGCTTATTAACTGCATATCTGAATGGTTTGTGTTTTAATTGTTTTGTGATATTTTGCTTAGAGAACAGTTTAATCTCTTTAGCATTGCTTGGTGTTTTTTTTCTCCTTCTTGTGTAGAGTGTGACCGGTCCTGCCAGACCTGCTACAGCGACAGTGCAAAATGTCTCAGCTGCCCCACAGGGAGAGTGATGCATAATGGGAAGTGTGCCTCACATTGCCCCAAGGGCTATTACAAGGATGTGGCAAGGTGGTGTAGAGGTAGGAACTTACAATGGTGCTGTGAGTGGCAGGGCCAGTGATTCAGCCAGAAATATATAAATCATTTGAAGCTACTCAGGGGGGAGTTTGTCAAGTACTCTGCAAGGGCATCTTTGCTTACTGTTAGAGATTGTATTTGCATTTCATGCAGTTTAATTAGGGATAAGGCGTGCTTTACAGTCTCATCAGAAAAAATAGTGCAGCAAAGTATTTGATATCATTGTTAATTTGAGGAGTGAAAAATGTTCAAAGGGGAAGCCTTCACTGTCCGCTGGCTTTCGTTACGTGTGACTGCGGTTGATGGATGATAATTCCTTCTGTGGTTTTGATCTGGTGGAACCAGAATTAATTGGCTTGCAAATGATTTCCTACATGTACCTCTGCACTGCTGCAGTCGTGCTGAGCGACAAAGTAAAAGGATTGTTTGTGGAGAATCCAGTTTGCTATTTCCAGCTTGGCAGGTGGTCTTGAGTTGGAAGTCAAACTTCTTTCTTCCATTTGAGATATTTATCCTTCCTCTTCCCCTCCCCTCTTTGACTCCCTGTGTACCGTGTATTCACAAAGTCCTGTTACCCCCATGTTTTTTATTGTATAGTGTACTGACCAACAACTAAAACATGTGAAAATGATGATAATAGCATTTAAAAGTACTTAATTGTATTCAGTATAAGTGTTTAACGGTTTTTAGATGTTCGGGGGATCTGTGCTACTGCCATCATTCTCATGGCAGATAATGATCCGTTGTTATGTTCCGTGCGACCGTAACGTGGACAGGTTTGATGAGGAAGTCACTGGTATCAGACATTGTTAGACTCCACTCATCTACAACAGAAAAAAAAATTAATTGTAGAAAAAAAGCAGGGCTTTGTGAACACCCTGCACCATGTCTGACTGGTAAGAAAGGGCAGCTGTTGTTGGCTGTCTGTGAGTATGGCTCTGTGTCTGCCCCTGGGAAGTGGATTAACACAAGATTGTGGGGAGGCAGCTGACCTTTGTTCAGTACCCACCCCCCCTTCTCCCCGCTCAGAACAAATTCCCTGGTGAGTATGACTCACATTCATGGGTCTTTTCCCCCCATGCCTGTGGGTCAGAGCGTGTTAGAGCCCTAATGAATCACCCACACTTCTGCATATTTATGGTATCAGAAAATGAAGTAACACGTTACCATTTATTTATATACTTCCATTCCTTAAACAAGCCAAAATATATGAATATATTACATATAAATATACCATATTAATATATTAATCTTGTGGGTTGCTCCTCAACAGCAATCACTTGAGGAATCTGTGTTATTTCCTTGCCCTGCAATTCCTTATTTCTTGCAGTGATATATTACCTTTCACATCAGGAGGATGTCTCAAAGTGCTTTACACAGCTGATTGGGAGCCTGAGCTAGTGCGGGAGAGAAGGTGATCCTTCTAAGCACCGCAAAACACAGTATTCCACCATCACATATTATTATTATTACATATCACCATTATTCAACCCCAACCTTCCTACCTTCACCTCCCTACCTACAGATAACAAAGCTCGTCTTCCTCAACCCCACCAACTCAGGTTCCGGTCAACTCTGTGAAGGACTTTGAGGCATCCTCCCAATATAAAGGCATTAATAGAATATAAATTGTTACTATTGCATCTATCCCTGTAACCTGCAACACCACTCCAAGCCAGATACTGATCCAGTTCTTTTTGAGAAACCTCATTGATTCAGTGTCAACACACATTAAACAATTATGTTTGTTGTTGTCCTGAAAGAAGTGCTTTCCATTGAAAGTTCTTCCCCAATGGGATATTGCTTTTACAAAATCTCAACTGGTTTTAGTTAATCCCGTGTGCAGGAGAGATTAGGGTCTGTCTGCGATTCTCACTATTTGCACAAGAGGAAAAAATGAGTGCCCCAAAGGAACAATTTAAGGGTTTGTGTGTAATTGTTGCATAGATATACTCATTATTGATTCAAGCTATTTTAATGCTCCATTAAATCGTTAAAGTAATAATGATTAATAATTATCATTATTGTTGATAATAATAGACTTTACATTTGATATAGCACTCAAAGTGCTTCACTGGATACACTGTAAAGTGTGATGACTGAGTATTTTGCAGGAAGGGGAGAAAATAGAATAGAATAATCTTTATACTCTGGTGTGAAAAAATCTTCAAGAGATCAATGTGGCCATTAAATATTAATCACCTTGAAAACAATTTTGCATTATGGATTGTCCCTTCATGACTATTAATAAATAAATAAATAAATAAGTACAAATTATGCTAGCTCATGGCCTAAAATTAAAAATAAATGAAATAAACCTTTCTACAACTCCACTTTCACCAAATGCAGTAAAACATTAACAGGCTGAAGATGGTCTATTTGAAGCTTGGGTGAGCAAGAGGAAATTCAGGAGTAATGAATATGGAAGTATTTTCCCCAAAATAATCCTCATTGGGTTAAAGCAAAATATAATCATTTTTTCCCTTCTTATTCTATTTTCCCTAAAATAATCCTTTGTAACTTCTCAATGTGCACCTCCTTTGTTTTTTTCAAAATACTTATTTTAATCTTCCATGTTAATACTATTCTTCCAGACTTTCTGTTTCCTCACAGGCCACTGACTCGGCAACTGGCTGTTTGTCTTCTGCTCCTTTTCTCACCTCTGACATTACAACCACATTCCTGCTTTATAATAAATCATCATTTAATGTAACAATATTTCTATATTTATTAGTCCTGAATATCCTCTTGTTCACCCAAGCTCCAAATGGACTATCCTCAATGTTTCTCCTTCATGCATTTTCACTTATTGCACCATTTTCAAGATAAGAGTCCTGTAGTGTATTGGTTAGAGCACTTGCCTCGCAAGTGAGAGAACCCAGGATCGATTCCCAGGCCGGACAAAACTTTCGGCAGGCAGGTTTTCTTACTTCACAAGCTTTTGTTTACGCAGTAGTAAGTAGGAACCCAATTGTTAGTCAACTAGCAGATTGCTTTTCGGGGGTGAAAATCCCTTAGAGAATTTTTTTTTTTTTTGGACATTCAATCCACGACTGTTTGAGGGACACTGCTGTGCCCAATTGGCTGCCGAGTTTCGTCCACAAAATATACAGTCAATTCACTTGACAGTATATTCTGTGAAGCGCTTTGAGATGTCTTAATGACCTGATAAGGTGCTATATCAAAGGCAAATTATTATTATTATAATCAAGATTTTAAGACCGAAGAGCATCCACCTAACATAGTGCTCCCATCCTCCTGCAGTTTCCTTGGTTTTAAAATCCAGGCTTTGTACCACCTGACCTCTTTTTCCCAAATTATCTTATTTTCTTTCCTACCCTTTTCATCCTCTATGGTGTCCTGCACTATGAGATTTCACTAAGGATTTCTGCAATCAATTTGAGCACAGCAAAGTCCTCCAAACAACCATGAAGTGAATGACCAATTTTATCTGGGGGATTTTTGAACTGGGAGAAATGTCTCTTTTGAGTAGTGCTGTGGAATCTTTAGCATCCACCTGAACAGAAAGTCAGGGCATCAATTTAATGTCTCATCCAATTGATAGATCATTTGCAAAAGTTATTTAATCCCAATTATGAATGCTGGATGCAAATTAGACATCTTGTCATCGTGAACTCCTACATTCTCTAATTAAAGTGAACAAAATCTATCATCATAACATATCAAAGTGCTTCACTGGATTTACTGTGAAGTGATGTGATTGAGTATTTGTATTGTTTGCCTCTTGTAGCCCGAAGAGCAAGACGTAATTGGCTAAAATGCCTTTCATATCAAGAGGATGTCACAAAGTGTTTTCACAGGATATACTGTAAAATGTAATGACTGTGCATTTTGTAAGCTAATCCGGCAGTCAATTTGCACACAGAATGCACTGAGGATGTTTTTTAATGCAAAAATACTAGCACCTTATGCTGTTGTGAAAGGCATGGTCATGTTCAATTGCAAATAACACAATCGTGACATGGTTAAGACAAGTTTGGTCATACTCGTCAGTTGTGGAGTCCTGATATCCTGGAGTTGCAAATCTCAGTGGATTCCTGCTCAGTTGGTAGCACTCTCGTCTCTGAGTCAGAAGATTGTGGGTTCAAACTCCACGTCAGAACTCTGAACTCATATAGTCTAAACAGACACGCCAATGCACTGTTAGGGGTGTGTTGTTGAAGGTGCCGTCCTTCAGTTGACATGTTAAACATGAGGTCCTGGCTGCCTGCTCGGACGGATGATTATAATAATAATAATAATCCTTGCATTTATCAAGTCATTGAGGCGTCTCAAAGCCTTATCAAGTCATTGAGGCATCTCAAAGCCCTTCACAGAGTATATTGTAAAATGGATTGAACTTTGTATATTATGGGCAAAACATGGCAGCTAACTGCACACAGCAGTGTCCCACAAACAATCGTGAAATTACCTAAAAAGAGTTTCTCCCGTTGTCCTGGCCAATAATCTTGCAATAGAACTGGTCATTCCCTTCATGTCTATTTGTGGGACATTGGAGGTACACAAATTGTCTGCCGCACGTGCAAATATTGGCTCTACTTAACAGTATATCCTGTGAAGCGTTTTGAGATGGCATCCCGACGTGAAAGGCACTATGCCAAATGTAAGGATTATTATGATTGCTTACTGATTTATTATCCATTGTTTCCTGGTGTTTGCAGCATAATGATATCCATTTCACAGCTGCTGTTGTTTCTCTTGTTTCAGCCTGCCATACTTCGTGTGCAGCCTGCACTGGTTCATCTCCTGTCCAGTGTGCCTCCTGTTCCAACCATCTTTTCTTGCACAAGGGACAGTGCCTCCCGGCTTGCCCTGAGGGATTTTACCCTGAGAGTGGTGCATGTCGAGGTATGCCACATCATCTGGCAACCGTGTGTTGACTCATTTTAAAAGTCTACTGTGATGCAATAATATTTTTTGACAGGAGAAGCTGAAATAGTCATGAGAACTGTTCCAGTGTACTAGCTTCAGTGTTAATTATTCAGCACAGATTCTGTGTATGTTGTCAAACTTTTAATTGGTTACCACTGTCATAACCATTAAGTAGTTTTCTCTTGGAATAGTTCTGGAAACTACCTGTTGTTACACATTTACATGTAAATTGTTGTTATTGCTGTAAACATTGTAAATCAGAATGCTTTGTCCTTGCTGAAAGTGGCGCGTATATTAGACTTTTTGGTCATCGCCATGCTTAAAGAGTATCCACATATGTATACAACTTACACATGGAGATTTGACTGTGTCTAGAATGGGAGGGATACACCATGTTTACTTAGTCCTGGGTAGGTAAGAGCAAGGGTTTAGGGACATCAGAGTGTACGTTGGGATATTGTTGGAGTTTAACCAGCTGTTTTTTGGTCAGCCGGGTGTCTGTCACGTGCAGAAATTCATCACCGTGCTTAAGAATATCCAAACCAAACTGAGTGTCCCATGCATCCCACCTACACGTGGATATTCCCGAGATAGATTGTTGGAATGGAATCCGTACTCTCCCTGGAGGCATGCATCCGGTTTACCTAAGCCCGGAGAGTATTAGACACAGATTGGCAAGAGCCAAGGCTGGAGTCGAGCCAACTAAAACTGCATAGCTTGCCATTGAAAGCACTATTTGGCAAGCTTTCCCAATGCTTGTTAAGCTAGGACTACCCTACCCATTAGGGCTTTGTCATTCATTCACTCATGACATGATTAACTTTTCTAGGTTAATAAATGATAAATAAAAAATAAATAATCCTTGCATTTGAAATAGTGGCTTTGAGGTGGGGAGGACCTCTCAGATCGCACCTCAGGCTTAATAATAATAATAATTCTTGCATTTGATATAGCACTTTTCACATCTTCTAGACGCCTCAAAGTGCTACACAGAATATACTGTAAAGTGAATTGACTGTATATTTGTGGGTGAAACACGGCAGCCAATTGTGCATAGCAGTGTCCCACAAACAGTCGTGGATTGAAAATGACCAATTTATTATTTTTTTTTGAAGGGATCATTATCAGGCGTGTGGAGTAAGGAAACTTGCCCAAGGTTTCGCCCTGCCTGGAATTGAACCCAGGTGTTTCGTTGCAAGGCGAGTGCTCTAACCACTGAGCTACAGGACTCCACATTAACTGTGTAGTGTAGTGACTGGAGACGAATGTGATATAACAACAACAAATTACATTACATTTGTAAAGCCTTTCACGTCGGGAAGACGGCCCAAGGTGTTGAACAGTCAGGGATTTGGACTCAAGCTGGGGATTGGGATCAGGAGGGGTGGAGGGCAATCCCCGTTGTGTAAGCATGGTGATGAATTTCAGCATGTGACAGACATTCAGCTGACCCATAGATAGCTGGTTAAACTCCCAACAATATCCCAACGTACACTCTGGTGGCACCAAACTCTTACCAACCTGTGGCCTAATACTCTCCAGGGGTAGGAGGGTGACCGAAGGCGTGGGTGAAAAGGAGGGTCTTGAGATGTGCCTTGAAGGAGGCAAGGGAGGGAGCGAGGTAAAGGGACTGTAGGACGTAATTCCAAAGGGTGGGAGGGAAGAGGCTGAAGGCCCGACTGTCAATGATGGGGTGGATCGGGCGGGGGACGTGGATCAGGCCAGAGACTGCTCAGCAGAGGGAGCGGACAGGTCAATATGGTGTTAGCTGGTCACAGAGGTAGGAAGGAGCAAGGCCATGGAGGCTTTCAAGACAAGGACGAGGATTTTGAACTCTATCTTCTGGGGGATGGGTAGCCAGTGAAGCTGGGTGGGGCTGATTGGGTCATGGAGCTTGGTACAGGAGAGGACATGAGCTGGAGAGTTTTGGATGATCTGCAGCTTGTGAGGGAAGAGTATTACGGATTTTGCAAATATAGTATCAGATAGTTGAAGCTATGATTCCTGATTAAAATATATTGTTGTGCAAAATTTTGGGCCAAAAGTGCTGCATTCACAAAAGCTGCGTTTTAAGCCACGTTGTGTTGCTGGGATGCGGCTTTGCCTAGATGAGAAGTGTGAGGTTTGTATTATCTCTGACATTGATTCTGCACCACAAGTTCCTAGGACTGTGATTGATTGATTCTGCATTGCTGCTTTCTGCCAAAACCATAAACACTGTGGTGCAGCGGGTAGATCAAGACAGTATTTCAATGTTTCTGCAACAGATTTTATGAGGATACCAGTTTTATGGGTTTGTGAATATTCCCTATTGCATTATTAGAATAACTTGAAGGTATTAATAGAGCTCTGCAGCTATAGTTAGAAGAACATTAATAAGGCATGAATCAAAAAGTCTTCATCTGACTCTCTCCTCATTTCCCTGTTCTGAGTGATATAGTACTGCACAGATTGTGACAATGATAGATTGATTGTCTGTGTCAATAGCTGTAATAAAAAAAAGTCCATAGGATAACACTATTCTACGTATAAATATATATTGAGTTGAATACACCATCGCTATTGTACTCTGAGTGGCTGAGCAATTTGGACATTTGATTCTTGATGCCCCAATAATTACACTGAGCAAATATTTTTTTCAATTCAAATTCACTTTGACAAAACTGGCCTCCACTCTGCTTCCTCAGACGTGCAGTCATGACTGGGGACTTGCTGTGCAGTGAATTATTGATGTAATATCCATTCCTTACTGCTTTGAAGAGAATGTTTTTCATGGGTGTGCCAGTATCTCATCTTATTTTTTGTTCAAACTTATAAAGTCAGGTTCTGATTGTTACCTTTGTTCTCACTTAAGCTTGCAGCCCACTGTGCCGTTCCTGCTTCGGATCCACACCGTCAGACTGTACTGAGTGTCTCAAACCAGAACAAGTCATCCAGGTTCATCAGGGCACAGGGCGTGGAGCGTGCATGGCTGAGTGCGATCCCCACTATTATGTTAATACAGGAAAAGTGTGCTCAGGTAAAAGGATTTTGGTTAGTTTCATTTGACTCGGATTGAAGGAGTCATCTATACATTTTACTGCAGGTAAAACAAAGCTATGGCACCTGGAATAAGATAATATTTTACAACTACAAAGGATGATTTTTCACGTATAGTATCATGTGGAAAATGCTTAAGTTCTCCATTGTCCTCATATCTCTATGTCCATTTGTGACTTCTTCAAATTGCGAAATCCAGTAAGTGCCTGTTTATTTATACACAGCTGAGAAGTATTGGATTGTTGTATTCTGTTTTAGAATCTGGGTTTACTCGACTGGAGCAGATGCATATATTGCTTCTTGTTCAGTGAAATACGAATAGCTGTTCCTCAACTGTTCTTCCAGACCTTATCATTCTTTGCATCTAACGTTTGGGGGGTGAAGTTCTCAAAAAAATCACCAGATTTCTCCATGATCCTCACTAGTATTTTCTTTATAAATAACCTATGTAGGAGTTTATTTGAATGAAGTACACCTAAGACTTCAGAGTTTAACCAACAGAAACAGTGCAGCCTACCATTATAGAGCACTGGTAAGCTGCTCACTGCTCGTCTACATAGGGCCATCTTATCTGTTAAGTATCAGAAAACTCTCAAAGCCAAAACCCTAAGTGTGAAAAATTCCTGTCCCCAGTAACTGGTCTCTTCTTCCAAGTCCTGTAGAATCCTGTAGCTTAGTGGTTAGAGCACTCATCTCACAAGCAAGAGACATAGGTTTGATTCCTGGAAGGGTGAAAAGTTAGGCAAGTTTCCTTACTCCACATGCCTCTGTTTACCTAGAAGTAAGTAGGAACCTGATTGTTAGTCGAATGATGAATCGCATTTCTGGAGGTAATAATTTCTTCAAACAAAAATGGGTCATTCAATCCACGACTGTTTGTGGGACACTGCTGTGCCAATTGGCTGCTGAGTTTTGCCTGCAAAATATACAGTCAGTTCACTTTACAGTATATTCTGTGAAGCATTTAGGGACGTCTCAAAGACGTGATAAGGCGCTTTATCAAATGTAAGGATTATTATTATTAAGTTAATCTGGCTGGTCATTGATCAACAATGGCCGAGAATACTGCAGACCTGCTTTACTCAAGGACCAGACTATCGAGTTTGCCACAGAGAATTAACTTGTTTTGGATCTTCTCTTGAAAGGCATGTCACTTCTCAGCCCCAGAAACCCTGCTTATCATTGCCCTGCAAACAATATTATTGTTGTTAATATTCTGAAATAACCCTCTTGCTATTTTTTCAAAAAAATATATTCTCTTAGTTCTTGCGATCATGAAAAGCTCTGAGTCATGCACATGTTTGATTCATTTGTAGCTCGGGGTATATCATTGTGTTATCATTATGCATCTGTATCTCATATTTTGTTTATTATTAATGAAAGAAAACTCCAATGGCAGCTGTTGCTAGCTGGCTTCTTTGAACGTTTGCAGGGTTACATGTGTGCATAATCAAGAACCAGCTTGTCTGGGATGCACATGAGATTCCACAAAGCCATTCTGGTAAATAACACCCAATTTTGTCGCAAAATGCTTTCCTTAAAGTTCAACTCTTTATGATGGATGGATGAAAAAGAGCATCACTAGGGCACAAAAAAAGGAACAAAAGATCAAATGCAATTGAAGTAGTCCCAGCAGATGTCTTTTTCTGAATTGTTTATTGAATAACTAGAAGATGTTCGGATGTCAATGATTATTGAAAAGCAATTTGTGACTGGTATTTCTCTTTTATTTGTTTGATGTCTCTATCGTTTTACTCGTTTTGCTACTTGAATTTGTGCAGATGATTTATCTCACTATTTCCCTGATCATTTGCTATTTTTAAACTTCTCCCGTCAAATACATGACAACAGTTTGCACTTACATAGCGCCTTTCACATAGGGAATATGTCTTTTAAGAGCTCCACAAAGACTGAGTGGGTGACCAAGGAAGGAGATGACTGACCGAAGAGTCAAAGCGATAAGGCTTCAGACTGTTTTTGAAGGCAGCGAGGGAGCAAGAGTATCGAGAGGGAGAGTTTGAGAAAGTAGGGGCAATGTGACTGAAAGCTTGCATGCTAATGGTGGAGTGGAGTGGGCAGAGTTACAGGAGCAGAGGGTGTGGCCAGGGTAGTTGGGTAACAGGACAATGCAGAGGTACGATGGGCAAGACCTTGGAGGTACCTGAAGGTAAGGAGCAGATCTGGAAGTTAATCTGCGGGGGGATAGGGAGCCAATGGAGTTGGGTAAGGATGAGGATTATGGACTTGTGGAACCTAGTGTGGAAGATGATACGGGCTGCAGAGTTCTAGTCTGGAGCTTGTGGACAGTGGAATTATGGAGCCCAGCGAGCAGGGCATTGGAAAAATCAGGCCTGGCGAGGGCAAAAGTGTGGATGAGGTGTGTTTGTGATGAGGTAGTGATTGAGACAGACTATATGGTTGAGATGGAGGAACCCAGACTGGTCAGTGCCCAAATTAAAAGTTTCAAAGGAGAGTTCAGGATCAAAAGTAACACCAAGAACCTGAGTTAAGTGTGGGGTGCAGTGGTAGGGGGAAGGGGATAGAGGAAATGAAGATAGCTGGGCAGATTTTGTCAATTTTGGACATCAGTTAATCCATGACCTCTTCGTATTTGGGAATGAAAATGGAGGGAATGTGGGGGGAGGAGAAGAGAAACCTGGGGTTGTCTTCGCTCTTCTCTTGCTCTGATGCTGGAGCAGAAGGTGGATTTATCTGGCGGTAAGCTTTGAAGTTGGATTTGAGCCACAAAGTTGGATTTGTGATCTGATGCAAGAGCTTTGGACTTTAGGGGCTTTAGGGAGTGGAAGTGGCTATTGTAATAATAATAACAATGATAATCCTTGCATTTGATATAACGCCTTATCGCATCTTCGAGATGTCTCATAGCGCTTCACAGAATATAATGTAAAGTGAAATGACTGTAAATTTTGTGGGCAAAACGCGGCAGCAATTGCACACAGCAGTGTCCCACAAACAGTCGTAGATTAAGTGACAAATTTTTTAATTTTTTTTGAAGGGATTATTGCCACCGGAAAAGTGATCCGCCAATAGACCAACAACCGGGTTACTACTTGCTGCTAGGTAAACAGAGGCATGTGGAGTAAAGAAACTTGCCCAACATTTCACCCTGTGGATAGCAGGTGTTTGTGGGGGGCAAAAAACAGGGAGAATAGCCTGAGGGAAATCAAATTAGTCCAAGGGAAATCTCTTGTACTAGGGGGAAGGGAACCATTTCATGATGACCTCTTGTACATATTCACAACTCCTGGACCATAACAGGAAAGGAAACTCTGAGGGAGTTCTTGTTCAGAGATTACTTCTCTCTCTCTCTCTCTCTCTCTCTCTAAAAAAAAATTACTTATGCAGGTACATATGTAGTATTGGGTTTTAATAGCCTTGATTTTTAAATCATTTCTACATTGATGGAAATGAGGTCTGGCACCAAAACATTGGTCTACCTGGCCATCCAGAATTGCTCTGATCTTTCAGGTTCTTGGGATAGTTTGTGTATATCCTGAAGTAATTCAATTGACTTTAACATTAGCTATCGCTTTAGACTGGTCTGCGATTGATATATAGGCTTCCAATTCTTGGATTAAAAACATACTACCTGGTTATTGCACAGCTGATAGAAAGTTTCCATGGAAGCATAAAAAAAACCCTGAAAGCTCAAGCTATGCAGCCTCAGGCATAATACATCTTAATGCCTACATTTTGTTTATGAGAAAGGAGAGAGGGTTACTTTGCACAGAAAGTACTCCTCAGACTTTCATTCTTTAAAATACAATAATAATGTTCTTTCTGTGCATTAATAGGTTACTTAATGACCAGCACTGCTGGAAGGATTTCCAGCCTTTTACTGTTCCATTGTTTCACAGGATTGTGCAAGTGTGTGTCAGTCGTAATAGCGTGAAGCATTCATTCATGCCTTCCAATTATGTGAGCACATCTGATATTGCAAGGTGCAGCAAAATACTGTAGTGATTGCTTGGTTGAGCAGATACTTTGATTTCCCTCAGGCTATTCTCTTTTATACATTTATAATTCCAGTGTCTCTCTCTCTCCCACTCCTGTCAGATTTGAAAAGGATCAAATTACCGTGCAGAAAACATGTTTTTTTGTATGGAAGGGTTAGAGAATGATCAAATCCATCATGCTGGCGACTGATGGATTAAGATAGATACCTGTTAGATTTTATTGAGGACAATTGTGGGTGTTGATACCGAAGTAACATAAGCATGTAATTTTGATTCATTTGTATATTTGTTTTATTTCTAACAAAGCTGTGGTTATTTGCACTCTCAGGCATAATACATCTCCAAAATAATAATCCTTGCATTTAATATAGTGCCTTATCACATCGTCGAAACGTCTCAAAGCGATGCACAGCATATGCTGTAAAATGTATTGATTTTGTATTTGTATTGTAGTCAATGTCAGAACCATGAACCCGAACTGTTGACTCACTTTCCTTTCTCCATAGATGCTGCCTGACCTGCTGAGTGTTCCCAGCGACTTCTGTTTTTGTTTCAAATTTCCAGCATCTATTGTATTTTGCATTTTGTTTATATGTACAATGAAGCAAGCCAATATAATTGTTACTGAATATAACACTATACTGTGTAGTGAGGAATGCTAATTATATATTTTGTGTATACCTTCTCTTTACTTTGCAACCCAGGCTGCCACTCCACCTGCTCAAGCTGCACAGGGAGTAGCCCTGAAAACTGCACAGCCTGCTCCTCACCTAAGGTGCTCTATGAAAATAAATGCCTTCATCAGTGCCCTGAAGGGTTCTACAGTCAAGATAACATCTGTTACCGTATGTGTCATTCCTTTACAAAACAACTCTGCTCAGTACTAATAGACAGCCCTGCCCTTTACGTGTCTTCCAGCATTTTGGGATGCTACCCCGTGTGACGGGCGCTATGTAAATGCAAATTGTTGTTGTTTTTGTTGTCTTTTTCAAGGCGATGGGGAAAGAGCGAGGGAGTAGGACTAATTGGATAGCTCTTTTAAAGAGCCGGCACGGGCATGATGAGCCGAATGGCTGTAGGATTTTATGACTCTTATCAAAATGTGCTTTGACTTCAAACCTCTGAAATCTTCTTTTCCTTCTTAGCGTGCCACCCCTCCTGCCGAGCATGTGATGGTCCCTCTGACTCTGACTGCACAGCGTGCCACCCTCATGTTGCTCTGCTGAACAGATATTGCAGAACCAGCTGCGAAGACGGGCAGTACTTGAACCTCGTTGGGTTCTGTGTAGGTAAGTTTAACTCTTCCTCACTGTTCTACAGATTTGGAAGCAACTCCTCCTTCATGAAACTGAATTTAAACTTGTTAGAAGACATGTTAGTCAATTCTTCGTAACATTCTCATATTACAGTTGATCACATAGCTTTGGAGTGAGAACTTTCCCTCGCTTTGCTCAGGGGATACCGGCCTGCTTCATGTCACCTGCTCCCACCCCACCATCATCAATTGGGCTTTCAGTCTATCTGCCATCAATCTCTAGAACTCCACTCTGGAGTCCCTCTGACTCACTCCCCTCCTCACCTCGTTTAAGGTCCGTCTCCAGATCTACCTCTTTGGCCATGCTTTTGGTCATCTTTCCCCTCCCCACCCCCATCTCCCCTCAGCTCCCACCCACAGCTGATGTACCAAGTCAGGACTGTAACAGCAACAATAATAAGAATTTGGAGCAGGAGTAGGCCATTCGGCCCCTCGAGCCTGCCCCGTAATAATTACATTTATATAGCACCTTTCATGTCGGCCCAACACTGGACCTCCCAAGGCACTGGACAGTTAACCCGAGCTGGAGGTTTGAATCAAGAGGGGTGGAGGGTAGGGGAGGTGGAAGGGTGGGTGGAAACACTTTGGGACCTCTCAATGTGAAAGGCCCTATGTAAGTGTAAAATTGTATTTTATTGTGAACAGAACCTGCTCTAAAATTGCCATTTTAGTCTGATCTAGATTTGAATTAATTGTGTTCAATAGCAATGTAACATTTTGAAACTACACCCTGATGGCTCACTGGGTAATAATAATCCTTGCATTTGATATATCACTTCTTTGAGATGTCTCAAAGCACTTCACAGAATATACTGTAAAGTGAATTGACTATATATTTTAATATGTGCTGTGTGGTTTAGCACAAAATTTCAGCAGTCTGGAAGACTCGAGATGTAATCGTTCCCTGGTATGTGGTGGCTTAGACCTGCTGCTTTGTCTTTGAGTAATCCTAACCAGAGGTGAGAACCCAGGTGCTTGGGCAAGCCGGGTATGTTATCTTACCACTGCTCACAGGGCTAATGTAGGGAAAGGTCAGATAGAGTTCTCATTCAGAGTCAGTGATAAAGATGGGCAATGCTAATTTCAGCATCCCTGCAGTAATGACTGTTCTTTATGTGTGAGCCAAGTCAGCGAGCAGCAGCAGACTACATAACCACGAGTCTGATCGTGTAACCTCAATAGCAATGAACAATGGAAACCTTAGCTAATTGTTTTTCCATCTCTGTAGCTCAGGAGCGCTGAATTGTATTGACATGCTGACTGTGATCCTTGACTCAGAACAGATCAAAGATCATATCTGGGACCCTCCTGGCCTGTGTTGCTCAGTAAAACATCCCTGGTGGTTTTAACAACTGAGCTTTCAGGAGAGCTCAATGAATTCATTTAAAAAAAAAAAAAATCCATAATAGAATCTTACATCAGGATTATGAGTGGAAACCTACACTGTCATGTATCTGCTACCTGCTCCTTCTTTAATGTCATCTGACATGGATGCCATACTCCCAGTCAGAGTTCCTGACTTTGTACTTTCCCTCTTAGTGTGCCTGGCACTGACCGTAACATACAACACCCAAATCTAACCTCCCAGCTCACAAAGATCAATACCTCCAGCTGCTCTCTCTTTCTCTCTTTAGCAATTATCTCATAAATTACTCCTGGTAACAAACTCTTTAGATAGTTGTGATATTGACATTCATGAATCCAGATCTCTCCAGACAACCATCTAGCTCAGGACAACTGCCATCCAACCCAACCGTATTGGTCCATGAAAGCATCCCAGTTATTGTCTGATTACACTTTACCGGCAAACTGTGACATTGTGAAACTTAATTTTGCCCACAAAATATACAGTTAATTCACTTTACAGTGCAAAGTGCTTTGCGTTTCAACAATGTGATAAGGACAAAATGACATGGCACAATAGTGAGCTTATCATAAATATCAGTTTACCGTTCTGTGTAAGGGGAGAAGCATCAAGTTGCTGCTGGGTAGAAATGTACAGCTAACCAGCTTGTGCTGACATAGATAAAAAGCAAGTTGGCACAACATAGAAGCAGCAACATCTTTTTGTTTCCTTACCAATTTCTTTCTCCTCCCAATTTTCTCCCCTCTTCCTCTCCTGATGAAGTACCTTATCAAAATCTCCCTTATTTTTTACATGGGCCTTAATGGTGACTTTTTACAAGCTATCCAACTGTTGGAGGACGGATAGGTGGGGTCATATCTCAGCCCAATCCTTCCTTACCTGACAAACAGACATATACCCTCCAGCTGCGTTTTCTATTTAGCGATCAGTAGTGGGAACTTTCACTGANTTTTTTCATCCTAACCCTCCCTAAATCAGGGTCATGCTGAGGCTAAATTTAGTACTCAACTGCTGTAACCTTCTGGTCTATACAATACAAATCTATATCAATTTAGTACCTTTCCTGCTTGGAGGTTGTCCCAAAGCACTTAACAGTGCTGGTTATTCAATTCAAGAGGGAGGTACTGTCCATAGAATAGTATGGAGTAAACATATTGTGGAGTTTACCGCTTTAATTCACCGTACAAAAAAAAAGATCAGATATGTATGAGGTTTCCAGCTACACATTCTAGGCTCATAACACAACTGTGAACCAGCAACACGAGGTTAGTTACAAGTAAACCTTGGATTAAAGTGAGAGAAATGTAGAGCCAAAGATAGAAAGAGAAGGAGGGAGAAAAAGAAAACGAGAAACAGAAAGCTAAAGAAATGAGACTCCGAAAGATGTCAGAGAGTGGCATTTGCTGTTATAACAACAAATTCCTGATGGAAGAANTTTTTTGCTGGTACTATAATCAATTTGTATTTTCTGTGATGACCTATTATATGCCCTGTTGTCATGTCCACAAGGAACCATTCACAATCAGCGTGTGCAATGGTCTCTCTGCTTTTTTGGAAGGCAATTTCGGTCACTTGTCTATTCTCAGACTAGGACCATTAAATTCAAGTCTTACAATGATCAGCATGCAGTGAGGATGGTTCTTAATTAATTTCTGGCAGTAAAACACCAGGATATAGAGAAATGCGCAATTAATAATCTTCTATTTTAATTTGTTTTATCCCATTATAGTACAGTTTGGAATAACTTTAGTCTTTAAAAATAAATGCATTCATATTAAAACAGCAAACTGAAATATGATTACATTTTCCAATCCATACCGAATGTGCTGCTCACAGTCAAAGATGCATGGGGAGGCTAAATTGGTGTAGCCCTTCCTAGGGTTAGAGAGGGTAAAACCAGCCAGGATTCCAGTTCCTGCTCCTTCAACATCACCCTCCGTGTGGCAGCAGGGTAAGAAGAGGTCAGGTCTCTACAACTGACGTCTAAGATACACTGTATAGTTGTGGAGCTCACCAACACTCGCTGCAAAGCTTCAAATAAGAACAGTGGTCACTTGGAGAGAATACCAGAGGGCAAACTAGTACCTGTGTAACTGCACCTCACCAAGAGGAGGCCAGACCAGGAGCAGAGAGACAGATGCCAGCGGGGAGAAAATTAGAAAATAATAACTGGACATATTAAATTACTTTTTAAAGAATACAGAAAAGTATTGTGATACTTTTTTTCTGATCAGTTGACAGACAACTTGTTAACTTGTTTTTATGATGCACTTGTTCTGAGACTTTAAAGCAATTGTCCCAGCATTTATTTCAGAAGTAGCAAAGCTCTGTTAGTACAGAAGATTCTGGTGATTTTTTTCCTCCAAAGAGATGTAATGGGGCAGAAATTCTACAGAATTTTTGATTTACATCAAACAATTAAACAAAATGAAGGTTTCATGCAGGTTATGGGTGTAGTAGAATATTGTTGCATATTTTAGATGAGCTCTTAATCAGAGCTCAAAATAAATTTCTGATAGAGAACATATTATTGACTTTATTTTTGGTTAGAAGAGGACATTATTTTAGCGAAACAAATTAGTACCGTAGGATAAATTTGAATTCTCAACCCCCTATTTATGTGTTATCACCAGTTTCTGCAAATGATTGCACTTATTTGTCATTTGTCAGCCAGGCTCAGTTGATTGCACTTTTATATTTGATTCAGAAGGTTGTGGATTTAGGCCCCATGTCAGGCCTTTGAACTTAACAGTCTAGGCTGGCTCTCTATACAGTGCTGGTGATGTGTTGCATTGTCCTTCAGATGAGATGTTAAACTGACTTTCTCTCCGAATGTTCAAGATCCCATATCACTACTTGAAAAGTGAAGGAAATTTCTCTTAGTGCCTTGGCCAAATAAAATTGGTCATTCACATCATGACTGTTGGATGGGCATTGCTGGTCGCAAATTGACTGCCACGTTTGCCCTCAAAACACACACCAACTGTAAGTTACAGTATATCCTGTGAGGAGTTTTAGAACATACTCCCAAAGAGAAAGGAGCTATACCGAATGAAAAGATTATTATTATGGTTGCGCGTGCAATCTTGAGTTTTCTTTGATAATAGTTAGGAACCTCATAACAGGAGGAAGTCTCTCAAACCATCGAGCCTATTTCACCAGTTTATTAGATCATGACAGATCTTTTAACCTTATATCACTATTATTTAAATACACTATTTAAACATTTTGAGGCAACCTCAATACTGCGGATGCTGGAAATCTGAAACAAAAACAGAAATCACTGGGAACACTCAGCAGGTCAGGCAGCATCTATGGAGAAAGGAAAGTGAGTCAACGTTTTGGGTCATGTAGTTTATGGGTGTAGTAGACCCGACTTTGGACCCGATAGACCCAAAACATTGACTCACTTTCCTTTCTCCATAGGATGCTGCCTGACCTGCTGAGTGTTCCCAGTGATTTCTGATCTTGTCTCCCAAAGTGAAAGGTGCCCTATAAATGTAATGCCTTAAAAAAAATCATTGCTATTGATGTAGCACGTTTCATGTAAGGAGGATGTCTCAAATATTTTACAGAATTCATTGTAAAGTTTATTCCATTACTTTGCTGCTGCATTGCGGAATGTGCCGTCCTTTGGATGAGACATTGATGTTGTTGAATGCCACTGAAGAGGATGAAATTTTCTTCTGACTTTTGTCACCAACGAATTACATGCTTTACTTTTGGATTAAATCTTATGCTCACCAACGTTGTAAGCAATAGCTTTGATTTTCCTGCTCCGAAAGATGTTTCTTATTATAGCAGCTCTGCAGAATACAGGATGAGTTCCTGGCTCAATTACAGTGCAGCTGGTAGCAAGGTTATGCCAGGCTCAAATGTGATTTTTTTACTGATTCTCAGGATACAGGCAATGCTGACAGACCAGTAATTGTGTCCCATTCCCTAGCTGCCTTGGGCGGGCCCTTCTCTTTAAAGCACAGCAGTCCTTGTGATGGTAATGGTCCCATGATGTATTGTGTAACAGCTTACTATTGCAACAATGCATCATCAGTAAGGATAACTAAACTATTTTACGATGATCTAATCCCAGCTCATGTTTCCCTTTAGTGGGTGGACAATCGTACGCTTGGCAAATTCTTCTTCACAATGATCATTCCTCTCCCCACCCAGCTCCCAATCCCAATTTGGGTGCCCATCCAGCACTGTGAAGTGCTTTGAGTTGTCATCCTGATGTGAAACACACTATATAAATGTGAATTGTATTATATACGAAGATCAATTTTGCCCCAGTGATGTAGAAGGAAGGATATATATCCAAGTCAGGATTGTGACTGATTTGGAGGACAACTTTAGGGTGGTAGTATTCCCATGATCTGCTGTTCTTGTTCTTTTAAGTAATGTTGTCCACAATTTTCCCCAGGAAACCAAAGTTAATGATAAATTTCCACTCCTAGTTGGGAGTTTCCCTATGGCTGCAGTACCAATGATGCTTTTCCTCTCCTTTATTTCAGATTGTCACTCACAGTGTCAGAGCTGTGTGGCTGACCTTCAAAACACAGGTAGTATCTGCCTGGACTGCAAGAATCCCCGGGAGGTGCTGCTGCGAGATCACTGCTTTTCTCGTTGTCCCACAGGCTATTTTCTGAACAGAGGTACCTGCAAAAGTAAGTAGAAGGTTGAAAAGCCCAACCTTACATCCCATTCTTTGTCCTTATCTGTACTGTCCCTACAGCCTGGGCAGCCCCTTGTACTCTGGTGACTCGAATGCAATACTTCGAAGCCACACTGGACCCAATACTGTCCAATTTGAACATGGTTCCCTTGAGATCCAAACTCAACTCAACACGATAGGAGCAATCTTGAAATACTTTAAAATTCCCCGTTGCTTCTGAATTTAATTTAGTAATATCTGGCTAACATACGTTTTGTGTTATGGGATTAAATAATTACACCTGCAGCTACTTCTGGATGTCGAGAGACTGTCTGAAAGCTTCTGGCAGATGTTGCAGCAGCTCAGTAGTTAAACACTTTACAGCTTTGAAGAATCTGAACCAACTTTTAGTAGATACAACTCCGAAACTAAAATAGACTTTCAACTTCTTGGCATTCTACTATTTCCAGATATAATGAAATGAAATAACACATGCTACATTGATAATATCACGGCATGAAAACTACACTATCACTTCATACAATGATTACTTCTCAAACATATAATGTTCTGTGCAGCTCTGTCAATGACTGAGTGTAAAATATGTCTAGTTGTTTGGTGCTGATTCAGGCAGGAGAGAAAAGGCCCAGATTTGGTTCGGGTTAGCGGATCTCCTTGTGGGAGAGGTAAGCAGGATATCCTTCTCCTGAGTTAGCCTCAAGGTGACATCCTTGGCAGCAGAAACAAGTTGATTCTTGTTGACAGTCTGGGTAGTCCAGTTCCTGAGCCAGGTGGCTCCGCAGTTCTTCCAAATCCAGCCCTGGCTCATTGGCAGGACTCAAAGTGGCAGACCAGTCACTCGCTGCAGGGATTCTTCCACTCGGCTTCTATTAACCGTGCAGACCAAAGCCTTAATGGGTCACGTAGTCCTAGCTGAATAAGTGTGAGGAAGCTTTCCAGACAGTGCTCTCAATGACAGTCGATGGCATTCAGTTATCACCAAATTTGCACTATACAGAGGTGCATTATAATGATACCACACTGTGTGTGTGTGTATGCGTGGGTGTATGTTTATGGGGGGAATTTAGCAATGAGAATTGGATCATCCTTGGCTGTGATACTGAACAATTCAGTTGTACACGGGTGGAAAGACTGTGAAGGATAGTGACTGATGGAGTCACCCAGAAACCATAGTGATTATATCAAAGCAACCTTTGTGTCCCATAACACAATGGTAGTTTAGTAATCAAACCATCAAATATACCTGAGCTTCTATGTCATATTCCTGGTTGGGCAAACCTGGGGCAAGTTTCTTTAGTCCACACGCCTGATAATAATCCCTCAAGAAGAAAGAAAACAATAATACATTGGTTACTTCAGTCCACGACTGTTTGTGGGACACTGCTGTGCGTAATTGGCTGCCGCGTTTCAATCACAAATATGCAGTCAATTCACTTTACAGCATATTCTGTGAAGCACTTTGAGGCGTCTAGAAGACATGAAAAGCGCTATATCAACTGCAAGGATTATTATATGCATATTCAAGAAACAAAGATGTGGATTATTATCTTGTGTATTCTTTATTGTGGTTACTCTTGTACCTGAGACATTTCGGCTTCATTATGCGCCTTGTGTAAGCCATGTGTACAGAGGGTAACCTTAATCATGAAATCGGCAAGCAATGACATTGCTAATTTCACAGAAACTAATAGATAGTATCTGTATAGATATACTGTAGCTCTGTTCCTACTTTCTAATTAAGCAGACTCACACCCAGTGGTGGTTTTCATTTCAGGGTGCCATGCATCATGTAGAACGTGCAGCAGTGAAGGACCCTTTGGTTGCAGTACCTGTCGAGCTGACCTGGTCCTCGCCCATAACAACATGTGTGTCCCTGCCTGCTTCCCGGGGTTCTACAGCGACAACACCCAAGCGTGCCAGCGTATGTACCTCTGGGCATGGTCTATGCAGCCCGTAGTTATCACATTTGCGTGACCTTCTATTCTGAATTATTTTGTACGACATGCAGGTCCCCACTGCAGGGAATGCTAAACCTAATCTGTGCATTTGCTATGTTTGGTATTAGTCATGGAAATTAAAATAACATTTTGGCCAATGTAAAAGGGCATATAGTACATCATTCTCTGTCACTGCAGAACAGTAAGCCCTTCTCAGTCTTGTTGTGCTAAGCAAAAACAGACCTGGAAGGTCCACCATCTGACCTCTGGCATATTCATGCTCAGTTGGCTGATCTCACCCGTGGTATTATAGGTGCTTCCTTTCATCTTGAGCTGGGGTTGGGATAGGGGGAGGAGGCGTGAAGAGGGGATAAAAATCAGCCTGGCTTTCCCTTCCTAGTCAATAGGCAATGACTCCTGCTGATAAATCCACAAGTTTATGTCAGATGTGGACAGGATTAAGATTTGCGGAGATACTTCTTCACCTTCATTAAGCAGCCTCCCTGCAGCCTATCAACAGAGGCTGCTTGGGGTTGAGTTGACAGGATGCTGGAAGTTTGCAACTGAATGAACCTGAGGCACGAGCTTTACTGAAGGGCTCTCGCTTCTCAGGTTCAAGAACATTATATACAGTAAAACCCGGCATTTCCAAACCCTGCAATTTAACATGTTTATCCTCTATTTCTGTGATTTAATGCTATGCTGTAACTATGCTAGTGCTGCCATCAATAAACAGAAACCAGTCCCTAAGGGCCTTTTGCCCACCATTGTGTACTGAGATTGTTATCTGGACACCTTGCTAAATAATGCTGTCAACGGAATATTTAATGCCATAACGGGATCAAATGTAAGAAGCTGCCATGCTCGGCTCTGGCTGAAACGACATTTTTTGCAATGGTTTGTGTTTCTGACAGCTGATCCCTATTCAATTTGTACTCCCTGTCAGCAATGAACCTAAAGTAATTTTAGCGTTCTTGTAGACACTAAGAGGAGGGGATGAGGAGAGAGGGTTAATTCAGGTAAGGCATTCATGGTCCTTTATTCTCTGATGGATTACAGTGCAGGGTTTTGCTATCACCCCAACTGAAATGTTTGCCTCTTCTTGCATCTCTCCTGAGTTGAGTCCTTTGCCTCAGTTACACCTCATTGTGGGATACACTATTTCTGAGAGTGGCGCGAGTGAGTAGCTTACTGCCGGCTGGGAGTGCTGCCAAAAGTGCGGAGAGAGAGAGAGAGAGTGATACCCGAGCTCTGCTCAATATCATCACATCTGAAATTCATTGGTCAATCTCATTCAGACTCCTTGTGCTTATTAAAACAAAATTGACCTTTAAAATGTTGGCTGTGTACCGGTGGTGAGTTTTACCGGCAGCAAGTTTTATTGGGTCTAGATTTACTCTATTTGTGTAGCATTTCAGATTGTCCAGAATTTAGAAGCCTCAATTTTGAAGACGGTTTTCTGTAAGTTTATCTTCTGTAAGTTAAATAGAGTAAATCTGGACCCAGAAGGCATTCATCCTAATTGATTAAAAAATTTTTTTTACAGCACTGCAATAAAAAAAAGTATTTAACCTGCAACACTAAAAGTGCATTTATTTTTTCACAAAGTTTAAAGACCGTGAGTGGTATTCACTGCTAAACAGCTCTGTGGCTCTAAACTAGCCACATACAAGTTTTCCATTTCAATATTACTTCAAAGAGCTTGTTTAGAGCAGTGCTCTGTGACCACAAGTGTCTAAGGTTTCCCCTGTAAAATACAGACTATTCTGTGAAGCGCTTTGAGACGTCTTACCGAAGTAACAAAGTGCTATATCAAATGCAAGAATTACTGTTAATATTATTGTAAGGTGCTCTCATACTGCGTTGTTTCAACATGTTGAAAATGCCATTGCTAAAAATGTAGCAATTCCTTTTGAATAGTTTGTCACAATTGTTAACAGTATAGGTTTGTCATAATAATTTTCCTGTGACAATGTGCTAGAAGTATAATCATTTGTTTTCAGCTGCACAAGCACAAATGAGCAATGTGACATGAAGTGAAAGTTATTATTTCAGTGGTTGTAGAATGTTATTCCAGGCTTGTTTCTTTGTGTTGAATACAATTCAATACAATTTGCATTTATATAGCACCTGTCATGTCGGGAGGCTCTCTCAAAGAGCTTGGGATGTAAGATGACTCACTTTGATCTAAACTAAGATAGAGCGTGTGATAATTGAGTTTGATTGCAAAAACTGACTATTATTTCTCACAGCCTGCAGTAGCCAGTGTTTGACCTGTGAGTCGCGTTCTGCCTGTTTGTCCTGTAAAGACCCCGCTAAAGTTCTGCTGTTTGGGGAGTGCCAGTATGAGGCCTGCGCCCAGCAGTACTATCTTGACTACTCTACCATGACATGCCGAGGTAAGAACAAGATGAATCTAGATTCTCTCTCAGTCTAGGATTCATTTTTTTTTGTCAGTTGCTGCGCTCTTCAAAGGCAAATAGTGAACGAAACAGTGGGAACAGTGGGATTGAATGAATATTTTGCTCTGCAGACTCGATTGGCCGAATGGCCTCCTTCTGTCCTGTAAATATGTATGACTCTATGAATCAAGTCATAGAATTTCCAAGGAAACAAAACACAGGCTGACTTCATGCAAGTTCAAGGCAACTCAGCTCATTCAGAGTAGCCTCAGACTTCTGGTCGGCAAGTGTGTGATCATTTGCAGTGTGGCTTGGCCAGGATAGAGAATTGTGGCAACAGGATTATAGTAAATCTCTTTAGCTTGTGGATGATTTAATCCCCAAATGATGAAGAATTTTACAAGGAAATTGATCTTGATCTGCTAAATCTGCCTGTACTCAAATTAGAAGGAAGGTTTCGGTATGATTTAGGAGTGACGCCACCTGCGATGGATTGGTCGGTGGAATTAATTTGGATTCAGAGTAAAGTCATGGTTAGGAAAGAATAAAAAGATATTTATTATATGCAGATTTGAAGTTTGCTAGGAGAGGCAATATGGACTGTGCAGAAAGCCTCTCTGAAATATATGTGTTCACTAACTCAGAAAGATTAGGATGCCTGTTTGTTGACTGAGAAATAAATATTTGTATTGGCTTCAGGATGAATATGAATGTTGATGATTGTTAATGGGAATATTTGCATCAGAATTTATCCTGTGTCCAACATGTAATTTGTCGCTGTGTGAGTTAGCAGTAATGTGGAATGATTGCATTAGGTTATTACTGTGTAAAGAACACTTTATTACTGATGTCTAGTGGCCTGTCTCCACACACTGTTGCATTCATTTATTATTTATTATTCGAGTGCTTTTTTGCCTTCACTGCTTTCATTATCGATCTTTTATTTCCTTTCGCTTAATTATAATTCCTCAAATCTGGTATTATCTGGATTTTAACCTTAGAAGGAGAGAGGCTTGGGTGTCCTATTTATCCTAGAACTTGTAAAATAGCTATGTTTATGTTCCAATTTACACTTCAGAGTGAATCCATAGCGGATTAGCTTCAGAACAAAATTTAAGGTGCAAACTCGGGATGAATGGAGCTGCTTCTAATGCCACAGTTATGTTGTCCACAATGCTGTCTTGTTGGCAGCTATGTAGTGCAATGGCTTTGACTGACAGTTGTTCCTCCACACCAACAACAGCAATTTTAGGTTTATAGAGCATCTTGCACTTCAGCAGGACATCTCAAAGCCCTTCACTACTCGGAGCCCGAGCTCAGCTGGGGGTGGGGGAAGCTGAGAAGGGGGGCGTGAAAGGTTACCAAAAGTGCCATTGAAAAAATATGGTTTTAAAGTGGGCTTTATCAACAACAATAAGAACAACAAAAGGCAGGGGATGTGAAGCAAGCCGGAGCTCGCTGAGTGGCGGAACGGGCAGGTTGGTAGGAGATCACAGAGGTAAGGGGAGTAAGGCCATGGAGGGCTTTGAAAGTGAGGCCCAGGATCTTGAACTGTATCCTCTGTGATGGGAAGCCAGTGGAGTCGGGCGAGGATGGGGGTGATAGGGTTACAGAGCCTGGTGCAGGAGACGACAAGGGTTGCAGAGTTCTAGATGATCTGCAGCCTATTAAGGGGAGGCCGACAGGTAGGGAGTTTGCGTAGTCGAGCCTAGACCCGTGTATGAAGATCTCGGCAGGTTGCAGTGTGAGCCAGTGGCGGAACCGGGCGATGTTGCAGAGGTGGCAGAAGGCAGAGCGAGTCATGGCGTGGATGTGGGGTAGAAAGAACAGTTGAAAGTGAAACAAGATGCCAAGATTCCGGACTCGCTTGGTAAGGTGGAGTGTGCATCCATGGATGGTGAGGCTGTCAGTGCCTGAGGTGTTGAGGTGCTGATGGGAGACAATCAGGAGAGCTTCGATCTGGTTGAAAGTTAGCTCTCATCCAGGACTTGATGTCTGACAGATAATCTATCAGGACACCAAGGGTTCTGGAGTCGAGGGTGGAGGCAGGTTTTAAAGGTTTGCAAGGCATCATAGGCACAAAGTGTGTTATCTGATGGAAGGAGCATATTGAGCAGATGGCATTCTCACACTCATTCCGCAAGGGCAAGGTTCTGTTTCCTGTAGTAATCCTTTTACAGATGAAATTGTGCCATAGTGGAGACTATGAAAAGCACAGTGTAAACAAGGTAGTTTCTACACCTTTGACAACTGGTGTTGATTCTGCAAAATGAGAGAGATAGAGAGAAATTGATCACATAGTCTAAGATGACACTCCAGTACAGTATTGTGGGGGGTGTTGCATTGTCGAAGGTTCTGTCCTTCGAATAAGATGTTAACCAAGGTCCCATTAAAGATCCCTTGGCACTATTCGAAAAGTGAAGGGAGTTTTTCCTGATGTCCTGGCCAACAATTCCCCCCAATAAAAATCGATTACACCGTGGCTGTTTGTGGGACATTGCTGAGGTCAACTGGCAGCCACATATTACCCACAAAATACACAGTCAAAAAACACTTTACAGTAAATCCTGTGAAGTGCTGTGAGATGTCTCAATGAAGTGATAAGGCACTAGATCAAATGCAAGGTTTACTATTATTATTAGAGAGGTCAGTCTGCATTAGGTAGATATTGTATTGAGCATATTTGTTTACTCAGTGTCAGCCAGCTGTGACAATGTGGCAAGAATGATACACTGCGGAGTTTCAAATCCAGGCTGCATTGTGTTGAACCCACTAGCTACCCTGGATCTTATGATAATAATAACCATAATAATGATTAACACCAATTTTCTGTAACCTGATTTAAGTTGCAATATAGGATGCATGCAGGAGTCACTGTTACATTATTCTCAGTTTCCATGCTGCAGTCCTCGACCTTCAAACACTTTCTTTTATCCCGCTGATGCTGCACACTGCAACACGCTCGGATAATGTTTTTAAATACTATCATTCAAAAGCCCAATGAACTGTTGGCTTTGCTCCAGGTATCTTCTCCACTTCCTTGCATTCCTTTTGTAAAACACTCGATACCAGATGCTGTTTAGTAAAAAGAAATTGTGCAGAAGAAGCCTGTAAAATAAGCTTCCACCCCAGTGTCAGGCAGATATGAAAAGTCACTCCCTGGCCTTAAATGTGTTATACCCACTGTCTGCATCACCTATGTGGTGTTAGAGTGAAAACAAAACTAGTCCTACTCCAAAGCAACTTCTTTTGTGATTGTTTTCCAATTTTTTCCCTTCCTCCCGAAGGCAGTGACCCTTGTTGGAGTACAGTTCATTGTGCATGAATAGACCTGGTACTTGCCCAGGGAGCTATTCTTCATGCATGAGTCTGGTCAATGAGTGCTAGTGATAAAGAGGGGAGATGGGGGTCACTGGAGATGTGAAGAGAGGGAACTGTGCCTCACTTTTCCCCTCCCTAGCTCCAGTTCCAGAGGTGCATGACATAGGCAAGAAGATACCCAGTAGAGCAGTCTTCCCAAAAAACATATGGCGAAAGATGGATTAGGTCAGGATCTTCAAAGTGATGGATCATTTTAAAATTTACATCTTCCATGGTTTCAAAATTATAGATGTAAGAGCATTGTAAGGGGATTTTGGTAAAACAGTAGTTAATGAGGGTTATTCAGCATTAATTTCTATTTGATCAGTAAAAGGGAGGTGAAGCCATTGTTGATTATTGAAGCGTCGTAAGTGACAAAGAATGAATAATAATAATAATGAAGAAGAATGAATGGTTTCAGCAGAAGAGAAAAGCTGCCAGATTTAATTTTGCTTGATAGAAAGTTAAATATTTGGAGGAATTATCCAGGCGGGGAAAATGTTAAAGAGAGAATTCAGTGAGGTGGGAAGAGATGTTTTCCAGCTGCAAGAGGTTGACGTCAGGTGAACCAGGAGAGCCAAGGAAAACAGCATGAATAATAATCATTGCATTTGATATCACACATTTATGCAGTCAAAATGTCTCAAATTGGTTCACAAGATTTTTATGTTTCTGTGAAGCATAGTGAATATTTTATCTCTGCTTTTCACAGTGACTAAGTACAATGTGCATTACCTTCTAAAAGCCAAGTGCACTTAGATTTCAAACACCTGATGCCTGAAGAAGGGTAAAAACCAAATTCTGGTACCTGGTGTGAGAATTCCTGCATCACTGAGAGAGCCATGGAAACAGTGTAAAATCATCGATAGCACGTTACATTCTGAAGCCACCTCTACTAATGGTTTTCATTGGATCAGAACTTAAATTTAACTTGTTTGCTGCTGACTGTTTCTTTTATCCTTTTGATACATTTTCCTTGAATATTTGATGGCACCTTAGCATAACTTTACGGGGAAAAAGTAACACCTATATATTTTGACAGAATGTGACTGGAGTTGCAATTCTTGTAATGGACCCCTCAGAAGCGACTGCCTGCAGTGCATGGATGGCTACATATTGCAAGAAGGATCCTGTGTTAAGCAGTGTTCATCAGGCTTTTACAAAGCAGGGGAAGAATGCATGCGTAAGTCTATATCATCTCCTATTATGCTTGACTAAGATGCTGATTTACTTTTTTTTCTATTTGATATGTTTTGATTGTCAAATAAAATAGGGATTTGATCAATCATAAAACAGAACTTAATTGACGATTAGAAACCAATGGCAACTTAAATCAGTTGTTTCAGCTCAATTATTGCTAGAAAAAGAGATTTTAAAAATCCTTTTGTTTCAGTAGAAATAAATTTGTTTCTGCCAACTAACCAACTAAGATATCTTTCATTTCTATATTCTATAGCTTGCAATGAGCATTGTTCACACTGCACTGGGCCCAGTCTCTGTAGCCGGTGTGAAGCACCTTACCTCCTGTTAGAAACACAATGTGTTCATGTCTGTGCGAAAAGATATTACTCCGATGACAGCCAGCACAAATGCATAGGTAAAGATGAATTACTTTTTCTGTGCTGGAAGGCAAAATATTTATGCTGTATTAAGTTTGCAGGTTACAAGAATGTACTATTATAAAACGTCAATTTAATTTGTGTTTTGCATTTGAATAAGTTGTTGCAGAGGTGTTGATTGTTCAGTAAATATTTTCTAAGACGAAAAGACTGTTATTTTATCACAGACTTCATCTAGGGCAGGAACATTACAAAGATAAAGAGCTCAGAATAGGTGCTTTGTGATTCTTGATGAGCAGGATCTGACGCAACTCCTAGTGCAGCAGTTTCGCTCTGTATTATCCGTAAAATATCATATTCAATCATTTGTTCTTCCAAAGTCTGTCACAAATTCTAATTGTCTTATCTAATATTTACTCTGAAGTGTCACAGTCAGCCTTGTTTCATTTCTCGTTTTCTCTTGCTATTTCATCAATGGGCAGCATGTTCCACTGGATGTTTAGAGTGTGACAGCGCCTTGAGATGCACACTGTGTGACAGTCCCACTTCCTGAAGAATGGGCTCTGTGTTGCTGATTGTGGTCCAGGGTACAATGGTAATACACACAAGCACGTGTGCGAAGGTAAGAACCTGCGAAAGAATGCAACCCTTATTTCTACTGGTTGTGTTTTCTCTTTCCATTTGGGAATAAACGATGAATTCCTATTTGTGCAAAACAAAGTGACTCTGAAGTCTATAAAGAGATAAGAAATAACCAGATAGACTTTATCAATCCATCAATTCCAGGGAAAGGTGGGGACTGTGGTGCTGATCAGGATCAGAGATTCAGTGGAGCACAGATTCCAAGAGAGCCAGACAAGGTTTTAATCTAGGAACGTGTACATAGATTAGCCTGACATACATGGTGCAGAGTCTAGTGTTTCAGGTGCTATCAGCTTGCTGTTTTGCTGACTGCAGGGCTGTGTTTTATACTCTTCAAAGACGAGTCTTGTGATTAATTCTATCTAGTCTTTCAGGCCATTTTGCCTTAAAATCTGAGATGACATAGAATTGTGGAAAATCCTTAAATTAAGTCTATTTTTTAATTTAGTGTGTACATTTTTTTTCAAATTTTCTCCCCATTGGCACATGCCTCTCTGCTCCTGGTCTCACCTCCTCTCGCTGAGGTGCAGGTCCACAGGCACCGGATTACCCTTTAGTACTGCCTCTTTGAGCCTTTACATTGAATGTCAGCTACCTATTCCACTGTAGAGGATGTTACAGCTGACCTGACCTCTCCCCACCCAGCTGCTACACATGCACAACCAGTGGACAATGCTGTAGAGGCACCAAGAGCAGGAACCTTGATTCATTTCCCCTCCCTACCCCTGGATAGGCTGGGGCCAATTTGCAGCCTGAGGCCAGGTCAATTTAAGAGCTAGTTTGCTGTAGCAACTTCCAATTGAAGAATTTTCCACTATTCTGTGGAATCTTGAATTTTAAGAAAAAATTGGCATACAGACTAAAATTAGGTCGAATTTTTGTTTTCTTAAGATTCAGGTGGGTGGTTATTGTATCAGTGGAACTGTTACCCTAACCCTAAGCCCTATCAAACTATTATCCTCACCCACACCAAACTCTGTACCCTAGTCCTTGCCAGGCTCCACTGGCTCCCTATTACAGAAATAATCGATTTATGTTCATGCAAAAAATTACTTCAAGCCATGGTACCTCCCTCTGACTTGCTTACTCCCCACTCCACTAACCGCCTCCTTTGCTCAGCCGGCACGGGCACCTGCATGGCTCTCGTCCCTTCTGCTACACCATTGGTAGCCATGCTTTCAGCCACTATGCAACAAAACTATGCCTCCTCTTAGTCTGTTTTCAGATGACATTTGAAGTCCTCCCTCTTTGACTGTGCCTACAGTCACCTCTCCCTGGTTTGGCATCAAGCTCCGCCACTGTTAAATGTTTTGAGACACGAGCCCGCATGAATAGCACTATGTAAATGCTAGTTGTTGTTATTAAAATGCTCAATAAAACCTGGTGCTTTTATGGATTGCTAACATCTGGGGGCAGTCTTACATAGATTGTACATCCCAGAAAAAGGTCACGGAGCCCAATTAATCCATTCTGGTGTTTGTACTCTACATGAGGTCATGGAATCGGGCAATGTGTATTTTAGATTATTTGAGGTTAGCCGCTAAATCCATATGGCTGTTGGCCAGTAATGATAAATGAGAGGACAACAACGCAAGTTTAAGATGAGTCAATCTTAAGCACCACAGTGTGTATATGTTAGTACAGTTTATCGTGCCAGGCATTGATTTGACATGAATGATCCTTAACTTTACCACAGTTGCTGCAGTGGTAAAATGTAAAACTGCCAATATGCTTAAAGTAAGGAGATCTTTAATCCCATTAGCTCACTAAGCTTTTTTACAGTGTAATATTTTAGCTATGATTTTAATAAGGTAAATAAAGACAGTTCTCTTTAAGACAAAAGAGATGATTACACTAGCAACAGGAACAAGAAACAAGTAACAATACGATTTATTGAGTGAGTGAGCGAGCGAGCAACTCCGACCAATCCAATGTGCTGGTAAACTGCCTGGTCGGCAATATAATGGTATGGTGTATGATTCAGTGGATACCTGTTATAAAGCACTTCAGAGCTGGACTGTGGACACTGACATTTGCTTACCTAACAAATCCAAAAGTTGCATCTCAGCTCCATCAGCCTTCGGAACATCGGCTGGTTTGCCGGAAGGCAAAATAACCCACTTTCAGATCCTCAGGTTACTTCTGCAGATAGTCATACTCGATGTCCCAGAAGATATCCTTTTTGTCTTCCTACCCACTGATTGGCTATCATGGTGAAATGCAGATGGAGCCGTCAAACTTTCTGTGCTGATGTGCAGTGAATGCAGAAGGGCTGGCCAGTGATACTGTCTTGCTTTAACCCTGGTTGGAATTTTATGGACCCCAACAACCATTGTAACAGGGTTCCACCATAACTGTCCAACTAGCATTCGTATACCTTAATATTTTAGATGGTGGGGTTGAAAAAATGGTAATCCTCGTCAATCTCTAATTTGGTAAATAATTTGGTTGTTGCAGTTAATGTTCAAGCACCCACCCTACGTAGAACCAGTCCAGTACTTGTGGAAATCGGCGGAACTGAGGCACTAAACACTTCTTTCATCAGCCTGCGTGATCCTGACACACCAGTTGAAAACCTAATTTTCCATATTGTCAGCCCGCCTGCCAATGGGAAACTGATTAAAATGGAAAAGGGCAAGGAAATCCATCTTCAGAAAGGAAGCACTTTCACTGTCAAGGAGATCAGAGAGCAAAACATCCGATTTGTTCACGACAAAGAAAAATCAAGGTAAGTGCAGCTTTAATGGGAGAAAAATGTTACAATATTCATTGCAAATGCTGGAATCCTTCAGTGTATAACTGACACTTGGGCCAGCGATGCCAATGTGGTATGAGGATCAGAATTTTTTTGCCTTGGTTTCGGAGCAACTATATGTTGTTCCAACACATAAAATTTAATAATAATAAAACATGAATACTAGCCTTTGTTATAGTACATGCTCACATTGAAAAAAATCAAAGCATTTTACATTAAGTGTGTTGTGGTTGTTACTGCTTTTATTTAAGCAAATGTGGAAGCTAATCTGGCCAACATTGTCTCCCAAACTGCAATGATATGAATGATTAATTCATCTGATTTCTGATGAAAGGTACTCTATTCTAGTCACAAACTTTTCTAATAGATTTAATACGTGTACTTGCACAGGAATCGCTCATATGGTTGGCAATATTGCAATATTTCCACACAAAATAGTAACTTAAACATTTCACAATAACAGATTGCAGGAATCAATTTTGTGAAATCAGGAACAGATTGTGCTAGAAACACAATTTGCGTGCCAGTTGTTGAATGTAATATTTGCTACTGAATGAACAGTTTTATGGGACATTGCAGCTTTAATAATGCATTTAATGGTGGAAACCTTTGGTGCATTATTATACGTGAGGCCAGAGCTTTTAGTTTAGGAAGACATTGTGACTTCCAAGTGTAAGCTTGGGGTAGATTTGTTTCAGATTAGGGATAATCATAATAATAATAATCCTTTCAATTGATATAGATTTTTTTCAGGTCAGGAAGACTTCTCAAAGGGTTTCACAAGGTTTACTGTAAAGTGTAGTGACTTGGTAACCTGAAGGTGATTGCGGCAGGCACTTTGTGCACAGCAATTCCCCACAAACAGTCATGTAGTGAATGATCATTTTTTATTTGGAGAAATGTTGGCCAAGACACTGGGAGGCATACCCTTCTCTTCTCAAATAGTGCCATGGGATCTTTAACGTCAATATGATCAGATTTAACGGTTAAACCTCGATTTAACATCTCATCTGAAGGATGTCACCTCCAACAATCAGCACATCCACAGCATTGCATTGGGTTTCAGTTTAATGGACCCAAAAATCCAAGGAATCATGCTTGTCAGCAATATAGCATTTACTTGCACGTAGAAAAATAACATTTATGTTAGCTCAGCATCCACTTTGAACTCTGGACAAAATATAGGTTCTGATTCCAATCTCTAATAACAAAGAAAAGCTCTGAGATGCTATCCCATGTAAAGGGCACGATATAAATGCAAGTTGTTAATGTTGATGACTGCTGTCAGGTGGGATGGTTCACAGCCAGCAGGACTGAACCTGTGATACAAAGCAGCGCAAAACTAGCCACTTTACTGGCCAGTGTTGCTAAAACTAACTATCCGAGCAAACTGCTTCCTTGTCCAATTTATATATTAAAAAAAACTCAACGGATTCATCCATCACATTGTTGTTTGACATTTTGCTGTTCAATGCATTTCTTGCCCGTATAACGGCAAAAGTAACTCATTGTCAGTGAAGCACTTTGAGCCGTTGTGATATAATCGGCTGTTTCAAATATGAGTGGTATGGGTGTCCACAATAATTCTTTGACTCCTGTAAATCTGCCTAAGCTTGGGAAAAATAATACATTGGTTTTATTTTATTCCATTTACTTAAATGAGATGCAATGATTAGAATATCGAGAGCTACTCAGAAACTGTGGAGCCTACTGTGGAAGTCAGATGGGATTTCTGAATCAAGAAGGAATAATTTGTATTCTTTGCAATTTATAGATGAAAGCTTTATAAACTGATGCACTTCAGTGCTACACAGGATATTTATTGCCTTGTCAGAAAAAACGATTATTTCCTGCAGTGATTCAACACTGATGGTGTTATGGTATTTAGTATTTGTGTACTTTATATTAAACTCTATTTCTTAACATATCATCCAACAGCCAGGGCTGTACATTATATGGTGTGTCAACAATTCCGTGAAACACAGACTCATCCTGGCTCAGTTGGTAGCATGTTCTGAGTCAGAAACTTGTGACTTAAGTCCCATTTCCGGACATCGAATTCCAAAGCCTAGACACTCCCAATACAATGCTCTGGAAGACTTGTATTGTTGGAACTGCTGTCCTTCGGAGGAGATGTAAACTGAGATCCCATACTTATAATAATATTCCTTGCATTTGTTATAGCGCTTTTTATGTCTTCTAGACATCTCAAAGCTCTTCACAGAATATGCTGTAAATATGCTGTAAAGTTAATTGACTATATTTGTGGGAGAAACGCGGCAGCCAATTACGCACAGCAGTGTCCCACAAACAGTCGTGGATTGAAAATGACCAAATTATTATTGTTTTGTTTTGGAGGGATTATTATTAGGCGTGTGGAGTAAGGAAACTTGCCCAAGGTTTCGCCCTACCTGGAATTGAACCCAGGTGTCTCGCTTGCAAGGCGAGTGCTCTAACCACTGAGCTACAGAACTCCAGAAAATAACTTGAAAAGAGTAGCGTTTCTCCCATTGTTCTGGGCAAAAAAAATACAATTGATCATTTGCTTAATTGGCTGCTTGTAGGATATTGTTGTGTGCAAATTGTCTGCTGCGTTTGCCTACGAGATACAAAAAGCTTTACAGTATCCTATGAAGTACATTGAGATACTTAAGACTACTTTTGAAAGAAGTTCATTTTAATTTAATGTAAAAAGATGGAACATAGTTCAAAAGAGCTCAAACGTTTCACATGTTTTTGGAAGAAAATCACTTTTTTGGGGAGATATACGATCTTCGTCTAGATTTACTCTTTTTATCTAGCATTTTAAGGAGACCAGAATTCGGCAATTTGTTGCATTTGGCCTGGACTTTGGAGTTGATTTTCTGTAATTCTTAAAAGAAACTTATTATTCCCCCCTGGAAATAACTTCAGTTATGGAACACTTTGAATAAGGATATGTATTATGGTTATTTGCAATGCCATCAGTCAATATTACCACTTCTCAGAATTAATTTTTTGCTATTTTACAGTGTAACATTTATATATTTTCAGAGCCTCAGAATATAATTTGTTACTCAAAAGAAAACCTGAAGCCTTACAGTGTACTAAAACTAGGCAATTGTGAAAAACTTCACAACAGGAAGAATCCCTGCAGCAATATCCCACCGTTAAACCGTTCATTTGAAAATGGGTGATAATATGAAGCAAGTCTGACAGCTTGCAACATAGATTTTAAAACTGTATCATGAATAATTAATTTCCCCAGTTTTTTGCTGCACCCTCAGATGACTCATCACATGATGTGACTTAACACTCAGTCATATCTTTACACTGGTACAGTAAACCTCACATAAGTCATATCAATTGGGACCATACATTTAATATGACTTATGCAAAGTAAGATTTATGCCAAACTTGCATAGAATATGCACTCTTCAATGGGACTTGGGCAAATAAACTATTTAGGCGATTATGCTATTTATACCAATCAGACTTATGCAAGTTTTACTATATTTGTTTACAGAGTCTTTAACTTTAGTCTTGTCTTTTGTACCTTGTTTTTGACAGGAATGGTCAGTTCACCCTGAAGGCCAGTGATCTGCAGCTGTTCTCTCGTCCAGAAACAATTAATATTCAGGCCTTTTCACTTAAGGTAAGAATGGAAACTACATGTTTCCTGCCCACACTGAACAGTCTGTGGCACTAAACTTTTTTTCAAAAAATATGGAGAAGTTACCGGACAGAACAGTCGTTTAAAGAACAACAGTGCCAGAATTATATTCTGAATTAAAAACTTGCTTCCGATTATGCCAATGTTTTACTCTGCTTACAGATTTCAACAGGATACATGTAAGGGAATGTAAATTGCAATAGGAATCTCTAATTGTGTCCATTTGCAAAAGTGGAAAAGAAAAAGGATCTGGATGTGATTATTGATCATTTCAGTGAAGGTTCCCAGTCAATGCAAAGCTGTTCTTAATTAGGCTAATCAAATGCATCTTGTGGGAACGAGTTGAAAGACTAACCTAATCTTGTAGAGATTGCCGGTGAAGCAATAATCAAAGTGTTGTGTGCAGTTTTGGTATCCAATCTTCAGAAGAACATTGATGTGCTAAAGAGAGCACAGAAAATAGTGGTAGGGATGATTTCGAAACTTGGGACCCTAAATTATGAAGAGAGGGTGAAATGTATTGTCGTTAGAGAAAAGAAGATTGAGAGGTGAAATAATCCATTGTCCGAGCAAACTAGAGTATCATCAGCAGTGACCTGATCACTCAGGACCATTGACTGCCAGTCATTTTATAGCACTGCGCATTGTAACATAGACTGATTTAATGGATGTAAACCACAGCAATATAATGGAATCGACTTGTACTTGCTTATCCAAAGATGGAATGATAACCCACTTCCTGGAGTGATCTAGTGAGAGATGCTGTTGCCATGGCATCTTGCTAATAACCCTAAGATATGATTCAGCTCATTAATAGCCAAGCTGTTTTCATGGAGTAAATATCTGCCAGTTTGCGGAATTCAGTGAACTCTTGTATTATTTACAATGGATGGCTGCATCAGTGTACTTTCAAATGAGAACGAAGGAAAAATATTTTGCTACAGGGTTTTTTAATCTACAGCTGCAAGAGTTTGAAAATGTCTTCAATTGCTTGTTTTCTTAATAGGAAAGAAAATCAAGTTATCTTGGATAATTATCCACCTTTGCAATGGATGCCTACACAATACATACACAATTACAGATTCCTATTGCAATTTACATTCTCTCACATGTATCCTGATGAAATCTGTAAGCACAGTAAAACATTGGCATAATGGGAAGTGAGTTTTTAGTTCAGAGTGAAGTCTTTAGATGAAGATACTTTGCTTCCATTTCACAGAACCTGATATCCTTCACCTGGACAAGTCCAAAAAAAATCCACCTAAAATGACTGCAAATTATATAACTAAAAAATCCCAGTTAATTTGCATTGCAGCATTCACCACCAACAGCATTGCTAAGATAGCCAAGTTTGACCAGAACAGCAAGCTATGTTTTAGCCCACACAGTATCATCATTTGGGTTTAGTTTCTCTTTTATTCATGAGCTAAAGAGAAATTATTTGCGGATTAAAGCCAATAACAGTTACGCTGTACACAGAATACAAACTAGAAACTGCAGCACAGTCTTTTCCTTTTATCTATGGATATTATGTCTCCGTATGGTATTACATTTTTTAATTTTTTAAATTTAATGCAAGTCACTCTTTATTACATTCCATATGTAATTGTGAAAATCCTTTGTGAACCTTTATCTTCGAAACATGTGTTTGAGGAGAGACTTAACTTTTGCCTGTACTTTGCTACAAAGAATGCACTTCTGATTGAAGATGGCGAAAAATCCATTGAAAATAAATTGATCATTCACCTCCTGGGTTATTGCTGTGCGCAAATTGTCTGCTGTGTTTGCCTACAAATACGTAATCACTATACTTAATGGAAATTATTGTAAAGTGCTTTGAGACATTCCAACATCATAGCTCTATATCAGATGCAAGGATTATTATTATAAATGATCTTCAGGCAAGTGTTCCTAGACTAGCTATCTTGAATTCTCTTTGAGCAAGATTGCTAAGTTAATTCTAATTTGTGAACAAATATTGCCGAGTGTGTGTTCATTCTTACGTGGAAAGCGATTCACCATGCTCAGGCACATTTTATGCAGATTCTTGCATGAGAATCCCCTCAATTTGTGCTGAATTAAAACCTAGGCCCCGAAGTGAATGGACCTTGAACTAAATCACTAAAAACTCTCAAGGCCCAAGGTTTTGACTCAGAACGCTGGAAAGTTTCTGCCTGTGATTCATACTCTACTTTACCTCCCATACATGTAGGAAAGAGCATGGTCTCTGTGCAGTGGCTACCGCCAATGACATGAGCAGTGTTGGGAACTAACCAAAATTGGGGATATAATGCACATTTAATCCTGTGTTCAACTACTTCACAGCTCAGTACAATCCATGTAATCCCAACTGTGCAATCTTTACCCATGCCCAGCTTTATCAAAAAATTAAAGGGACTGTACTTTTCTCCACAGTAATATGTTTAACATCTAGAATTCACTGCAGTAGAGGAACAACATTAATAAGGGACTACATAAATCTTGAAAAGTAACTTAACTGCAAAGGAATACTATCCAGTATATTCAGTATATGGCATGCTCAGCTCACTGGATCCTTTTGGAGACATTCCATAGATTGACTGAACTCAAAAGAGTAAGTTAGTAGTCAAAACAAGGAGCATTGAAGACAAACGTACCTGATATCAGGTATTGCAGCTCTTTGAAATCCTTTGCCTTTATAGTGTGTTTCTGGTTCAGATGAATGATTGGCCCTGGAGCTTTGTTTTGTGGTCTGGCATAGACTGTAGTTATTCAGTCAAGTGAAAAGATAATTGAGCGACTGGTTGCTTTGAATCATAACGCCTACCAGAGATTGTTTGTTCAACATGGCATGGAGCACACTTTTGAATCAGTTCGCGCAACAAGCAAAGCTTTGATTTAACATTGCAAACATATAAGATGCTCTCAGATACCCGCCGGATCCTAACGCTTTCTTCTCCTGCAAATTGTATGGGTGGGATAGTGCAGACAGTGGATAAAGATTACATAAGAAGCCCTGCAGGCTAAATACCTGTCCATTCTATTGAAACAGCACTTTTCTTGCATAGAAAGGTGCACCAGGGAAGATTTGGAGAGGGAAGTGGAAATAATGTTTGAACAAGTTATTCTGTATTCTTATTCTGCAGTCCACTTCTTTGAAAACCATCATTATTAGGATTGCAAGCCTTTCGAAGCAGTATTTTCAAATAAACCCTCCCTGAATAATTTATGAATTATTCAATTATCCTGTCAGCGGACACAGGATCAATGTTTTGTGCTCTGCATTAATCACACAGATTTACATATCAGGCTAATATGGTAATCTCTCTTGTTTATGAATTTTTATAGACCATAAACTGTACATTAAAGTTCACGATAAATATCATGAATAATTCACGAATATTAATTTACCCATCTTTGATTTCATTAGTAAGAAGGTACAAAAATGCTCACTGATCTGTTTCGACCCCACTATCCACATCAGCTTATTGCTAAGAATGATTTCTGTGTCAGACTTTATCGCAGGAAGATTCTGAAAAGAACTTGACCAAAAAAACTGGGAACTAGAGGCAACAAATGGTCAACAAAAATAAAGGGCTGATGAACACTGTAAAGACCACCACTGTAGTGCACTTCTCTATAGCATCTATCATTTGATAAAATACATAGACGAAGAATACCATCGCCATTAGTGATAGGTTCACATACACTCGATGCTATCACTTTCTAAATGTAAATTTAAGCACTCCGGGGTGCAACTCTGCGTGAAGGGTGCTATATAAATGCAAGTTGTTGTTGTAAACTATTGGTTAGATCTCACGGTTTTCTCATATTGGTTAAAAAGAGTGAAATATTTCCTGTCCTCCGTAAAATATTCCCATTGTTCAACAGTTTCACGACACAAATTGCAACAAAAAAAGACCTTCCGGTGTGCTATAAGTTTAGAAATATAATTCCGCATTGCTTTCAAATGAGAGAGACAGATAGATGATTATTAATGACTCTTTTTTTCACAGCCTCCATATGTACTGACAAATGAAATGTTACTGGTCAGCAGAGGTGGAATGGGAGCCATTTCTAATCTCGTCCTGGACATTGAGGATGAGGACAACCCCTCTGATGTGGTCCTTGAAGTATTGGACCCTCCAAGACATGGCCGTCTGATTGTGCTCCCAGCAAATGTGGATGTACAACACTTTCAATTGAAGGACCGGAAACACAGACAGCTTCATTACATTCATGATGGGACAGACAACATGTACGATCGGACACTGCTGCAGATAAATGATGGGCATAATTTCCTGAACGTTCTCTTCCAGATCAAAGTTATTCCAGATGAAAAGGTACCAAGCTTTTTTGAAAACTATCTTTTTCCATTCCATAAAAAGCCTTTGTTTTCAATGGGAGATTCTCTGTTTATCAAACCTTGAGTGACAATTGTGCTGAAAACTGGAAAAACTGAAGTATTTGCAAGTGAAATTGTTGTTAAACACTGGTGACTGGGTCACCATTTTCAGCAGGTAAATGTTTTTGATATAATTGTGCTTTTTTCACACATTGTGGTTTGAAATGCAGACTCAGACAGTGCTTGGCATTAGATATATGATGGGCTTTGTCACCCTTTGGCTGAATGTCATTAAGATGATGAACAATGAAGTAATGAGTGGGCTGCAGTTTGTAGATCAACTTGGTTTGGGGGTGGGGGGGTGATTATTTGGCACTACAAAGCATTCTGAGTTTTCAGCAAAAGTGAAAGAAGTGCCAATGGTTTGTAGTTCACAAACTCCAAAGACCTCAGTAATTCCCAGCAGAGCAAGGTTAAAGATTTTACAGCAGATATTTATGTAATTTGCGTAGTAGAAAGGGTGCAATTTGTGTTTCGTTTCAGCCACGGGCTTACCACATATGAAATATGCGATTTCTTCATTCATCTGGTGCACACACAGCACTGCCTGAGAGTGCAGTTAGCAGGTGCCCAGGTAATTGATGATAATTATTACTTCAGTTTTTTGCCTTGGGAAATGAGCTGATATTGAGTTTATAATCTGAAAAGATGTCTGTCTAGACTTTGTTCAAGTAAAATCTTCTACGAGTCAGCTGGTGCCTGTTTAATTGTAATTGGACAGTCTGCTGTACTGAGTGAGAGAGAGTCACCAATAGCTGTTGGTAATGGTGTTTTTCAGTTGATCTCAGCCGTATATTGTGGGGAAGAGGCAACTGAAAACTGAAGGGACAGTGACTAAACTGGAAAAATATCCAAGCTGCACTATCCTCCCCCAGGGCTTGCCTGTTCTTCCTCTCTGGGATGGTGTGTATGTGACAGAGGACCCGTGGCTGAAATTCCAGCTGGCGATACATGTCGTGCCTTTACCATGTTGGTTTCTAATGGGGATTTTCCCCTTACAATTACACATCACCCAAAGCACAAAGCATAATGCTGACCGGAATTTCAACTCTCCAGTTCAACTCTCCAAATATTCTTTTGAGAGAAATAACACAACAATATAAGATAGTCACTGGGCCCTCTTGCTGTTAGCCTCACACATGTGTGCAAACACGAAAAATCTTTCCTTGCATTATTGTGCACACCTGGGTTTTAAAATAAATTAAGCTCTCCCTATTAAACTGTTTTAAAACTCCAACCCCTTTTTATAATGTTTTTCATCCCATCCACCTAGGTTTAAAACAATGGGCAAGAAATATGCTCCTAAGTCTGTGCTAATGACACTCTGTAATCGGTGTGCCCGACTGCTTATATATAAAGAGTTTGTCTCCAGAAATGGAGGCAACTTATAGCAAAAACTCACTGGTCATCCCAGAGCTAAATTTGAGGGTTGTTTTCGAGTTCGAGCTCCTGTGGCCTCCACACAGAGGAGATCCCAATGTGAAATGAATAGGGTCAGCATCGCCACGACCCGACAGAATCACTATGCATATGTGATGACGTTACACGTTTGTGAGTGTGTGCAATATTATTGTGTCACCAATGCCCTCTTGAAGGGCAGAGGCTCGAATGCCACGGAACTGCTGTTTATCATCGCACTTCAAGCCTACAGAACCACACTCTGAAAGTGGCATTAACTTGACCTCCAGTATTCCTGTTCTCTAAGTTGAAAAGAATTCCCTTGCTCAGTGTCTCAGTTAGAAAGTTGTCAAAACTGGGATCTTAGAGATGTGGAGTAAAAGTTACCCGAACCACTGTATTAGTTCTAGCACTGCTCATGGGTAACAAGCTTTGCATTTCTAATTATAATCATGAACCAGAAGATAGCTAGGGTTAGTAATGAGTTTTTAATAGACCGCTATACCTCTGTGCATTAGTTCACCAATATTCAGCATCACTGGGTCACTTAATACTTGAAGTCTTTAAATAAATACTAAAATGACACTCTGTAATCAGTGTGCCAGGCTGCTTTTGTATAAAGAGTTTGTCTCCAGAGATGGAGACAACTTATAGCGAAAAATGGTAGGTCGTTTGCATTTGATATAGCATCTAATGGAGTCCTGTAGCTCAGTGGTTAGAGCACTCGCTTTGCAAGTGAGAGACCTGAGTTCAATTCCAGGCAGAGGGTGAAACCTTGGGCAAGTTTCCTTACTCCACACGCCTAATAATAATCCCTCCAAAACCAAAAACAATAATAAATTGGTCATTTTCAATCTACAACTGTTTGTGGGACATTGCTGTGCGCAATTGGCTGCCGCGTTCGCCCACAAATATACAGTCAATTCACTTTAGAGTGTGCTCTGTGAAGCGCTTTGGGACGTCCTCCTGACGTGAAAAGCGCTGTATCAAATGCAAGGATTATTATTATTAAATTCAGCATGATGTCTCAACTACCAGTTACTAAGTGTGGTATTTAGCTGGCATGTTCTTTGTGAATACAGTAGTGTTTTATTCCAGTGCATATTTTAATCATTAGGTAGCTGACAGTTTACTCAGCAAAACACATCCCTTTTATCATTTATTGAGTCTCTCAGCAAACTCTTCACAACAGCAGTTTTACCTTGTGAATGTCATCGTGGCCATCAGAAAATAAATGAAATTTTATTCAGAGTTGATGACTTGTTTTCTCTCTGGGAGTGGTTTTAGCTACCTGCCTGTCTTTAATACACATTTGTGGGTATTTTTATACAGTGGTATTTAAAAATGGAGCGTTTTGATAATAAAGTAGCACTCTGTAGCTGAACTGAATGATCTTCAATGTGGAAGTGCTGACAGAAATTTGCAGGAAACAGAATCACATGTGTTCCATTAAACTACTGCTCCAGGCTACATTTTTAAATATAAGCCCGGCTTCATCAAGACTACAGAAGAACCTCACAAGTACTGCCACACATTTGGGTGGAGGATCGTGTGGGAGTGTAAATAAGGCATGGTCCAGTTAGGCATGGCTCCATGCTTTAATTCTATGTGAACTTATGATCCTCTGTTTGATTGCTACGTAAGGCAGGGGAACATACCCAGGGTTTAAGCGCTCCGAGACTCGACCCGGTGTGAAGGGCACTATGTTGTTGTTGCAAGTTATTGTTTTGGTAGACCTTGCCAAAAGGAATTTAGAGCAGAAGGTTGAGTTTGCACACAAACAGGGAACAACATTTACATAGGAACTGAGGCCAGAATACAATAATTGCTGTTCCAGAATTAAACCAATACATTCCTACCTAAGATAAAGAGAACTCTGATTGACCAGACACATCTGCTCAACAAAAACACTTGTTCATTATGTGGGGCGTCCTTTTTCCTCCTTTTTTCTCCGATTTGAAATGAATTCAACCAGGGTACCTCAGAGATTGCACCTGGAGCAGTATTATAATAGTAATATTTGCATTCAATATCGCCCCTATATTGAGACACCTCAAAGCACTTCACAGGGATCCTGTCAGGTTTAGTGCATTTTGACCTGATCATTTTACAGCTACAGATGTAGGGTGTGAGCTGTGGTGGAGCAGTATGCTATATTTCAGTCATGCCTTGGGTAGCTCCCATTTGTTCTTCTTCCTGATAATTTTCTACCCTTAAAAAAACAACAGACAATGCATTTTTTTCACAATGATAGGCTTTGGTTGGCACAATTTAGATTTTCAAGTAAGAAAATTCACATCTGCCCCCAACCTCATTATAAGTGAATTCAATCTACCTTTAGCAAGAATTGTGGTAACTGGGTTTGTGTTGCATTGTTGATGAAATCAGTTGAATTCTGAACCCGAGAAGCTATGCTCAAACCGTACAGTGCTCTCTCTGGTCAGACTGGACTGGAGTATTCCATTCATTTCTGGTTGTTGTGACATAAGGGTTGTGCCCGGGTCCTGGAGAGGAGAGCGTGAAGGATTCCTAGTGTTGGAGGAATGAGCAGTGAGCAGTGATTAGATAAACTAAAGCTTTTCAGCCTTGAAAAGAGACATCTTAGAGGGTTTGTTATAGAGGTGTATAAAATTCTAATTGATTTTGAATGGGATTGAAAGCAAAAAAATAAGAGGCCAAAGGTTCAGGGTTGCAAATACCAATTTCAGGACAGAAACAAGGAAGATTTTTTTTCACAGAGAGTGTAATTAACAACTGGAATGGATTACTAATGAGGGTGATTGAGGGTAGAACACTGGACTCGTTTAAGAAAATGCTTCTGAGAGGATGGTGGTATTGATATTATGGAACGATTAAATTAAATTGGCCAAAAGAGACTTCTTCATCTGAACCTCTCTTGTGAAACATAAGAAAAAAAATCACTTGTGTTTTATTACATAATAATTACATAATAATTTATGGATTAATATAAATTATTATTAATAATAAAATTTGTGTATTTTATGATTGAAACTATATTGCTGTGCTTTCAATGGATGAAAGCCCACACTACAGAATTATCAGCATTCAGGACTAAATAGCAATACATACTTGTGTAGCACCTTTCACAACGGGATGACGTCTCAAAGTATTTCGTACAAATGACTGGAAGTTTGAGCTGGGGGAAAAAACAGTAGGTGAGAAGGGGAGGGGAAAGATGGTTGAAAACGTAGTCGAAGAGGCATGATTAAGGCAGGTTTTAAAAGTGGAGACAAATTTGGAAATGTCACTTAGAAATACTTTGAAGATAGATGGACAGATGGAGGAGCAGGTTTCTAAACAAGGCCTGTACTTGGTCGGAGTGTAGATGATTTCATCACTGGTTATGCAGTGCTTCATTGGCCAGAGTTACGATCCCTTGCTTTGATGCGGTAAACACGGATATATTAATAAAAAAATTCCCCCGGGTCTAGATTTACTCTATGTAGCATTTTAGAACACCCAGAATTTGGCAAGTTGTTCAATTCAATCTTAACTTTGAAGTTGATTATCTGTAGTTTCTTAGAAGAAGTTGCCAAATTCTGGACGCTCTGAAATGTTATATAAATTGAGTAAATATAGACCGACGTGGAATATCTCCCCACTGCCTGTTTAGTTGTGTATGTGCAAGCTTGTAGATGTTCAATCAATGCTTTGTGGTCTACCTCTGTCATTCTAAAGGGCAGCGTTTTCACAGTGCACAATCTACTGCAAGTCATGGGAGAAGAGCACTGCAGAGGGAAAACTGTAATACATAAATAGCTGCACCTTATCAGTGTGGCCTCCAAATTTGTTTGGCAAACTTGCTTACTTGTTTAATTCTAAAGCCTTGTGCACACATTTGCCTATTTGACTAACATGGTACTTTAATGATGTTTGTCCTTTGCAACCAAACCCTTTCTTGTAATCATTTCCATCTTCCAATTTAAGCCACAATTGTTTGTGCTTGCAATGTTTCAATTTAGTTCATTTTGCAAAGTGATTGGCACAATTACCAAAGAGTTCAGCTCAATGTAGCACACAATTAGTTTGCGGATCTTTTAGCACAAAAAATCGACCAGAACATTCATTTCCTACAGTGAAGGGTCTCCTGGTGATTATGTGGATTACTTGCTAGATTTTCTAATGATTTAAGAGTGATAGATTGTTTCCCCCTCTCTGAAAGCTGGGGCATTCTTCAGTGTGGAAAAACAGATTGAAATAAACTGCCCCAGCAACAACAACAACTTGCATTTACATAGCGGCCTTCACGTAGAATAATGTCTTGCAGCGATTTACAGTGGCGGGAACAAATACTGAGCAGGGTTGAAGGGAGAAGCAGAGGGTGACCATAGGTACAGTTGAAGAGGTCATTTTTAAGGCAGGACTTGAAGACAGATAGAGAGAGGGCGCAAGCCAGATATAGGAGGTTATGAGGTTGATTTGTAAAGCCTAGCACTGCCGTGTTCAGCAAAGACCAGATGCAACATAAGCCTCTGCTACTGATATGCCAGCTCTTTGATTTTGTCCTTCGTACGCTGTTTGAACAAAATAAATTTTATTCATCACAACTGTGTTCCTGGAAGCTTATGAATAACGCAGGCGTTTCTTATTTGCAGTCTTCACTCTAATCTCTGAATTTCAAACGACTGATGTTCGTTCAGGGTCCCTTCCCATTCCAGCCACAGACTTTGATCTTCCGATCATGCCCCCAAAAAGAAGAGGTTAATTTTTCCATTCAGAAATTAAAGTTCAGTCACGACCGACAGCATTTCTTTTATTCTTCTGCTAAATGTGCTGAATGTTTTTGACTGCAACAAACTGTTGGAATGCAAGAAAAGGATGTGTACACTGCCCCCCTGTGCTCACAGTGAGAGGGGTCAGTCATTCAGCTAACTCACTCTGTAAAGGATCTTTGGGTGCCTCAGGATTTTCCTTAACTTTTTGATTTCTCTGTATATTTATCTGTAGTTCAAAACATTTCACCACTTTTGAAATGCTGGTTTTAGGATGACAGTCCAAAGTAAAGGGAATACCAGCCACAGGAACTCTGCTCTGATTCACTTCTACTTTGGAGCAGAGTGCTGGCAAACTGATGGGATTCCTCAATAAAGAATCCCTTTATTATTCTGATTGACTGGGTTGTAGGACACCGTTGTGTGCAATTTGGTTGTCATGTTCCCATACAAATGCACCGTCACTACACTTTACAGAAATCCCTTGTGAATCACTTCTCAACATTTGAAGTTTACATGATTTATGCTAATTACTATTATTTTTAAGAATTACTATTTTACTATTGCAATCAGTCTGGGTAATTTAGTACTATTGTGATGGAAGTTGGGAAAATTATTGGGGAGAAATTCCATTTCAGAACCTTAAGAATTTGGTAAATTCTTAAATACAGCCTGAACTTTGAAGCTAATTTACTGTAAGTATTTTTTAAGAGCTACAGATAAACACAATTTAAAGATAAGACTGAATTCAACAATTTGCTAACTTTTGGATGGTCTGAAATGCTATCAAGAGTAACTCTGTACCCAGGTGGAATTGCGTCCCTTTTGGTGCTGTGGCAATGCAACAGTAATTTGCATTAATTTAGCGTCCCTCTCCATGGGTGGCGTTGCTCAATGGTGGAGTTTGATGCTGAGCCAGAAGGAGATGACTCTCGGCAGGCACTGTCCTAGAGGAAAGTCTTCAGATGTGATCTGAAGATAGGTAAAGAGATTGAGGCAGGGAATTCCAGAGGTTCAGGTTTAGAGGGTGAAAGCACGGCCGCCAATGGTGGAACACAGAAGACACCACCAGAACTGAGTTGACATGGTCCAAACTCATTTCATCGAGGAGTTTTGTAGCCACAAGGTGACAGAAGAAGAGTTGAATCCCAGATGTGAAACAACTGTATGATACCCACTTAGCACCCAGTTCCCTGGATTTTATTGCTTTTTGTTGTATTTCATTTTCCAGCAGAAAGATAAAGGGCCACATGTAGTGACTAACTCACCGGGATGGGTCCCTGAGAGGGGATTACTGCAGATCAACAACAAACTGCTGAGGGCAGTGGACAAAGACGTTAGTGATTCAGAGATCATCTTCACCCTAACTCATGCAAAAGAAAATCCTAGATTTGGTAGGTAACCGTTAATGTTAATAATAATCCTTACATTTGATATAGCGCCTTATCACATCGTCGAGATGTCTCAAAGCACTTCACAGGATATACTGTAAAGTGTTTTGACTGTGTATTTTGTGGGTGAAACACATCCAATTACTCACAGCAATGTGCCACAAACAGCCTTGGAGCCACGGAGTGAGTGATTTAATTTTATTTGGGAGACTGTTCAATGCAACCGGTAAGTGCAGGAATAATGGAGGATAGGGGAGCAGATTTACTAGGACTTGGGTGAATGTATGACTTAGGTGATTATACAATTATAACGAGAAGACTAATGCAAGTTTTCCTGTGCTACTGGAAACACAAAGGGAGAAGTTAGGAAAATAAATGTTTTAAACAGAAAATTGTTGAGATGTTGAATGTATAAACTAGAATGGTGGTTAAGGCAGAATCCATATCCGCTTTTAAGAGGGAATCAGATAAATATCTGAAATGTAAAGGCAAGAAAATGGGATAAAGTTGTTTTTTAGAACCAGCACTGACAGGATGGGCTGAATGGTCTCCACCTGTGTCCGTGGTTCTACTATGACAATTAATGTTGAATTTGCATATCCAACTCAATTTTAATTTGATGTTGTTTATCTCCAGGGGAACTAATTGTACAACTGGTAGCATTGAGATTCACCACTAACACTTGCTGTCAACAGGTGATATGGTCCTATTGGTGCCGATGCCAGCTGATGGTCCGGCAGATGGGTGGCAAAGGCTTCCAGATGGGAGGATAGCTACTGTGACCACCTCTTTCACTCAGCAGGACATTGATGACGGTATTGTGTGGTACAGGCACTCAGGGACAATCTCTACGAAGGACTCATTCAACTTTCAGGTACAATACTGCCAGTGTTGCTGTTGAATAGGTCCCCTCATCCCTAAAAAGGAATAGGGTTAGCACCAAAAATATCAAACTTATTACACTGTTAAAAATTTGCAACCCACTTTGAGCCAGCAGAAGTACAACATTTGGAAAGGTATTTTAAATCTTTTCTGGAATCCGCTGTCAAAACAACAATTAAATTGTAAGAAATATTTTTCTTATTGATTCTCCCTCACCAATCTGCTTCCATCTTGGAAACAATTATAGTACAATTTACATTTATATAGTGTCTTCATATCAGGACGAGCTCTCCAAACACTTCACAGTGCTGGATGGCTACCCGATCAGTGAGGGGGGGAGGGGGGTGGAGTGGGAAAGGGGTGGTGGGCGCCAGGAGGAGGTGGGGAGGGGAAAACATCAAGTTTTAAGTGATTCATTTTCTTTTCTTCACAAATCTTTCTCTAACTATGAAGCACCATGGGAAGTTTTCCCGATGTGAAAGACATCGTATAAATGTAAATTTGTTTAGTAGCATCTATTTTCTTCTCTCCTGAATGTTTTCGACTTATTTGACCTTTTCCTGAGGTATGGTTCTGAGGGCATCATGCACTCCCTGATGTCTTGCCCAAGTGACTATACAGGACATGAGCCTTGACAGTAAGTGTTGGTGTTTTTTTGACCACAAGGAGCATTATCATCAAGACCAAGACTGCCGATATTCAACAATCAGATATTTAGCCTTCAACTGGGGTGAAGGGGTCTCTGAGTGACAGCCATATGCAGGATCCCTGGTTCCTTTCCCTCCCTTTCTCCCACGGAGTGTAAAGCCCAGTCAAAGCACCCTCTATCATCACCCCTCCGAGTTCCACAGCACATCCTGGCGATTGAGCCTGAGACCGTTATCAATCTAGGTGATTTACTGAATAAACTCACCTGAGTCATTGGGAAACCCACTTAAAGTGCTTTATAAAGATAAATGGGAAACTCAGTAACTAGAGGAAATGGCGAGGGCTGTTTGATTAACTATTTTTATTTAAAGATGTGCTTGCTTTGTACTAAAGATGAAATACAAGTCCAGCTGTTGCAACCACCAAATGTTTGCCAGGTGCAAAAGCTCCATGAAATGTTTATTGCTTTACAGAAAGGTCCCTGTGGAACAGTCTCCTAAGCAACATACTTTCCTCTGCCTTACCTCTCTTTACAGCCGAGACTTGGATATGGATAAGCTATTTAATTCCAGTAAAATGAATCAACCTCACCTTTTTTAGGCTGTACTGGAGGATGCGTCAGTACTGATTTCAGGACCTTGTAGAAATAGCTACATGCAACTATCTGAAGTTCCTTGATTTATATTTATATGAAGCATGTTTTCTAGTCAATATTTTCTTCCAGAAGATTGAGAGAGTGAGTAGAGTTATGGTGGGAAAGTTTTGCGTGGTCAGTGGAAGGAATGGTTGGTGGATCCAGTGACCTTTTCTTGCTCCGAGCCTTTTTGCATTCTTTCTCATCCTAACCTTTTTCTAAAATTCTTTTAGCTACTTCTATAATAATAATCAATTCCTTTTTAGCGTACTTCTATACTGTAAAGTGAATTGACTGTATATTTTGTGGGCGAACGCGGCAGCCAATTGCGCACAGCAATGTCCCACAAACAGTCGTAGATTGAAAATGACCAATTTAATTATTGTTTTTGGTTTTTTGGAGGGATTATTATTTTAGCTACTTCTATCTGTCTATCTGTTTTAGAAGTGAGAGTACTTTTTTCTTTGCAAATACAATTGATGGCTGAGAGTAAGTTTTGGATTCTGGTTTCCCAGTCAATCAAACCTCAGCCTCCATGGTTGCATTATAGTTTGTGACCAGATGAATCATTAATGTGCAAGAACAAGTTCAAATAAAACTTCCGCTGAATAAATGCATCTCGGGATCTAGACAGTACGTGGACAAGGGAACCCATCCAGGAATATAGGAAAGGGAGAACAAGAGGTAGCCATTCAACCCATCAAGCGTTTCCACCAATTTATTAGCTGAATTAGATGAATATTCCTAACCAAGTACTGTCTATCTGATTTCTAAACATTCCTTTTGATTCCTCGTTTACAGCTTTCTGGGGCAGAGCATTCCACATCATCACTACCCTCTGTATGAAAAAGTACTACCTGACCTCTCTTCTAACGGTCTCGGTTCTGATACAAGCATTTATATAGTGTCCTTCACACGGTAGTATCTTGGAGCACTAATAACTTCAAGTTAAATAATGAATTACGTTTGTGGCCTCACATTTACTCTATTACAGCTCCATATTAATGGACCCTGATTTTCTTTTCACTGAAATGTGCATTCAGTTAACGTTTCAACGACCCAGCAATTGTGTGTGTGTAAAAATAACCCTTTGATGTGAACTTGTCAAAATGCTATGTGATAAACCACTGTAAGAAAGGATTTTTTTCTCATGGCTTTTGCAGGTTACAAATGATCCCAGAACATACAGTGGAACTGAGAGCCATGTATTTCAAATTGGAATTTTACAGGAGAACGAAGAGGCCCCACAGCTGGCTCCAGGGATTATTACCCCTCTACAAATCACAGTAAGAATTGCCTCATTATTTGGTCCACATCTGGTGTGTTTTTCCAAGTAAAATGAAGTTAGATCTCTGCATGAGGTTCTAGATCTTAATGTTTTCCGTTATTTTTGATGTTTTAAGCTGCTCTCTTTCAATATGGTTTACTAAATAACAGCATAAAGATCTCACCCACGTCAGGAGTGATGTGAACTTTATACTTTAACATATATAATAACAAAAATCAAGGTGTTAAAACTTACAGTTTCCTAGGTTGCACCTTGAACAAAGGATGAACATTTCAAAGTTCTTCAAGAAGATGATGAAGATCACCAAACAGACAGGAAAGGAGGGGAATTTGAGGGTTTAACTAAGGAACGATCAAAGAGATCTGTTTTTAATTGAGTTTAGAAAACAGAGGGGGAGCACAAAGCAGAGAGATTTTAGAGAGCTGTCAGGGTAGGGTTTCTGCGGGTGAGGACTCAGAGGGTAAGCTGTGAGACGCTATCCTGTGTGAAGGATTTAAAAACAAACTATTGTGGTTGATTTCATCATTGAATCATTCAAATGTTGTGATGATCAGCATGTAACTATTGGTTCCCCATACATAATTGTTTTCATCTCAAAGCAATGTTAGTTGTCTGTTTTAATTGCTTGTATTTGATCTTTTCTGCACAAAATTAGTATTCCAACTGTCATCCCTTTGATAAATTCTTAACCTCTGTGAGTCAATTAAAACCATGATGTAGCCATAAAACCACATCTGTATTCAGGGCAATCTTGCAAATCGGCATTGCTTGCAATCCGAATTTCCTGCTGGCTGCACACAGCTGAACATTAGATAAGAAGCGGTGAACGTGTGGGTATTTTATAAGTGCTGTAAAATATAGCGGGCAATCCGGTTGCTGCATATGTTGGCAATAGAAGTGTTTTTTTAACATTTTGTTTATTGATTTATGGCATTTTAACTTTGTAAATTAAAGATGTAGGGGTGATTCTGCCTTGTCAGTAAATGTACCAGCCTTTGACAGTGACAATATTCTACGGACAGAGAAGAATAACCTTGTATTTTTCTGTCCTTGGTCTAAACACCAACTGGGTTTATTTAGTATTTATGCAGCAGAAATCACATATGCACATTGACTGATCACCTTTCTCTCTCCCCCTCACTATCACCATCCACTCTATTCGCAATGGTGACATCCTAAAAATTGGGTCTTCTGCTGGACTTCCAGCTCACAGATCTTTTGACTGCCAATGGGATACCTGATTGTATTTTTACAATACAGAAAGCTCAAAGGATCACGGATCGTGCTAATTAAGGATTCCAAGTGTTGCAGGAATTCTGTTCCAAGTAAATCTAGTTGCAGTGGAACACCAACAGATCAGAATGGTGCCAGAAGGAGCTGCTGTCTGTGACTCCGAATTGCTATGCACCAAATTAATACAATAATAATAATCCTTGCATTTTGTGAGCAAAACACCGCAGCCAATTGTGCACAGCAGTGTCGTGGATTGAGTGGCCAAATTAATATCTAGTTTTTATTATTCTTTTGAATGCATTATTATACCCGGAAAAGCAATCTAACAATCAACTAACAACTGTTAAACTAAGGCCCCACCTGTCTGCTCAGGTGGACATTAAAGATGTCCGGGCATAGACCAGTTGGGCCGATAGGCCTGTTTCTGTGCTGTATATTCTAATGTATTCTAATGTAACTGGGTTCCTAAATTATAAAAACCCTGATGAAGAGATAAAAGTAGCAGGGCTACAGTCTCCACACCCGCTCAGACAATTAAGACAATTAAGGAAGCAAATGCCACATTTTGAACCCCAATGTTTGTTTCCGTGCAGTATTTTTAGATGAAATTATACTTTTCTTTTACTAGGCACTTGAAGATCGAGTTACTGTAATCCAGGCTACCCAACTGTCATTTCTAGACAGACATACTCCCAGCCAAGATCTAATCTACAACATCACTGCACCACTGGCCCCAGAACATGGCAAGTATTGATATAAGATTGTTAGCTTCTTTTGTACGTATGTATGGTGGTCAACAAAAGAGAAAATAATAAATAAATAACATGTGCATTTGATATAGTGCCTTACCATGTTGTCAAAACAAAGGGTTTTACTGTGAAGTGTAGTGACTGTGTATTTGTGGGTGAAAACTGGCAAAAAGAGAAAAGAATGCTGCATTTTAAAGTATCGATGCTCATATTTATGTCAAATACATTTTTCCTGAGTTTACAGGTAGGGTTTAGGGATCCAGACCAGTTTTATAAAATGTTTCTGTCAGATCCATTGATTGTAAAAGTTATTGAAGGTTTCACAGCATAGATGAGTTTTGGGAATGAAAGAGGGTTTTGTTTTCTGCTGCTGACTTGCTCTTTTAACCCGTGTCCAGCTGCCAGCCAAGCTGTCCTTCAGATGGGACGTGAAACCAAGGACCCACCTGTCTGCTCAGGTGGACACAAAAGATGTCCCCTGGTACTGTTTGAAAAGAGAGGGGAGTTACTCTCGGTGTCCTGGTCACCAATCACCCAAAATAAAATGAGTCATTAATTTCATGGCTATTTGTCAGACAACGTTCTGCGCAAATTAACTGGGGAAACAATACAGTGTATTAACAATTACATCTGGGAAGAGCTGAGCTCCTATTTTTAAAAATATTTCTCAAACTGATTCTTCATAGTACGATAAACTCCTAATAACTCAGCACTGGCTTAACGTATCACTGCCACTTAATACATCATTTTATCAATGTCTTGGCCACATTTATTGATGTATTGATACATATACATTGTGGAGTCCTGTAGCTTAGTGGTTAGAGCACTCGCTTTGCAAGTGAGAGACCTGAGTTCAATTCCAGGCAGGGCGAAACCTTGGGCAAGTTTCCTTACTCCACACCCTAATAATAATCCCTCCAAAACCAAAAACAATAGTAAAAATTGTTCATTTTCAATCTACGACTGTTTGTGGGACTTTGCTGTGCGCAATTGGCTGCCGTGTTCGCCCACAAATATACAGTCAATTCACTTTACAATGTGTTCTGTGAAGCGCTTTGGGACGTCCTCTCGATGTGAAAAACGCTATATCAAATGCAAGGATTATTATTATTATATGCCCAACTCGCCACTCTGGATAACTCATCACTGAGCCCCTATTTTGTTGTTGTTTTCCTCGGAGTGACGAGTTATCAAGAGTTTACTGTACCAGTGAACAGTAGCTGAACCAGTTTTAATAAAATAATATGTGATAAAATAATTACACGTTTTAGTGCCTTTCTTTAAAACGTATAACATTTCTAGTCATGTCATTGGAGGGGTGAATCTTCAAGTGTAGCAAGTCACTGAACAATTTACAGATACCAGTGTTTGACAGCTATAGGTTGCAGATAAAGGTTCGGGACTCTACCCGTGTGAAGACCGCTATATAAATGCAAGTTGCTGTTATATCACCCATAGTCTTTACATCTCTATCCCGTGAATAACTATGTATAACTCAGCAGACATTTATGGCTGTAACATAATCCCTGTTTGTAAGATAGTTGAGTTTTATCTCTCACAGTTTATGGTCCTACATAAACTCCGGATTTACTGTCTTAATTATTCTATACAGAGGTAACCAGGAAAATCGAGAATTCTTTTTCAGTGAGATACTACGGGTCTTATAGTTTGATGTTGATGTGGACGAAATTATTCATTTATAGTCTCAAATATCTGAATTTTGACGACAAATTAATAATTTCACACATTTTGTCCTGTGCCCTAATAATTAACTTCAATACAGTTTTCACAACAAAAAAGGAAATTCATGTTAAAATGATAGTGCTTGCCAATTCAGTTGTCTTTCTGCTCTTCTTGTAAAATCGTGTTGTCACTTTATTTCAGGTGCTCTTGAACACTCGGAGGCGCCTTTCTTCCCAGTCACGTTATTTACTCAGGCTGACGTTAACAACGGAATGATCCTGTACCGTCCACCGGCAGCTTCTCCCAACTTGCAAGGCCTATTCAAGTTCTCCTTCATTGGTAAGAGATATACTGAATTAATAGGATTTGTTCCTCTTCCCCCCTACCCATTTATTCCATGATTGTTTCATCATCCTTGGGATAGAAAGCTCCGTATGTAGAAAAAAAAGAGTGAAACTTTAAAATGATTGTCATGAGAAGTGTGCTGTTCAAATTTCATACAGCGCACTGATCTGAAACTGTAGCTACCAAATACCAGGAGGGAAATACAACTACTCATTATCTCCACAGGAAGGAAGAACATTAGTGTTAACTTTAGTATTTTGAATTACAGGACTTTTAACACTAATTAAACATTATATGATTTTCATATCAATATATAATTTACTGGATCTTGCCCCCTACATGCCTGTTATGTTGTGACGGGGACACTGAGGCCAAACTTTAGCAGTGACGGACACCGCAAATTTTTAGCCTTGAGATTCTTACGAGGCAAGCTGTTCTCACCCTGCGCTGTACAAGGTTTACAGTTCCATTTGTAGCATGCAGGACTTTAAATAAGTGTTTGAGGGACGTTTTTTTGTGGTGGCAAGCTCATTTGTTTGTTCCATTTCTCACAGGGGGCACATGTAAACTCTGTAATTTGAGCCTGGTTTTATTCCCCTAGGTCTGCCCGAGTCGGTGAACTTCCTTTTCACAGGTATATAGTTCTAACTTGAGGATAAACGTTCCTCAAATTGACTGAAGTGCATTGACTAATATCCGCCACATACTTATCTACCACAAGTTTTTGACTCTGACCTTGTGAACTTGGTGTAATTGAGCCCTGATGTTCCTGCCACATGTAGGAATAGACATTAGAACACGCCAGGCTTTCATGGAGTGACATTTATCCACACTAATGCATGTCTCCTGTTACCTGACCCCTTAAATACAAGTTTTGTTATCAATACTTTTTTTATAGTAAAATGCAAAAAAGGTTTGTGGTCCTACTCCGAAGCAAATAAAGAATTATGACCTTGCAACCTGAGAAATTAAATCTTTTGAAAAAGGTCCATTCACCGGTAAACAAAAGAAAGTCTGCAGTTAACATCCTTTTAATCCTCTCAGCATTAACCAGGGAGTGTTCACTCTACACTGCAAAAGGAGCCGATGTACAAGCACACAACCTCGCCTCGGTTCTGTTAACATCTTTGCATGATTACATAAATAAGGGTTTTATATTCGGATCTGCAGGGGAGCATGAATATCGCAAATATTTTATGTGGTGTTTCTTTGTTTCAATATCATCTGTTCCATAAATTTACTGTTCAATTGAAATATTTGTGAACTATCCATTTGCATTATTAGTACAATATTTTAAATGTTCTGCATATATATTCTCAGACATGGATATTAAGAATATCATCACCAGATTTCTATGAGAAAAGCTACACTTTATCATAAACAGAAAATATCCTGCTGTAAATGGCTGATTGCTCTGCCTCTTTAAATCCCTTCTCCCTCCCCACCCTGTGGCAAAGTGTCTATTCCAGACAATGAGATGGGGCATTTTGCCTGCACTCAGACCTCTCCCAGTGGTTGTCATAAGCCTTGGCAGCTGGAAGGATGAAGGGTCTTCCTCCTAATCTGTGTTTATTTGTCCGTCATCCCCTCGTCTCCCCCGCACCTCAGCAGGGTGGTCCAGTGATGTCAAGACCCACATGAACAGATGCTGGTGAGCAAGAACCTGTTCCCTATCATTCAATTCCAACTTATTCCACCAAATTTAGTAACATTTGGGTCTATTTGACACTGAACACATAGCAATCTTTTTTTCAGCATTTTTATTGTTTTGTTGTTGGTCAGACGGTGTCTGACACAGACCAAAACCCATCATAATGCTTATGAGTGTCCAAACCAGACTGAAAGTTCCAGTTATGTTTGCAACGTTCCCTGGAGAGTTCCTACCCTCCTTACCCAATTTTAGAGAATATTAGGCCCATATTGTCAAGAGCCAAGACTTTTGCACCTGAGGGTACTGCTTAGCTTGCCATTGAATTCACTTTATGGTTTATATTTCTAAGACAGACCCAAAGATCATTATTTTTATGGATCAATATGCCCTATTACCTGGGCAAATATACAATAACCCCTCCCAACATGATTCTGATGAGCTACTGCCTCTGTTGTACGACAGAACTGTGAAGAGCCCTTTCACAAATGGAGAAACAATGCAAAACATCTTTTTTGTAGCACTTTTACCAAATATTCTAATTTAAATTCAGCATTAGATCACTGTCATACAGAACGAACATATCATATTGAAACTTTATCATACAGATACAATGACATAATTAACATGCGCGTGCCATCATAATACTGACATATCTTACTGATGTATTTCAGGAGAGAGTGTGTATGGTGAGGGTTATTAATTCCTGTAACTGTTTTGTGCTTATTTTACTTTTGTTAAATTAAGAATGTGGCTGCAAGTTTCAGCTGGGTACCTGAAAGTGATTTTGTTTTGACCTTCTCAGTCTCTGATGGTGAACATGCTTCACCGGAAATGGAGTTCACCATTCATCTGCTGTCCACAAATCAGCAACCTCCTGTTTTCCAAGAAGCACATCCTTTCATAAAGGTCAGCCAGGGAGGAAGTGCTGCTGTCGGTAAGCCATGATATTAAATTGCCCTTAGTTTTGAGTTCGTATTTCAAATCTTCAGTATCCAAGTGCAGGCAGGCTCTCACGGTGAATAAGGTGATGCTACCCTGCGTGAGGAGTGCTATATATAAAGGCCTCATCCTGGAAAGGCTAAATTGGTCAAAATCTTCCCAGTGTTTCTGAGAGAAGAGATGAAAGCCACCTAGGCTCCTGCTCCCAGTTCGTCTAAAGAAAGCACTGTCTACTGTTTGTGCATGTGTGGCAGCCAGGTGGGGAGAGGTCAGGCTCAGATCAACGTCCCCATACAATCAATTGGACTGCTGATTCTCACTGCGAAAGCTCACACATGAGCAATGACTTATTGAGTGGGTATCAAAAGGAAACCAGCATGTGTGAAACTTGATCCTGCAAGAGGGGGGCCAGAGCAGGAGCAGAAAAGCGTATGGCAATGGGGAAAATTAGAAAAAAAAACTGAACACATTAAATTAATTTGCTAAAAATAATAAAGAACATCCAACTCAAGCACCTATTCATAGGAAAATGTGCATTAATGTGCAATAGAATAGATATTATAAAACACAAGATGGTATAGATTAGTGCAATCACCTCAATCCAAGAATTTTATATTGTTGTAGATACAATACAATTATACAGTACCCTTCATCTTGGGAGATATCTCAAAGTGCTTCACACTGCGGGCTGGCCACCTGAGCTGGGGGGGTGGGAGCCAAAGAGGGGAAAGATGGGGGGGAACGATGACAGAAAGCCCAGTCACAAAGAACAACATACATCGTCTGATATTCTTTATACTCTGTCCGTAAATGGAATTTAGAATGGAGGATTTATGTGGCACTATATTTTTCAGTGATGTCTTTGTGGGTTGGTTTAACTGCACACGTATAAAGAAGGAAGTTCATTACAAAAAACACCCTCCATATACATGTATACATGCATATGCACATGGTTAACTCTTCCCATGTTTTGAACATGGGTTGCTAACCCAACGCACAAATGAGACCCCAACAACTTGCATTTGTGTAGTGCTCTTTTGTTCGATAACGTGGGGCAGGTGGAGCAATTCACAAAGGTGAACGGGATGGGAGAGTTGAGGTGACCCCAATGAGTGTTGTTGATCAATTCATGTGATTTGAATTCCAGGAATAGTATTTATTTCATTATATATTATGAATAAGATGACACTCATTTAAGCTGTGCAGAGTAAAATTCCTCACGTGCCTTCCTTGAATTAAATGCTGACATTATGTAAAGGAGCGTTGCTTTGTTTCTGTTCCAGGTTTGAGCCAGCTCGCAGTCAGTGATGTAGATACATACCCAGATGACCTTCTGTTTGAGCTGGTGGAGCCCCCTCAGTTTGGTGATCTGATGATAGCTGACTATGGACTCCAGAAAAAGATGAGGAAAGGTGAGTGCTTCCCACAAACAGTGGTGCATTAAAGTGACAAGCTTGAAACTTGGATCATGAGAAAGGCATGTAACTGAGAAGAACAAAAATGCCTGCTGAATCTTCTTAGTAATGTAGCCTTGTGAGCCCATCAGTCTTGCTGCATGTGATCCCTTTGAAGGCTTTGGTAATAGCAGCATTCCTCCATTCCTGGTTCTGTAGAGGATAGGACTGTATCTTTTGGCAAAACATTTATTTGAAAAATAGCGTACTGTTCCAATGTCGACATTACCCCTTTAGACACAGATAATAATAATCCTTGCATTTGATATAGCGCTTTTCACGTCTTCTCGACATCTCAAAGCGCTTCACAGAATATGCTGTAAAGTGAATTGACTGTATATTTGTGGGCGAAACGCGTCAGCCAAGTGTCCCACAAACAGTCGTGGATTGAAAATGACCAATTTATTATAGTTTTTTGTTTTGGAGGGATTATTATTATGCGACACACTAAGCTACAGAACAATGCCATGTTGCAGGTTTCCTTAAACCATTTGCTTCCAGCAGGCTTAAAAGCTTGTTCATTTAGATGGACAGTTTTTTTTTGTTAAACCGCCCTGCATGGTGAAAGGACGCACTGTATTATACTGGTGGGCAAATCTTAAGCTTTCCTTCCTGAAACGATCATGTTGCTGATATTATGAAGCGTTTGCATTCATGTAAACAAAGTACGTGCTGAGATTTGGAGATCATCCAAGTCAGAAGCTGGACTGGATTATTTGCATTGCCTACACAGTGAGGACTTGATGTTGTCTGTCCAGGCAGCAATACTTCAGCAATCAATTCATATCCTTGAGTGAATAGATTTGGCGATGGCTTTCATAATCTCTGCTTTCCTGTCAGGGCTTCTTCATTGCTGCCCTACCCCGCCTACCTCTACAACCTCCTCCAACCTCACAAACTCGGCCACTCCATTCGCTCAGTAGGCTTTGGCCTGCTTCAAGTACCCTGCCCCACCCGCCCACCCTACCAGCACTGATCAGGCTTTCAACATATCTGTCCCCACTGTTTGAAATGGCATCCCAGAGTCCCTTTGACTCGCCCCTTCCTTCGGCTACTTCAAGGTCTGCCTCAAGACTTTCCTCTTTGACCTCGCTTTCGGACATCTTTCCCCGCCCCACATGACTCAACTCCCCTGGCTCCCAGCCCCAGATCTGGTGCAAGAGCTGGACTGTTCAGCGCCTTGTGACTGATATAAAAGGCGCTATATTAATGGGCCTTCTCGCTTTCTGCAGGAGATGCCTTCACACAGGACAATGTGGAACGGAACACCCTTCAGTATCTTCATCATGGCAGTCAGACAACGGAAGACAGTATGAGAATCCTGGTCACTGATGGAGTTACATCAGTAACAGTGCTGCTGAAAGTGTGGGTGACAGTCAACGATGGACCACAGCTTGCACCTGGTTCCCTGCTGTCCATTTCAGTGCCAGAGAAGAACTCTGGGGCAGTAACAAGATCTCACCTGGCATACATTGTACGCACAGTATACTACCTGCAACTTGGGCATTCAGGCTTTTCTTTAATTTGGTGACTCCCACATTATTATTTCTTTTTTTCTAATATTCTCCCTGCTTATTTTATACTTATTTTCATTTCCATGATTCAGTGTTGTTCCTTCCTGTGTAAACCCACTAATATCCCTCGCTCCCTGTTCTCCTACATATCCTCACAAAGATATCCCTTACTCCCCGCTCTAGTACATACACTTAGATATCCCTTGCTCCCTGCTATAGTTACAAACCCTCACAGATATCTCTGATCTCCTACATACCCTCACAAAATTCCCTCCTTTTCCGTGATTAAGTAAGTTGAGCAAAAATGTACATAAAGATGCTAAAAAGAACAAAAGGGATCTGTATTTAACCACTTGTCCTTTCTCCTCTAGGATAATAATTCTCCTGACGCTGCAATCCGAATTCAGCTAATATCTCCCCCCATGTACGGCATTCTCACCAGGACTAAATCTGGGAACAACCGCGAAGAACTCTCAGCACTGGCAACTTTTACAATGGAAGATATTAACAACCAGAAGATCAGGTAAGGGTTAAAACTACTAATAATACTCCTTACATTTTGATAGGATCTTTTCACTTTCACAGCACCTGTGAAGAGTGTCTCTGGCCGATATCCAAGAGCAGTACCAAAATAAAGAGCAATTGATAAAGAAACGTTAAAGATTTTAATTGTGGACACAAAGAAAAACCTTCTATTTTTGAGCTTTGCGCAAAGGATTTTCCATCTGTTTTGACACATTTTGGTTCTTACATGGACTAATGACCACGTTACCATGTTAACCATTCTTCACAAGTCCGTTAAGTGCTTCATGACGCCTTTTGCTGATTGTATAGTTGTACTGTTTGACCCTCAGGAATTATTGAGTCGCTCTGAGTAAAGTTAAAATTTATTCCACATACTAATAATGCCAATTTTCTGCTCGAGCGCTTTCTAATGGCCATAAGGAGTGACAGGAGCAAAATTATTTTATTCCCTCAATGTTCTTAAATAAATCCCATTATACTTAATTTTATGATAATGTAGACTGTCTATTAACATTTTGAATTCACAGAGGTCATTAAGTCAAGTCATCATCATGCTTAGACTTCATATGGACAGAGTCGCAACATCACATCAATGAAATGCCTAGGAATATGTCCATCTGATACAGCAACAAATAACAAATTGCATTTATATAGCGCCTTTCACATCAAGAGGGCATCCCAAGGTGCTGGACAGTCGAGAGTTTGCACTCGAGCTGGAGATTGGATTCGGGAGGGGTGAGGGTCAAGGGGACTGGGGGTGAGAGGGGGGAAGATAACCGAAGGTGGTCAAAGAGTAAAGGCTTGAGACTGACCTTGAAAGCAAGAAGGGGCAAGGCAAAGAGTCTCCGGAATGAAGTTTCAGAGATTAGGGACAGATAGGTTGAATGGTGGGGCAAGCAGGCCAGTGCCTGCTGAGCGGAGGGAGCGGGCAAGTTGGTAGGGTTTAAAAAGGTCACAAAAATAGGGTGGGACCAAACTGTAGATGTATTCAAAAGTGAGGATGAGGATGTTGAACTCAATCTTCTGGAGGATGGGGAGCCAGTGGAGCCAGTGAGAATGGGGTAATAGGCTCACGGAGCCTAGTGCCGGAGAAGGCATGAGCTGCAGAATTCCTGATGGACTGCAGCTTGTGAAAGTAAAAGTTGGTAATCCGACAAGCAGACATTTGGCATAGTCTTGCCTGTAACAAAGTGCTTTGCCCTAAAATCCTGCACAAGACCTCAGTAAAAAGGCTATAAAGCTACCTCTTTGACTGTGCCTTTCCTCACCTCCCTATCCTCCAATGCTTAGCATCTGCCTCATGCTTATGAAACTCTGAGACTTTATCCGATTCGAAGAGCACTATATAAATGTGAGTTGTTATTATTTGCAATAATTAAATGAAATGAATGAAGTAATGAAACATTGTCTACATTATGCAACTAATTTGCTCCGCTGCCTAAACAGATATGTCACAGACTATGACACTGGCAATCAACCAGTCACGGATATTTTCTACTTTAATGTCTTCGATGCTGATAACAATCAACTCAATGACCAAATGTTTACCATCACCATCACTGCTGTTGAGAACCAGCCACCAATGGTTACCATCAGAGATGAAGTCACTGTAAGTTTTGAAAAAGTTAGCCAGTGTTGTAAGGAGACCAGGGCAATAATTCAATGCAGGACATGAGTGCGTCATCTGTTAACTCTATGTAGGTTAATTTGTGATATTCGCAAACTAAATTCATTCAAATATACACAAACTGAAAGTCCCAATTAATGCAACAAAGCTACTTTGCGAACAGCTGAAAAGTAGACCCTCACATAAATGTCATTGAATCTATCCCTGTTGTATTCCACTTCTGTTGAATTGTTGAGAAGATGTTCTTAAGAAATCAATTTGGCACAAGATACTCAGGCACACACAAGAGAAATCACATGTTAGTTTGTTAGTTTATGAATCAGTGTTTAAATCTGTATATATTTATTGTCATCTACATGTAACTATAGTAGGTACATCTTTTTCAAAACTGTTTAAAAAAAATCAAGAAGAGGCAAATATCTTGATGATGATTTCTTTCTATTTTGTTTTGGAATAAATACTTTTGAGGAGCGATTGAGGAGAAATTCCACCTGGGTCTAAATTTACTCTATTTATGTTGCATTTTGGAGCTTTTTGGTGTTTGGTGTTTTTCTTCCTTTTATTGGTACTTTGTCCATATGGCCTCATTTGTGAGTCTTAATAGTGAATCAACAGTTAAGGTATCACATGAGGGGTACCACAGTTCAGCCTGATCCAACTCAACATCCACGCATGTGCACCTCTGTATCAGGAGCAGGTAGCTTACCTTGGAATCTGGGACCTTCCCAGTCCTTGTGGGTCAACTACTCACTGGTTAATTGTGCAGATATATTGGGGGTTAGGGGAGAAAGGAGCATATATATATATAGAGTATATATAATATATATACACACATAACTATTGATATATATTTGTACTGGATGTAGGTGGAAGAGGGAGGCCGAGTCCTGTTGTCATCACACAGTATTCTAGCCACGGACTTTGACACCCCTCAGAGAGACCTGTTGGTGAGGATAACCACTGCACCGACCTTTGGCTACATTGAAAATCTCAATAGAGGTACAGTATCTGCACTTCTAATATATTATGTGACACATTTCTCAACTTACTGCCAGATACACTTCCACTGTATTTTATTATTAATAATAATAATCCTTACATTTGAGGTATAAGGCATTATTGACTAAGTTATTCAAGTTATAATACATTTCACATTGGGAGGAAGTCCCAAAATGATTCACAGAATACATTGGAATGAATGTGCACTTTCTATGCGAATACGGCAGCCAATTTGTTCACAGCAATGTCCCATTATCATCCACGAAGTGAATGACTGATGTTTTATTTGTGGGATTGTTGCCAAGTTGCCCGGAGAAACTCCCTGCTCTTTTAGAGCAGTGCCATGGGATCTTTGACATCCATCCAAACATGCAGGCGGGACCTTGGGTTAAAGTCTCATCCGAAGGACGGCAATGAGTCACAAGCACTTAGACAGGCCCCATGTTGCCTTGTCTCTGGACACTGCCACATTGGCACCACTTTAGATGATGTTCATAATGCAGGATTTAAATTTTTTTGTTGTTGATTTTATTGACAGAAGGAAGAATTGACAGAGCAGTTATTATCAGCCCGGGCATTCCCTTCTCTATTCAGGACATTCTTGATAACAGTATTTACTATGTGCAAAGCGTCCATCGAAATATTGAGCCAATATCAGATGGCTTCGACTTCTATGTAACTGACAGCACAACTCGGTCTCCATCGTACCACTTCAACATCACTATTCTGGTATGGTCAGCTGTCACTTCACCTTTTACAATAATATATAATAATATAAATTATTCATGCATTTAATGAATGGTTACTGCACTGAAATGTTTCTGTCAGGTGTAAAGATATACTTCCTGGTGTCTATTCTGCAATTGGCTTTCACCTGAACTTTTGCTTTTTGTTGTTGCATCAGTGCAAGCATTCTCTTGAGTTTACTTTTTCAATCCTATTTGATATTGTCATATAGTCGATCCTTATTGTAACAGTGTTTTGGGATCCATAGAGTAGAATCTTGATAACCTGGAAGTCAGCAATTTGTGCATACACGGAGCACAGGAAGTTATATCGACAGCAATCTTGTGACCCAAATGCCAGCCATTTTGCCAGCGCAGGGACCGAGCCAGTCAGCTGGTGAAACCAGCAATCACAGCCTTGTTATAAAATGGGTTGGGCTTTTATAGATTACAATGAGGCTGCAACTGTATTATGGAAAGGACAGCTTTGAACACAGCTTCCCTCTTTGTTTCCAGCGGAAGAACGATGAACCTCCCAGAATGACTGTCCAAACTGTCCATGTGAAGGAAGGAGCTGGCGTGGTGATCACAAACACCTCCCTGAGCCTGCAGGACCTGGACACACCAGAGAATGAATTGGTTTTCAGAGTGACCAAGAAACCAAACCATGGTATAATAATAATAATCTCTGCATTTAATATAGTGTATTATCATGTCTTTGAGACGTCTCAAAGCACTTCACTATAAAATGAGTTGACTGTATATTTTGTGGGCAAATTGTCCCACAAACACTCTTGGATTGAGTGACCAAATTGTTATTTTTTGAGAGGGATTATTACCCCCGGAAAAGCCATCCACCAATCGACTAACAACTGGGTTCCTACTTACAAAGTAAACCTGCTAGGCGTGTGGAGTAAGATCAACAAAATTACATTTAAGGAAACTTGCCTAATGTTATCCCTACCGGGAACCTGCAACACAAAAGAAATCAGTGATTTTGCTTTTTTAAATTACAATAATTATAGAATTTTATTTAGAGATTGAAGGAGCCAGGATTCAGCGTACAAATTTGACATTCAATGTAGATTTTTATCCTAACTTGCACTGGATAGCACTGTTTTTAAGTAGCATTATAAAGTATAAGGTAGAATGTGCTCTGATTTGTAGCATATTTTTAAGTCAGTTTCATTCAGTAAAACATTTTGGGATTACATGGTAGGTAGCACACTGCATAGAAGAATTATGCCTGTTTTATGCATTTTCTCCAGCAGTAGAGTAAGTAATAACAATAATTCTCTTACGTTTGGTAAAGCCCCTTTCTCAGAGCACTTCACAGGATATGAAGATTCGCTAAACCCTCAATAGTCTTTTAATGTTATTTTGTTGAAAGATTCACTCATATAGCTGGTCTTAAGGTACAAGGTGACTGAACCACTGGGAAAGCTATCAGTCTTTTTGAAGGGAGGGGTTAGGTGGGGAGAGTGGATTGAATATTCCAACAACTCAAATATTTTATAGTTGATTTTTTTTTCTAAAGATAAAGAGAACCCAGAACAGTTTCTCTGACAAATGATCCATTTCTTTTTTGTTTCAACTTAAGGCAAACTTCGGAGAAGGCAGTTTTATTCAGAGCCACTGGAAAATGGCCGTGTGCTGACTCAAGGCTCGTCCTTCACATACCAGGATGTGCTGGACGCTCTGATAGTTTACACCCACGATGGGCCCATAATCCAGTCTGACGAATTTCGATTTGCCTTCACGGACGGGCTGTATACAGAGAATGGGAAAATGGAGTTTCAAGTGGAAAAGCAAAAGAATGAGGCGCCAAGATTAACTATTAACCGAGGTCTACAGTTCGCAGCAGGTAAGAGCAAGCGTTCAGACAGGATTGAAAACCTGGACAGAAAACAGTCAGTATGCAGGACACTTATTCGAAATATCTTTGTCAAAATTGTTTTGTCATTTTCCCCTAAGTGGTTCCAGGACTCTGAGATGCTTATCCTGTGTGAAGGATGCTACATAAATACAAGTTGTTGTTAAGGTTTTGTGTGGTGGTTGTCATCCAGTAATGCCCCAAGCCTGAAATTCCATCTAGCCTTAGGCTATAAAATCATTTTATGTCTTAAAATGAAAGACCCCCACAAGAATTGTGGAAAGTTCTTAAATTCAATTGTAACTCAAAAGCTGCTTTTCTACAGGTCTCAAAATGAATTGATTTCCAAATCGGGACTGATTTTAAGAAGTTTCAACAATTCTGCACAAACTTAACTTTTCAGGAAAAACAAATCTTACAGGCTAAGACTAGGTGGAATTTCTGGCCTCTAGAGTGTTCTGCAAGATAATACCAGGTTGAGAGACTGGGGTAACATAAATCAGGAGAGTGAAATCGAAACAGTTGATCAACATCATGTCAGGCTTGAGATACATTACTGCCTTCAACTCTAGAAGCTTATTCTCCATTTTCTATATTTACCAAACTCAACACAAGGGTCTCTTCATCACCATTTGTGAGTAAATGTACTGACAACTGAAGATTCCCCACCCCCATGTTAATTCTTAGTATTATATAGAAATGTTAGGGTTAGAATGAACCAGTTAGTCACTAACTGACCTGTTATTCATGTAATTAGGGGTGTGGGCATCAGGAGAGGGTCTAATTTAAATTGCACAAAAGAGATTATACTCGGTTAAATATCTGAACTCCTTTTTAGTTACAAAGCGGAACCACAAAAAGTGGTTTGTCATTACACCAGTACATACTCATTCATTTTTTTCTTCTAATGGCATTTAGGCTCCGTATCAGTAATTACTGAGCAGCACCTAAAAGCTACAGATATCGATTCTGACAATGAGAAGCTCAAGTTTGTTATAACCAAAGACCCAACTGTGGGACGTCTGCAGATGTCCAAAAATGACAATTTGGTTCAGATTTCCATCAGGGGACCTATTAAAAGCTTCACCCAAACGGACATCAAGAAAGGTGAATGAATCCTACCTACTTTATCTTCAGACCCTAAAAAAGACGTCTGCCAAAATATATTCAATCATTTGTTTAACTTTTGACTTTGAATTCTTAATAAACATAAGTTAGAACATTCGCAAAGTAAAAGAGCAACCATAATGTTATGACACAACAATACTCAACAAGATTTTCTTTTAACCGCTCACCACTTTCTGCTGCGTTGCTAGGGTACGTGGAGTACCGGCATGAGAAGGGCGAGCCTGGTGGGAGTTTCGCTTTCAAGTTTGATGTGGTCGATACAGATGGAAATAAACTGATTGATCAGTCTTTCTTCATTAGCGTGCTGGGTGAGTGTTTTCTAATTCCTGTTAGTGATAGAGGTTGTTTCATTTATCTTTTATTGTGTCCAATACTTTGTTCTCATTTCAAATAAGAACAAATTGCATTTATATATTGCCTTTCACGTCAGGGGGACGTTCCAAGGTGCTGGACAGTCGAAGGAGATGAGGGAAGGTGTAAGGCAAAGGGACTCCAGGATGCAGTTCCAAAGAGTGGGGACAAAAAGGCTGAAAGCCTATTCGCTGATGGTGGGGCAGGCAGGACAGGGGACATGAAGCAGGCCAGTGCTTGCCAAGCAGAGGGAATGGGCAGGTTTGTAGGATTTAAGAAGGTCACAGAGGTAGGGTGGGTCAAGACCGTGGAGGGATTTTAAAGGGAGAACAAGGATCTTGAACTCAATCCACTGGTGTTTGATGTGCGGTTAGAGGAGGCTAGAGGGGGTGCACGGAGGAGGTGATGGACAGTGGAAAACAGTGTCTTTGGGTTAGTTTGGCCTCCAGGATGACTTTGGAGTAAAAATCAGTTTTGGCTTGTGAAAGGGAGAGGCAGTTGGTGCTTGAGCCACAGATGGCGGTGAATCATGAGGCTGGATTTCTGCCATCTGAGTTGAGCATCCAGGTTTAGATTTCAAGTGAGCGGAGATGACTGTTGTACCAGGGGGAGCAGGTGGATTTGGAAACAGCCCTGGATTTCAGGGGAGCCAGCGAATTAAAGGTTACTAAGCTATTAATGTGTACTTGCCTCTTGTTTTGCAGAAGATAAGCTTCCACCATCTATTGTAATTAATAAAGGCCTTGTACTGGACGAGAACACAGTGAAAAAAATCACCACCCTCCAGCTCTCAGCCACTGACCAAGACAGTGAGCCTGGTGAGTTGGTTTACAGGATTACCAAACAACCCCAGCTGGGCCACATTGAACACGCTGCTTCCCCAGGTAAATAAAAGCAAAGAGTTTCCAGAGAAATGACTGTCTCCTTTGGATCATCTATTGTTTAAGGTTTTGTCTCACGTACTGTGAAGTAAGCAATAATATTTCAGTGAAACGATGCTGAAATGTCAGGCACTTTTATCAATGTAATATTACTCTGAGAGGTTGTAGTACTCGAGACTCGAGGCATTAAAAAATCAAGACAAACTCTTACCAGATAAATTAATAAAACCAATACAAACAACCCACACTAACTGCAGAGTACCTTTCTTTGTATCTTGGATGTGTTAGCTCCCCTCCCTCGCACACACTAATGCGCACCTCTCCTCTATTCACTTCTCTGCAACAACAACAAAATTACATTTGTATAGTGCCTTTCATGTCGGGAAGACTTTCCAAGGCCCTGGACAGATGGAATTACAGGGTCGGGGTGGGGGAGGGTGGAGGGCATGGGGGGGAAGCAGGGAGATCGAAAGCACGGTCGAAGAGGAAGGTCTTGAGGTGGATCTTGGAGGGGGCAAGATGGAGGAACTGCAGGATGGAGTTCCAGAGGGTGGGGGCAGAGTGGCTGAGGGCCCGCCCGCCAATAATGGGGCAAGCAAGGTAGGGGATGTGAAGCAGGCCGAAGCTTGCTGAGTGGCGGGAGCGAACAGGATGGTAGGGGGTTAGGAGGTCGGAGAGGTAGGACGGAGCAAGACCATGGAGGGCTTTGAAGGTGAGGACCAGGATCTTGAACTGTGTCCTCTGTGTGATAGGAAGCCAGTGGAGTTGGGTAAGGATGGGGGTGATAGGGTCGAGCAGCCTAGTGCAGGAGAGGACAAGGGCTGCAGAGTTCTGGATGATCTGCAACCTGTGGAGGGAGGAATTGGGGAGGCCGACAAGCAATGAGTTTGCATAGTCAAGCCTCGATGTAATGAAGGCGTGCGTGAGGGTTTCGGCGGCCTGCGGTGTGAGACAGTGTTGGAGCCGGGCGACTTTGCAGAAGTGGGGGAAGGCAGAGCTGCGCAGTGGGGGAAGGCATGGCGCAGATGTGGGGTAGAAACGATAGTTGAGGGTCAAACAAGACCCCAAGATTCCAGACTGGCTCAGTAAGGTGGAGTGTGCAACCATGGATAGTGATGCTGTCAGCGCCTGAGGTGAGGAGGCGCTGATGTCTGACAGACATTATGTCAGGGCAGCAGTGGTCCTGGAGTCAAAGGTGGAGGCAGAGAGGTACAATTGGGTGTCATCCCCATACATGTGGAAGCTGCACATTACATCCCATTATTTCAAATGTGTTATTGATGATTTGGATGTCATTCCCTTACATCTTAATGAAGTTTGCGCACTGTTATATTCTCACTTTGTTTTTTTTATAGGGACAAAGGTCAGCCACTTCTCGCAGGCTGACCTTGCGGCTCGCAGCATCCAGTACGTGCACACCAGTGATGAAGAAAAGCATTCAGACGATTTCACCTTTTCAGTGTCTGATGGTGCCAATGAGGTACGGTGAAATTACTATTTAAGCGGTGAAAATAAAATCATACAAAGCACACTGTATCAAATTCCAATACTGAATAGTGCTTAGCAAATGTGATTCCTCAACTACTGTAAACATCAGTCAAACCAGGCTCCAATGTCAATTACCAGGTACTCAAATAGTACAGAAATCTTTTTAACTAACATGATTTAACCTTATTTTTATAATTGCACGGATGCAAATGTTCATTTGTCAAAAACAAGAACAAGTACGATGAGAATATTGGTAAATGCTGAGCCTGTTATTGTTACCTTGTGTCATCCATTTAACCTGCAAGTTCATCGAACGGTATATTAATTTTAGTGCAGCATAGTAGTTCTACTATTTGGCATGTGTAACCATATGTCAATTATGTGTTAAACAATTAAGGGAATTACCTTAATAATGATATTATGTAATTAACAACCTGTTTTGTTTTAATTAATTAGGTAATTACCTCTGTACACACGTTTACATATGCATGACTCGCATAACAGACCCAATGATTTTACTGTTGGAAATAAGAGTTCAGTGCTTAAAGATTTTTTGTATTTTGTACTGCCTCAGTTCCTGTAGGCTCCCATTAAAGGCAGTGTTGTGTCCTCTTTTTGTGACCATAGGTGGCCCAAACCTTTTATATTACTATTCGGCCTGTGGATGACTCCCTGCCTGTGGTTCAGATTCCTGGAATGCGAGTGCAAGAGGGAGTGAGGAAGACTATCACAGAATTTGAGCTGAAGGCCACAGATGCAGACACTGAGGTAAGTCTTTTTTTGAAACTGCACCCTGCCTTTGTCTCAGTGTGATGAGATATAGTCTGGATGTGTCTCCAGTATAAAGTTATTGACAGAGTGTTACAACAACAACAACTTGGATTTATATAGTGCCCTCCACTCCGGACGGCGTCTCAGAGCGCTTCACAATAACGGATCCTGGGGCCGAGCCATGGGGAGGGGGAAGAAGGTGATCAAAGGCACGGTCGAAAAGAAAGGTCTTTAGCCGAGACCTGAAAGTAGGAAGAGAGTAGGGGCCCCTGAAAGTAGGGGCGAAGGGAGTGAGGAAGGGAGTTCCCGAGCCTCGGGTGTAGTGGCTAAAGGCACGGCTGCCAAGGGTGGACCGGAGAATTCGGGGGACAAGGAGGAGGCCAGACCCGATTACAGTTTCCAACACTCAGCTCAGAGCAACCACACTTAACAACGCCAAATAAAACTAACAAAAAACATTTTAAAGTGAAATATTCCCCCCCCCTCCCCCATTCACAGTTGGTAAGGGAAACTTCTTTCCCTAATACCTTATTTTATTTGCAAGTTGGTCATATTATTAAAGCCCTATTGAAGCCTCTTCAATAAAGAGGACAGTGATGTTCTTGTGATCTGAGTTTATTTATTTTTGAATGCTTAAGGTTACTGTAAGACCTTGTGACTTTTCTGTTTTAATATATTTCTCCAGCCTCTCTCCAATTACAGTGTTTTTCTTTAGGGCGATCTTTCAAGAGTTTTATATATTAAAATGTGAATTTGTTTTATTATTATATGATGGATTCAGGAGATTTTATATTACAGCAACAACAATAAAATTACATTTGTAAAGCGCTTTTCACATCGGGAGGACGTCCCAAGGTACTGTACAGACCGAGTTACGGACGCAAGCTGGGGGTCGGGGTCGTGGAGGGCAGGGTGGTGAAGCAGGGAGATTGAAAGCACGGTCGAAGAGGAGGGTCTTGAGATGGGTCTTGAAGGCGGCAAGGGAGGGGCAAGGTGGAGGGACTGCGGGATGGAGATCCAGAGAGTGAGGCCAGAATGGCAGAAGGCCCGCCCGCCAATAGTGGGGTGGGCGAGACGGGGGACGTGAAGCAGGCCAGAGCCCGCTGAGTGGAGGAAGTTAGTAGGATGGTAGGCGGTTAGGAGATTGCAGAGGTAGGGGGGAGCAAGACCATGGAGGGGTTTGAAGGTGAGACACTATTACTGGAATATTGTGAATTTCTCCATCTGTATTGTAGTTTTATTTGCCTGGTAATTCTATAATCTCTAACATTACAGGCTGAATCAGTGACCTTTACCATTGTGCAACCCCCTCGCCATGGAACCATTGAACGAACCAACAGTGGCCACCACTATCGTCAGACTAACACCTTCACTATGGATGACATTTACCAGAACCATATCAGCTACAACCACGATGGCAGCAATTCTCTGAAAGACCGCTTCTCTTTCACAGTATCTGACGGGACTAATCCGTTTTTCATTGTTGAAGAAGGAGGCAAGGAGGTGAGCTGTTATGTATCCTTAATAAAGGACTGAAATCTACATTTTAATCAATCGGAAAATCAAATTTCCTTTTTAGCTTTCAGTTCTTTTAGAAGCTTTCTTTCCATTCCAAAACCCAGTGGAAGGTACACCCACGTTTTCGAGCCACCTTTGAGAAAGGTATTTGTGGGAGAGGGAGAGAGTCGTGGTTTCAGGCAACAAGAGACTGTATTAAATATCATGAAGTCCTTGAACTGACTATATCACTCAGCACTAGAGTTGTTAATTAAGAATCAAAACTTCACAATTTTCATCCCAATATTTCAAGGAAATATTCAGGAATTTGTTATTCTCAATAAGTTCAAGATTCAAATATCCTTTGTAGCACTCAGGCTATCTCTAACTCATTGAAGTTCATGGACAGAATAAAATTAATAATAATAATATCTTATATTTAATATAGCGTCTCATCATGTTAAAACATCTCATGAGTGAAGTGTGGTGATTTTGAAAACTTGCATCATCTGCCTCTTTACTTATCCTACCTGTACAGTGATTTAAGGGAACATTTGTAAGAGGTTTGTTTTTACTACCTGTGTCTTATTTTATTTTTAATTGTGTGGCCCCAGATTGTGACTGCTGCTTCCCAGAAGTTTAAGATTGACATCCTCCCTGTGGATGACGGGACACCCAGAATTGTTACCAACCTGGGACTGCAATGGCTGGAGTACATCGATGGCAAAGTAATATTGACCACTTTCTTTATTCTCAGCTGAAAGTGACATGTAATTACACAGGGAGCAAAAGAGCTACATTGGGTGCAGGTTAATAACATCTGTGCTATGAGCCCTTCATTGTAATCGATATTAGTTTATGAGGCAAAGTTCAAATATTAAAATGATCATCTAGTCTGACTTCTGGTGGAATATTTGTCATGAAATTCTAGAGGGTTCTTTTTTTATCTGGAGCTTTGAATTGTCTTCCAGGACTCCTGTACCATTTGGGGCAAACCGGAGAGCTGTCTTTTTGCTGCAGAATTCATAGAAGTTATTCTCTAATAGTCATTAAATGTACTGAATTTGGATGTGGGGATTCTTACTCTATCCTAGTTGGTAAAATTAAGAGCCTTGGGATTGAGCTATAGTAGAGTTATCGATCCAACGCTGATAAAATGCCTTTAGTGTGACTTACAGTTTGTTGAATGCATTGCCAAAGTCAATGCAAAGTTACACTTTGATGCTAAATTATGATCTTGTAAAGAAACGTAAAAGTATTTTAAATTTAAGCTCATGTCAGGTAATCGGATCTCCTTATTTTCAGTAGTCAAGCCTAAAGTAGAATTGACGCAAGAAGTTTTTTTGTATTGCCAATTTACATAATGCGTATGGAAACAAACAAAATGCAGAATATATTGCACTTGTGGAAAGGACTTAGACAATTCTTCCCTAGTTTCTTTCTCCCATTTATTTGCATAGGGATGAATTTGTTATTCAGCACTTTGCCATCACGTGCGTTTTATCTATTGAACTATTATGGGCATAACACATTTTGAGCATAGCAATATTCTACTAACAGCCATAAAGTGAATGACTAATTTTATTTGGGGATTGTTAACCAGGACACCCGTAGAAACACTTTTCAAATAATCTCATGGGATTTTTAACGTTTACCATTACCAGGCAGATGTGATGTTAGGTTAAAGTCTCAACCCAATGACAACACTTCTGACAGTGCAGTACTCCCCTGCACTGGAGTCTCAGCCTAGCTTTGAGCTCAAAGTCCCAAAGTAGGACTTGAACCCATAAACTTCGAAATCAGAGGTCAGAGTGCTATCAACTGAGCCAGGCTGACACCTGCTCATACTTAAAATGTCACAGGTTGTTTAATTTGTAAACATGCATATTCATACCTGTCAGTAGAAATTCGTTACTCCCAGATTTATGCACATTATTGTAATATAATTCTTAACCTCCTGTTGTATTCTGATTCATCTAATTGCATTATTCACAGAATATTATTATTGTTGGTAATTGATGCTCCTTTGAATGTAGGCGATCAATTTGATTACAAAGAAGGAGTTATTGACCATGGATCCTGACACTGAAGACAAGCAACTGGTTTATCAGATAACTACAGAACCAAAACATGGGCATCTGGAGAGTAAGCTGAAGCCTGGATCCCCTCTAACAACATTCACACAAGGTGAGATTTGATGCATCAGTTCTATTGGTGTCCAACAACAACTTGGGTTTATATAGCGGCCTGCACGTAGGGTAACGTCTCAGAGCACTGTACAGTGGTAGAGTTTGACCCTGAGCAAGGAAGAATGAGAGGTGACCATAGGCACATTTGAAGAGGTAGGTTTTCATGTGGGATTTAAAAATAGATAAAGTGAGAGGGAGGCGCCAAGTCAGGGAGCTCCAGAGATTGGGGGCGTAGTGACTGAAGGCATTAGTGGTGGAATGGAGGTGTCGGGGAAAGTGCAGCAGGCTTTTGTTAGCTGAGCGAAGAGAATGGGCAGAAGAGGAGGATATGAGCAGGTTAGATACCGACAGCAGAGGCTGTTAAGAAAGCAATCTCAGCATGACCGCCAAAGTTCACCACTACAAAATATGTTTGGTTTGCCAATTGATCATTGTATTGCCTCTATTAATGTGTCATTCATATATGTCTCATGGCTACAACAGGTTAACAGTCAATTATACTGAGGGGAGGCTGCAGTCTTCCTATCATAACCCAGGTTTGGAACTATACAATAGTGAATAAATTACCAAGGATAGATCATAAATGCCTGTTCATCATGTGAGCCAACTACTGTCCGGACATCTGTAATTGCAGAATAGGATATAGATTCTTTGGAAATTAGTTGTGATCATCTGAAGAGCATTATGCTGCATGAGAAATTGTTTTGAAATCATTTTGAAATCACTGTCCTGCCTGAGTATGATGTTTAGGGATCTAAACTCAACTGATGTAATAATGTAGCCTACCGTCCTGATTGCTTTGTTTATTGCTGCCCCATATTGTTTTGACATAGCGAGCAATGAGTCAACTAACACCCTAGATCTCTTTCAGCTTCCCCTTTGGCAAGTTCAATCCTATTCATGGAGTACTTGTGTTTCCTATTTTTGGATCCTGTATCTAGTGCCTTGCATTTATCAGTATTAAACTTAATTCGTCAAATGTCCATTCTGTGTAAAACCTCTGCATCTGTTTGTTTCCTTGCAGAGGAAGTTAACCTGGGTTTGATCCACTACGTGTTGAACGAAGACAAGATCCAGGAGACAATGGACACTTTTAAGTTTTCAGTGAAAGATAGCAAACCTAATATTGTCAGTGACAATGTTTTCCACATCCAGTGGTCTCTCATCAGCTTTGAGTATACCAGGTAGATCTCCTTCACACTCTATTCTGAGTCAAATATACTAACTGCCAGGGGTTTCATGGCCTTGCCTGGCCTCAGGAGGTCAATAGGGACAAGTGTATTTCTGATTCCTGGAAATTGCAGCACTTGTGGGCAGTTAAAAGCATGTTTTATGAAATGTAATGCAAAGCTACTGTAGGCAGGACTTTAAGGCAAAGCAGTAGGAAATAGGTTAATTACCACATTTGTACATATAATAATAATACTTGCATTTGTTATAGTGCTTTTCACATCAGGAGGACTTCTCATAGTGCGTTAGAGATTTAGTATAGTCAGTGACTGTGTATTTTGTAGGAGAACAAACGAGTGCTCTATCTTGGCTAGTCCTATTCAAGGAAAGCATCGCACAGAGCCTAAAGTACCACTCCACAAAGCAGAAAGACCAAAGATCCACCTCAGGGCACTCTCACACATCATCTCCCAACATGAAAGGCACTAAATATGTAAATTTGTATTCTATTGTATCTAGCACATGCTTATAGAGGGGCCAGGTCACCTGTCCTTTTAGCCAGATGTAGTGACGGCATGGGTTACCAAAGAGGGGAAACTTAGATCAAGGATTGATAATATTTCCAATAACACTGTTCCATAGTCAGATAAATCTTATCTAAAGTAGCAAAATTTTCTGTGATCTGCTGAAGACCAATTTGCTTAACATGTCAGGAAAACAATGCTTTAGATACCAATCCCTCACACAGCCACTGTGTCTGTCTGCAGTTACAATGTGAGTGAGAAGGCCGGTTCTATCAGTGTCACAGTGAAGAGGAGCGGCAATCTCAATCAGTATGCTATTGTGCTCTGTCGCACTGAACAGGGTACAGCAACCTCTACCTCTGGTGCTGGCTCAAAGCTGGGGCAACAGGACTATGTGGAGTACGCAGGGCAGGTATGTACATGATTGAGATACGTAGGGCAAAACAAATAACAGAAACCTTTAATTAAGAAATGTAACCTGGGAGTCAGTTGTCTGAACCTTTTACTGTAAACGTTTAAAGTGGATATTTCATTTTGACTCTTTTGAAAGGGCATCAGTTCCACTAAACATTTAGTGACTAACAATGTAAGGCAATATGAAATCTTACCTTGATCCTAATTTCTTTAATGGAATTTTTATGCTTTGACAATTGATCTGTATGTTTTCCACTTAATGAGAAGTTATCAGTTTTCCTCTCCAATGATTTACCAGCAAGCACATAAATGCACAGTGGAATGCATACACATGTTTTCAAGGCTTTCAGGCTTTGTCTCAATGACGACAAACTGTTCAGTCGTATATTTGTCTTGTGTGCCTATGGTAATTAGTGACTCTATAGGTTGGCGTGATTGGACTGGGCTGGAGTTGTGGTATGTAAAGAATGTTTAAAACATTAGAAAGATTATTTTATTGGCTACAAATCTAGCCACATTTAATGGGATAGAGGTAAGAGTCTAATTTGGAATGATTGAATGCAGGGTTGACCTACTTCCAAATGAATGCAAGTTCACAGCTCAAATCTCCCCATGATTCAACACACGTTTTAAACTAAGCTAGAGAGACCATAGGGTGGGTGAAATGAAAGTTCTCAACCGATTTCAGTAGAGCTGTGCTTGATCTGAAGATAGATTTAAGATGCATTGTGAATGCAGAATGGAGAGAGCTTTTCTCTCGCTAAACGTTACCTATGATTGACTACTCAATGTTGATGCAGTATGCAAAGTGTAACAGTGTGCCTTTTTTCCAATATTAACATGTTTCATCTTCATAGCCACAAAGCTTTACAAACAAAAAATTATCGAAAATAAACGGATCAAAACGTTTCAGTTGTGTAATAACTTGCCCGTCTATCACCATTTCATGTAGTTAAATGTTTCAAAGCACTTAGGAGGAACCAAATTCAAAAGGTATCAAAGGGCCTGATTAATAATGGTTGGTATAAAATGCAAGATTGTCCATTTATCTTTGTACAGTGCAGACAAAATAAAATTGCCTTCATATGATTTGCTTCCTCAAACAGGTTCAATTTGATGAGAGGGAAGATATGAAAGCATGCACCATAATCATAAATGATGACCAGGTGTTTGAAAACATTGAAAGCTTTAACGTGGAGTTGAGCATGCCTGCATATGCCTTGCTAGGTCAGACAACAAGAGCCAAAGTGAACATCAACGACACGGAAGACGAGCCCACCCTTCAGTTTGATAAGAAAATGTACCGAGTTAACGAAAGTGCTGGATTTCTGCTTGCACCGATGGAGCGCAAAGGTCAGACATGCTCTCGTTTGTTTACAACTGTGTTTAAAGTGCAGCATTTGCAAATCAGAAGTCAGGATTGTGGATTGTTTTCAGGTCCTATTATAGGTTGAGAAAGGCTTTCCTAGTTGGATTGTAAAGTACTGATTGCAAAACTGGCTTTGCCAGCCTTAGGGAGCATAGATTTTTAAGTGAAGGTAATTAATTACTAATACAGCAAAGGGAGTAATTAGGAGGATTTGTTTTACACAGAGGGATTTTAGGATGCGGTTGTTCTACATAGAATTGTGGTTGATACATAATCCATATAATAATAATAATTCTTGTATTTGATATTATAATAATCCTTACATTTGATATAGAGCCTTATCATTTCTTCAAGACTTGTCAAAGCGCTTCACAGAATATACAATAAAGTAAATTGACTGTATATTTTGTGGGCAAAACGCAGCAGCCAATTGTGCATAGCAGTGTTTGTAAGAGATTCGGACGGAGACGATCAATATGATTGTGTAATAATGCAAGGTTTATTAACTAATACAAATAGCTTAACTTATTCTTAAAACTGAGACCACAGATACCTTAAAATCGATATTGATTCCACTGGGAAGTGTGCTGACCCTCCACACAACTTGACCGACATCTGTAGGCATGATGCTCAGGTTTCCCAAAATTATAACACATTCGTGGTCTTTTCCTGGGACCTTAACTTCCTCTTCTCTTTCCTTGTCCCATTCTATGAAGGTGTCTCTTTACTGCTGTCACTTCTCCTGCCTCAGACCCCTTCTGCTGTTTTATCATTCTCTGAGGTGTAATCATGTCCCAACCCTGGGAAACAGTCTCTATTACAATCCAGCCATAATGTAATCTTGTTTACAGATGCCCCTAGATACACCCTCAATTCTGGCAATAACTGTTTTAAGAAAGTTAATTTAAATTGAGGATCTGCCATTGCAGGGACAGGCCTGACAATAACACCCAGAACAGCATTTGCTCCTGCAGCCACAGATGCTGGTGATGAAGCTTGGGTTGCCTGCATGGCTAGTTCGTGCACATTGAATAGACATGCTGAAAAAGCCCTTGGGTGTTCTATTGGTCCCTGCTTCATTTCACTGGTCTTTCACATTAAAACTTCCTAATCCCATCCCAAGACAGTTAAAGTACCTCATTGCTATTGCTGTTTAGTAGTTGCCGGAGCATGTAAATCACCTGGGACAGTGCTCCTGACATCTCCCGAACATGCAGCCTTGATTACTTCCCCATGCTCTTCATTGTTTAATTCTGGGTGTTGAGCCCCGAAGGTTACCATATGGTGCATAGCATCAGCTGGGTCAGTAGTCATATTTATGGCTCATAACTCGGAAGCCAATGCTTTTACCTCCGTATTTGTGATTTACAATGGTGTGACCCTGCAGTACTCCAGCATGATCAAACTTGTTAGTTCTTACTATGACGGCTACTGGCAAGGGCTCCTCGTCGAGGGGTGGCCTACTTCCCCAAACGGGAGCAGGAGGCGGTGATGGTGATTCTATTGATGGATTATAGTACAGGCGTTCCTTATCTTCCAGATCATCCCAATTAATATCATCCCCATCATTCCCGTTCTGGGTCATAAGACTCTCTGCAACTTTTCTGGCATAAATTGTTCTTGCTTTTTCTTGTTCTAACTCCCTCTTACAAGCCTTATGATTTTCTTGATTTGGAGGGCGGTTTCTGTAAAGCCGCTCTCAAAGCTGCTCTAGTTTCATACGAATTATCTTTTAGTTTTGCCAATTCGCCTTTCAATTCTGCATTTTCTTGGCTAGTAATGGTTGAAGCAATGCACTGCACAGCTGTTGTGGCAAGATAATGCTTTAATTCAGATACTCTGGCGCGCAAGAGTTTCTCACTCTCTCTCATGCCCTTCTCTGCTCTTTCCTTTTAATGTCTCTTGCCATTCTCTATTCTTTTGTTTTAATTCCTGTAATTTCCCTTGCTCTTTTCTGTGAGTAACTCCAGCTCCCACACACTGTGCCATATTAGTGACTAGCTGAGACAGTAACTCAGATACTTTGCCCAATAAATTTATTTTCTCCTGTTTTATCTCTGACAGTTCTTGCTGCACACACTCTAGTTATTGCTGCGTGTATTTTACTTTCTCTTCACTTCTCTCCATACAACAAAGCGCCACACATCACCAACAACTATTTGGCCCGCTTCACTTTAATCTGACCTTCATAAACTTCTTTATCAAAGTGATTTCTTATCTCCTTATAGACTGGACTCTTTTTGGTTATCAGCAGAAGTAATCCCTCGTTGCCCGCAATCCCGGACAACTTTTTCTCCATCTATTTGTGCTATACAGTCAGCTTTTAAGAAAGAATTGGATAAAAATCTTAAAAAGAAGCATTTAACAGGATGTGGGGGGAAATGCAAGAATGGGACTAAACAAATAGCTCTTTCAGAAAGCCTGCCCAGGCACCTTCTGTGCTGGAAATGCCTCTGGTTCTATAATTTAAGATTTACTTCTTTGATCTCTTTTGGTCATCTCTATACCCACTCCCACCCCCCTTCAGGTTGCAAATCTATTGTCAATCCACATGTGACCAATATTACTAATTCCCATTCCACCGGAAGCAAAACTTAGATTGTTGACCATTTATAAAGTGCTGACACTGCCCGTTTCTGGCAACAGACTGGGTTTTCAGCCTGATCATAAAATCTAACCAGAACAATGAGCTAGAGATAGATGATAGGAGATCTAGAGCCAGTGCTAAGATTAGATAACCTTGGGGAAATCCTTGGGGATTTTCCAGTATTAGCTCATATCCCAAGTGTGGTAAACTTACCTTTACGCAGAGCATCGGGGTCCCTTATTCTTCCCCCAAACCTTGCCTGTGCTATTTTGGGGGGACGGAGATACAGAGTGACCAAAAAGTCGTTGCAATGTCTTAAAGAAATGATTTTTTTTGCATAATAGGGTAGATATCATGACGTTTTGGTCAGCTATATAAGACTCCTGAGTAGGATCTAACAAAACACACAGTCATTACACTTTACAGTATATCCTGTGAAGTGCTTTGAGACGTATCAACGACATGATAAGGCTCTGTATCAAATGCAAGGATTATTATTATTTTCAGCAGTCAACATAAGTTGGTACCCACCATCCTACAGTCTATCTAAAGAAGACAGCAAATAAGCATTCTTGCAATGTACATCCCCGAAGCCATTCATGAAGAAATTTGGCTGTTAGTTTACAAATTCAAGCAAAGCTGGCGGAAGTGCTGTAATAGTAGGTACTGAAAGAGGAGTGTTCAAAACACCACCCAGTTTCTTATCAAACACTCCTTACTTTATGTAACACTTTTAATTCTGAGTTAGAGTGTCATCCTGGCTCATTGGTAGCAATCTCAACTCGGTGAGTCAGAAGGTTGTGGGTTCAAGACCCACATCTTAATTGGAATCACATAGTCTAAGCTGATACTCCAGTGCAGTAATGGGGGGGTGTTGCATTGTCAGAGGTGCCATCCTTCGGATGAAACATTAAACCAAGATCTCATTTGTTTGTTCAAGCGGACGTTAAAGATTCCACGATACTGTTCGAAAAGAGAAGGGAGTTTGTCCTGGTGTCCTAGCCCCTACATTCCCCAAATAATGTTGGTCACTCACTCCATGGCTGTGTATGGGACATAGCTGTGCACAAACTGGTTGCCTCATTTTGCCCACAAAATGCACAATGCTGACACTGCCCACCTCTGGCACAGTACATCCTGCGAAGCACTCTCGACAAGGTGATAAGGCGCTCTATCAAATGCAAGGATTATTTATTGGTTTGAAGCGCAGCAGGTAATTGGTAAGGACCTATTGTCAGGCTGAATGGCATGTTGGACGTATACCAAGGAATTTAACATCCCTCAGATGATTTAACATGAGCTGAAGCCAAGTGGTAAAATAACAAGCAGTATGTTCAAGCATTAGTTGTTAGCACACACTTTGCAGTTCATTACTGCTATTGGATCACTACACGTCTTAGCGGTTTTGTTTTACCACTTGTAATAAAGTAAATAACCACAATTTAAAATGATAGTCACACACAAGAGTTGTGTGAAAAAATTAACTAGAATTCAAAATGAAGCTTTGTAGAGTGAGTCTTCTGGTTGTTTTACAACAGTGTAAGAGCCAGCCTTCGCTTTTATTCTAGCAGAACTCAAATTGTTATTTTCGGCTACAAACCAGCTGTTTTCTCACAGATTGCTACTGGACTGTATCAGGCAAACAGACAGGGCGCTGCAGTCTCTTGACGACAATTCCATATAATTCTGATTAACCTGTAAATAAACCAGAATGCACATAAATCTCTGAATTGTCATCGCTCCGTAGGAGATACCAGCAGTACCGTCTCTGCAATCTGTTACACTGTCCCCAAAACGGCCAAGGGTAGCAGCCTGCACGCCTTGGAGTCTGGCTCAGATTTCAAGTCCAGGGGAATGACAAATGAAAATCGTGTGGTCTTTGGCCCTGGTGTAAGCATGTCAACGTGCGACATCAAGCTGATTGATGACAGTGAATACGAGGAGGAAGAAGACTTTGAGATCGCCCTGGCTGATGCATCCCACAATGCACGCCTCGGGGAAGTTGCAGTTGCCAAAGTTATGATAAATGGTCCCAACGATGCCTCGCTTGTATTTCTCGGAAACTCTTCTTTCACTGTTAGTGAAGATGCAGGTATGTGTGCAATTACCCAGCGCAGTTATCATCAATCATCTAACCTCAGTCAAAAGTCAGTAACAAATAATAATTCAAGAGTTGAAGAAAACAGAACAATCTTATTTACTTTACTTTTTAAAGAACCGCACACCGTAATTGGGTAAAATATTCAAATGCTTTGAACGCAGCAAAAGAGTTCAGTATATGACAGTATATAAGGTGATTAATCAGTGCCAGACAATGTTTGCATAATACACAAAACTAATCCAACTCCCAGGGGCTGCCTCAGTTCTGGCCTGTATGGAGACCTGGAAGTAGGATCTCCTGCTCACTATCTCACATGAAGACAGCTTTATGGCTTCAAAGGAGAGAGGGAGACATTTAATGTCAAAATGGGAGTTTTGTCAAGAACACCAATGGGGAACCCCAAAATTTGGTGGTTGGAAAATATCATCTGTGATAATTATCGCATAACATCACACTTTTCATTCCATTCTTTCATTCAGCTCCCTACGCTACCGTTACGTTAAATAACAACATTCATTAGCCAACGATCAGAGCTATGGCACATAATAGTTTGTGCGATATGCACCTGCGTACATGCACATGCACCACTTGCACGCACATAACACACAGATCCTGATGTGAGCCTCACTCGCGCAGAATATTTATTTCGGATCAGTAAAAGGCCAATAATGTATTTCATTGATCACTCCCAACAACCTCCAGAAACATTACTCAATCACTGTCTCTAGAAATGTGTCTGATTGTCTCGAGGATCTGTTTTCTGCTTCAACGGCCTACTGTTGTAACTGACTTCCCTCCTCCCTTCTGGTTTTCCAGTTTTGTTTTTAAGTTCTATTCCCCCTTTTATCTGAACTCTTTGCAAAAATGAAAATCTTTATCAATCTTCATAATCTTAAACTAGGTTGAATACCTGGATTCTGACCTGAGATTACCTTAAAATGTGATTGTAGTGTCGGCCCCTAAAGTTTAAAGCATGTAAAGTCGTGTATTTTGTAAACTGTGCAATCTCTCTCCAGTCTGTGCACATTCCTTATACAGAGGTGTGTGTTCATTGTACAGGTACCATCGAAATACCAGTTATTAGACAGGGGAGTGATTTATCCACATCAACCTCAGTGTGGTGTGCTGCCCGGCCTTCAGATCCTCCGTCTGCTACTCCAGGCATTGACTACATCCCCAGCTCCAAGAAGATTGATTTTGCACCAGGCAAGACAGAAGAGGTAAGTTGCTCCCGTTCACAATTAGCATTGCATTCTGTGTTTAAAAGATGCCGATAACAGCAATTTACACTTAAAGAGCACCTTTTGCTTTGGGAAAATGTCTCAATGCTCAGGTGCCCCAATCAGCTGAGTCAAACGAAAGCCACCATATGAATGATATTTGTATTGTATAAAGTGCTTTAGGAAGGCTAACTGGGAACCCAAGCAAGGAGGCAGCTTGTGATTCATGGGAAGGTGGGTGAAAGCACAATTAAAGAGGTTGCTTTTCAGGCATTATTTGAAATTTCACCTGGGCCAAGATTTACTATGTTTATGTAGCATTTCAGAGCATCCAGAATTTGACAAATTGTTGAATTCAGTCTGAATTTTGAAGCCATTAAAATTAAGGCAATATTTAAGAATTTGCCAAATTCTGGATGCACTGAAATGCTATATATTTAAAAGTAAACCTAGACCATGGTGGAATTTCTATTCCAATGTGTGTGTTGCCTTGAGAAGATGAGACAATAGAAAGCAAAAGATGGAAACAGTATCTTAAAAGTATGTTTACTGTACTCCATCAACTGTGAGGATTCTGACTGCTCAATGATGCTGCAGTTTCGTTCATCGTCAGACTCCAATAGAATATAAACATTCAGATTTATTAAGTTTTTCAGGTGAGCATCTTGGCAAATCAAAGGAGACTTGAAGTTAATCTAAGGGTTCTGCTGTCCAATGCAGAGTATGGGATGTAGGAGGAGATAGCAACATTAGCAAGGGGCAATGGAAAAAGTATTTTATATTTAAACTGATTCTAGACATAATTTTCTACTTTCAAAAAAAAGAGAAAAAAAGTTGTACTGATAGAAACAGCTATTTGGTGGCTGACGTTACTCACTCTTGGTTTTATTTCTTGCAGATTTGTACTTTAACTATCCTAGATGATGTGCAGAATCCAATTATTGAAGGGAATGAAACTTTTATTATATTCCTGAGCTCAGCACAGGGAGCAGAGCTGGTTAAACCCTACCAGGCCATTGTTGTTATCAATGACACCTATCAGGATGGTAAGTTGCTTCAGTAACAGCTTAAAACAACAATAGGCATTATTCGGTATCTCCAACCCTTTAATCCTGTAGTCCTGCAAGTAAGCTAGATTTATCTGTTGTGAATGAGATCTTATATAACTTAAAACCAAGTTCAGTCACATCTGCCTGTTCAGGTGGACACTAAATAAGCCATGACGCTGTTCAAAAAGTGAAGGGAGTTTCTCCTGTTGTCCTTGTCAACAGTCTTTCTGTGCACCCCTAGCCCTGTACTGAAATGTCAGTGTGGACAGTGAACTCCGTCACAATATAGTGCTTGAACCCACATATATCGTGCTTGAACCTTCTGACTCTGAGGCGAGAGTGCTACCAGACTGACACCCTACTCTTTTTCCAAATGGCGAATTGGGAATTTCTGGCTTGTTAGCCAAAGCATTTTGAATTTCAAAACATGGTAACGTTATCTCGGTAAAGTTCCATCAATAAGGATAAAGATCACGAATGAGCGAGATAAATTTACACAAGATTAGCTTCGGCATATTTGTAAATAAGGCAACTATGGATTCTAATCTATGTTAATATTTCAGTCCCTAGCATGCAATTTGGGAAAGATATCTACATTGTGAAGGAGAAGGAAAGGGAATTGCACGTTCCTATTATCCGGACTGGTGATCTCAGCTACGAGTCCTCGGTGAGGTGTTATACTCGACAACTGACAGCACAGGTCATGGAAGACTTTGAGGAAAGAAGGAATTCTGATGATTCCCGCATTACATTCCTGAAGGGGGAAAAGGTAAAGCCTCTTCGTTTTAAGGAGTATAAGGAGAAATCTTGCTAATCTAGAAATACTCTAGATGGAAGGGAGTGTGAGTAGTGATACCTTATGGTAATATTGATGCGTCATCTTGCAAGGAGAGAGTCTGGGATAGACCAACGATGTGGGATAGGAACATTGAACAGGAGTAGGCCAGGCACCTCAACTCCAATTCCCCGTCTTTGCCTCATACCCAAATTTAGGGTAACAATCTAGACCAGCCTGAGAGCAGGGTGGCAAAAATCAACATTGGGTTGCCTTTTTATGATAAATATGAATTCCAACAATTGGTAACCTCTTCATTTTCATCTGAAAGCTTTTCCATGCTGAGCGGGCGATTCAGCAGGCAGTGGAGAAGAGTATCAGGAGTATGAAGTGCTTATCTCTTTGTGTGTCTCAATACTGAATTAAAGAGCCTTACAGAAGAGCACTTCAGCCAGTCAGAATGCATCACGTGTGGTGCTATGCAACATAGGGAAGCCTTGTGTATGCCAACTGCTGTGATTTGCTACATAATTGATCCTTTTACAGAATGATCACAGTTGCCTTTCGTCTGAACACAGCCAGCGCCAAGTTTTGCTTCAAATGCCAACAATTTTCCCTTTTCTCTCTGCCCAATTTCAAGTATTCTGTCCCACATGTCTCATTTCTCCTCGACTTGAAATCAAAACCGATCACCATTGTCTCCCATTCTAACCCTTGCTTTCCCAGGACTTCAGAACTGTAGATCTCCTTGTCTTCATCGACCAGTGGGAAGCTTACTAGTGTGCGCATTGGCAAACTCTGTAGTTTTAGCTTGTTAAATTACAGCAGTACCCCAACAAGCATGGCAAGAGCCAAAGTGTAGGGGATTCTCTATACTTTGGCTCTTGCCGCACTTCCCCTAAACTCTGGGATAAGTAAGCAGATTGTGTCCCTCTGGTGCTCAGAATGTACACTACACACCAAACAAACAGAATCCACATGTGAAACTCTGAGTAGGTTGGTTTGGAGACTCTTCAATTTTAAAACAATTGTCCTAAAGCTAAGACCATGAAGATCTTGGCCGCTGATGTCCACCCAGGAAGAGGAAGGCATCACTGAATAGCAGTCCTCATTGATGTTATCTGATGTTACCTCATTGATGTTATACCCGATCCGATTGACTTTGTCACTCCAAGATCTCCGCTTTCCTCTATTTGTCTACCTAACGAACTGAAAAGATGTATTATTGTTCCTCTTCTTCCTGCATCAGTGAAACACTGCAGCGAGTCTCAGTCAGTTTAACAAGTTGCAGAACGCCCAGCTCATTCACCAGAAACCTTCAGTCTTTATCTGATGGTTCATCAAGAAGTCAGAAATAACACAGGAAATATTCCTCTGCTTGAATCATCACATGACCCAGAAAATGACAGCTTATGTTGGGTTCTTTTGCAGAGGCAGCCTGTTATTTTGACGCCTGAGGTTCACAAATAGGGCTGGAACTTCAGCGTGTGGTCAGTTGTTCTGTCGATGGCTCTAGCAGAAGTTTGTTTTTGAAATTAAAGATTAGAGCTGAAACTGCTCCGCGCTCACAATTCTGAGGAGCATGATCCTCCTATTGTCTAATGTTTATCTTTGAATGAGCAGGTGAAGAATTGCACTGTGTTAATAAATGACGACACCGTCTTTGAGCCAGAGGAAAGGTTTCAGCTACAACTTGGTAACCCACTGGGCAGCCACTGGAGTGGAGCCAAACTTGGAAACAACGACATCGCCATCGTGACTATCTCAAATGATGAAGATGGTATGCTGCTGCTTTTTGCAGGGGAAATTTTCTTTTGTAAAATTATAATAACTGACGTAGTCTCGGCTGACACTCCTGTGCAGTGGTTGGCAGGCGGGGGCGGGGCGGGGGCGGAGTTGGCGGGAGGTGTTGCATTGTCAGAGATGCTGTCCTTCAGATGAGACATTCAATCCAAGGTCTCATCTGCCTTGTTAGGTGGATGTTAAATATTCTCATGACACTATTTGGAGAGAGAAGGGAGTTTCTCCTGGTGTTCTGGCCAACAATCCCCCAATAAAATTGGTCATTCACTTCATAGACATTGCTGTGCTCAAATAGATTGCCGTGTTTGACGACAAATACACACCATCACTGTATTTTACAGTATATCCTATGAAGCACTTTGAGCCATCCTGACATAAAAGGGGCTATATGCATGGATTATTATTTATTATTATTGTAAATAATTATTGTAAAGTATTTTGATACTTTACTTTTCTACTTGAAAAGCTGTAGAAATGCAATTTATATATATTTCCTCTTAGTTGTTTTTATTATTTTGCTTATTTTCTTTCCTTTGTGAAAATGTTTCAGCTCCAATAATTGAATTTGAGGAAGCGATTTACCAAGTGCACGAACCCCCAGGGCCAGATGGCATTGCTATACTAAATGTCAAGGTCATCAGGAAAGGAGACCAGGACAGGACCTCAAAGGTTCGCTGTAGCACTCGGGATGGATCCGCCCAGTCAGGTGTAGACTACAACCCCAAGAGCAGGGTCCTTAAGTTTATTCCTGGTAAGTATTTTGGTGTTAGAAAGTCTAAAGCAGTTTGAAACCAGAATGCTCTTTCTATCAGAGGGTGATTTGGTGAATTTCTATGCAATCTCTCAATCAGTTCTATTGTCTATATTTTAAAGAAGCAGCAGTGGATAAATATATTCTTGTCAGAAATAACTTTACATGTTACAGTGTTGTGATGTCTGGAGCTGTGTGTAATAGCACCAGTTTAACTAACACTGCTATAGTCCAGACAAAGCATTAGGTCACCAGAATAGTTAGGTTGCATAGGTTCCCATCTAACATAATAATTCACAGGTACAGAACAAACCAAGGAACCAAACCATTAGATGCAGGATTAGAATAACCAAATAAAGCAATAAAACTAAAGGCTTATAATATACAATCGGCAGATGGGCTTTCAGACTTTCTGCTCCCCAAACTCTGGAACTCCATCCCGGAACCCCTCCGCCTCGACTCTTCCCTTGCCTCCTTCAAGGCCCAACTCAAGATCTTCCTCTTCGACCGTGCCTCCTTTCACTCTTCTTGTGATTGTCTTTTAACTCCGAGGCACTGCCTCCCCTGCTAGTGGAAATTCTGTCATGCGAAGAACACGTGCAAATAGAAAGTTGGAGGTCCACGCACTACATTTTGGATTTAAATTTAACTTCTTGGAGAGTTATTGGGAAATCACAGTTATTGGTGACCGTGAACTTGTTGGAAGGGCTGAGCCCTTTTGTAACTTTAAACTACGTTGTGTCTATTTACCAGACATGGGATCCCTTACTATGGGTCGCGACATTTTGTTTGCTTAAAAAAATTTGGATAAAAAACTGCTGCAACTAAGTCTGTTTTATTTTCTATAATAAATGTAAGATAATATGTAAATGAATTTAATAAACATACAGAGTGTCCATGTCTACTTGTGCTTCTGAACAGAGGAAGAGGATCCGAACAGTCTCTAACTGTTATCAATCTTATAATAATAATAATAATAATAATATTCTCTTCCCCTCCTCCCCTGACATCTCCTCACTCCGCCTACCCAGGTATTGACCATATAATATTCAAAGTGGAAATCCTATCCAATGAGGACCGAGAGTGGCATGAGTCGTTCTCTCTGGTCCTGGGACCAGACGATCCGGTCGAGGCAATACTTGGCGATGTCATCACAGCCACAGTGACCATCATTGACCAGGAGGCAGCAGGGAGTCTGATTTTGCCAGCCCCACCTATAGTAAGTGTGTGCGTGATTTGACAGTTGACTAATTTTTACTGAATCTTCACTGGGTCATTACTTCAGGTTCTGTGGGATGATCCATCCCATTTATATTCTCTGAGTCGTTCTGCGGTCATGCTATTTGTATGTATTTGTGTCTGTGCATTCTCCAGTCGTTGCACATGCATACATCAAACGCTGACTGTGAACACAGACAACCTTTGTTTTTTAAGTTTTTTTTGTTTATTTTTATTTCCTGAGAAGAAGGCCCAGGGAGATCCAAGTTGGTACAGCAAGGTTGGACATGGCAGAAAATCTGACCATTATTTACAAGAGCTACTCTATGTCTCCATATCAAAAAGCTAGCACCAAATTAGGCTACAATACTCTGGGATCAATTTAGATTGTAGAAACGAGTGACTTTACATGAACAGCTGTAGTTCATATGCAAATAGATGTTGACATCTGTTACAGTGTAAGTAGAGCTTGCGTCCAATTTCAGTTGCCACATTCCAAGCAAGTCTTGAGAGAAAGTGACTTAATGAGGACCCCATAAAGGTGTTTAATATTTTAAATGGGATTGAAAGAATAAACCTGGATGTGCCATGTTAGTAGAACAAGAGAACATAGGTTTAGAGTTACAAAGGACAGATACCAACAAATTTAATTGATGACTCTAATAGGTTGCCAGGAAGTGTGGTTGGGGCCCGGACACTGGACTCATTTAAAAAGCAACTTATGTTGTTATGAAAGGAATGTCGAGTGATATTCGGTGAGATCAGATGGGCCGAAGGGCTTTCTTCATCCAAACCAGTCTTGTAATTTTCTGATTACCTGACTTGTGCTGATAGTTACTGATGTTAAATCTCCAGTCTTCCCAAATGTTCCCTCCACAAGCTGCAGTCCATCAAGAACTCTGCAGCTCGTGTTCTCTCCTGCACTAGGCTCCGCAAACCCATCACCCTCGTCCTCGCCCGGCTCTACTGAACCCCATCCCCCAGAGGATCGCGTTCAAGATCCTCGTCCTCAATTTTTAAAGTCCTCCACAGTCTTGACTCGCCTACCTCTGTTACCTTCTAAACCCCTACCTACCCACCCACTCCCTCCACTCAGTAGGCACCGACCTTCTTTAATGTCTCCTGCCCTGCCCACCCCACAATCAGCAGTCAGGCATTAAACCTATCTGCCACACTGTCTGGAACTCCACCACAGAATCCCTCCTACTCACCCCTTGTCTCGCCTCCTTCAAGGTCTGGCTCAAGATCTTCCTCTTTGACTACAACTTTGGTCATCTGCCCTTCCCACCACCACACCTTGGCCTCCATCCCTCCCGAATCCAACCTGCAGCTCAGGTGGAAACCCTCGACTGTCCAGTGCCTTGGGACATCTTCCTAAAGTGGAAGGTGCTATATAAATACGTTGTTGTTGCTGTAGTGGAGACATTCAAACTTTATAAAAGAATATCCTGTGGCTTGTGAAAATGGGGTCTAAAATACACTTGTGATACTGGCTGGCATTTTACTTTCAATCTATTTCTCAACTGAGAAAAAGCCCCCAAAAGAACGATGAGAATGTCAAATATCCTTTGCCAGTGTTCAAGATTGTTATTTTTTTTAAGCTCAATTTCAGGCAGAATTTGTCACGATTAGCGCAAGATGTCTGGTTTGCAAATGCCATATTTTAGATTCCCAATTTAAAGTTGAACATATTTGATACGTACACAATCAATAGAATCCTTTCAGGTTGAAAGCGAGAGGTGGATATTTGTATTCAAACATAAAAATTGCTATTAATGTAAATTCAAAAATGGAAGTATTACATTGAAACGTGATTTTGTGTCTTACCCCAAACCTTTCTTTGCTTATTTTGCTCTAGGTTGTATCTTTAGCTGACTACGAGCATGTTGAAGAGGTGACAAAAGAAGGGAGCAAGAAGACACCATCTCCCGGCTATCCACTGGTGTGCGTGACACCATGTGACCCACACTTTCCTAAGTTCGCTGTTATGAAAGAACGCTGTGTTGAAGCAGGAATTAATCAATCTTCTGTCCGCTTCAGCTGGGAGGTGGCAGCACCCACAGACACAAGTGGTGCCAGATCTCCCTTTGAGACAGTGACAGATAACACCCCTTTCACCAGTGTCAATCATATGGTAAGTACAACCACACGTGGCTGTTGAAGGGCAGTGTTTCAACAGGAATTTCTTACCTCAAGTCCCACATCCCTATTAAACCAGTGAAATCAGATTTTATCACTCTCGAGGCAGCCCAAAACTGCATGTTCATCACAGGCCTTACATAGCAATTGGTAACTTGCACATAAGAGAGGAGCACAGGGCAATGATGCATTTTGCAGAAGTAAGAGCACTTTATTTAAGTTCCTGTTACCCAATCTGACTGTAAGGCCAAGGGTTCCCAGCTCCAAGCATACCTTTACATACTTGTATCTTAACTTCAGCCAGTTTATGGGATTATAAACCCCAGTTAAGGATTCCACACACACTAAAGTCACATTTGCATACTGTTGATTTCTATTAGTGAATGGATTACTCTACTTTTACTGATTATACCTCACTTTTCTTCAGACTATCTTACTTGATATTCTCTGGTTATTTGTTTCATGAATCTACTTGTACTATTTGCTTAGGTGACTTTCCATGATAATTTATATCTGTTACACTTTGTATGAAATGGATTTTACTGTTGAAGTGAAAATGTTCACGCTAGTATTTTAGGGCGAGGGTGTGTGATTATCTGACCAAAGCAACCATGAAAAAAACAAATTTGATAATTGGGTAACCTGTTTAAGAAAACAACCACTGCAGTTTGAAAGACTTGTTTACATGTAAATTCTGTACGGCTATTGTAAAACTGCATGTAAATTGTACTTCTCAGAGTTGACCAACAGGCGTCACCGTTTCATAAATTCTCTTAGAAACGAAGATTGAACCCTATTTTAAGCCAGATCTGTAGTCGATAAAAGGAATGAATTTGTCTTACAAAAGCAAACTATTCTCAGTCATTCTAATGTGAAAGTTTTCAATAAAACAAAAGCAAATGCTGAAAACTGTGCAGTGAGAATAATAGTTACAACCAAATCTTCCACTGGTACATGTGTTATCACTCATATTTAAAGTCATTTTTTTATCCATATACTGAAATGCTGGATGTTTTGGGGGTGTTATTTTTTCTAATATTTTCTTTGTGAAGTGCATTTGGGTAGTCTCAGCTCAGATCTTATTAGGCATGGGTGTGTACCATAAAACTGGCCAAAGTTTATCATAATTGTACACTAAACAGGGGATCTCCTGCAGAGGTGGTTGGGTTAGGAGAACACTACTCAATACGATCTGTTACTTTCTATTACTAAAACTTCAAAAAAAGTAATGATTCTATTTTTCACTTCTCCCCCACCAAGGTCCTAGACAGTATCTACTTCAGCCGTCGTTTCCACGTGCGTTGTGTTGCAAAAGCAGTTGACAAAGCTGGTCACGTTGGGACACCACTAAGGAGCAATATAGTCACCATAGGAACAGATAGCAGTATCTGCCACACGCCTGTAGTGGCAGGGACAGCCAGAGGGTTCCAGGCTCAATCGTTTATTGCAACTCTGAAGTACTTAGATGTGAAGCACAAGGAACATCCCAATAGGTACTGTAACGTTACGATGTAACAACCTGTGGAGTCTAAAATGCGACCTTCTCAAGCCTTAAGTCTTTGCTTTAAATAGAAAAATGCCAGCAACCAAAATACTGTGAAAGACACAGCATTTTGCTCATTGACTATTTTTGCGGACTTTGCCAGCTTTGAGTTTCGCTGGTTTAAGGAGTCCTGTGATAGAGTGGTTAAAGCACTCGCCTCACAAGTGAGAGACCTGGGTTTGATTCCCGGCAGGGCGAAACCTTGGGCACGTTTCCTGATAATAACCCTTTGAGAAAAAAACAATAATAAAATTGTCACTTCAATCCACGACTGTTTGTGGGACACTGATGTGCGCAATTGGCTGCCGCGTTTCGCCCACACATATACAGTCAATTCATTTTACAGTCTATTCTGTGAAGAGCTTTGAGACGTCTAGAAGACGTGAAAAACGCTATATCAAATGCAAGGATTATCATTATTACCAATCTTGCAAACTGGATATTGCAATCTGTAACTCCTAATATCACAGTTTATACCCCGTGAGAGCATCATCTTCCACTGGGCCAATTTCAGGCAGCAGCGAACCATCCAGCCTGTCATCCAGTTTCCCACAAGGTTTTCTTCATTGTATCTATCTCACTACCTGCCGGTGCTTATATAGTAGCGCAGCCTTTCCAGATAGAAATGTAGAATGTTACTTGTCCACTGAGTGCATATGTCCTTCAGCACATTATTGGTAACTAAATTCGAGTACTGAAGCAATGTCTTTCATTACCTCAGTCTCTTTGCTCTTCTTTTAATTACTATGAGTATCACTCGGCTTTCATAGTAATTAAAGAGAGGGAAAGCAGCCGTGTAATGAAACAAATGGCATCACCGCTGGCACTGTGGTGTCCTTTGATTAGAGTCAGTTTATCTTTGTGGTGAGGGGATGTTCTTTTCTGATATACAGCACACAAGAAAGATCAGAGCAGCTGCACATCCTGTTCTAAAAGAACTAAGGTCAGAATACTCTATTGGAGACTGGTAATTTCAGTACTGATGTACCTTAAATAGTAAGCTAATATTGGGCTTTAAAAAGCACTGTAAGGAACACAGGGTTCCAGGCTTAGTTGTTTGTTGCAACACTAAAGTACTGAAGCACAATGAACATCTCCATAGGTACAGAAAGGAATTGGATCAGCAATATAACGATATAATAAAGGCCTAAAATCTGACATCCTCAAGCTTGATGTTGTTTTAATTGAGACTTTTACTTTGTAAATATTCTATTATGAGATTACAAAACAGCAAATCGCAAATACCAAGCCGGCAAAGTAAAAAAAATGTGATATGGCACTATATCAAATTTAAGGATTATTAGCTCAGGATGTAAAATGAGTGAAACCCAGAGAAGCCCACATTCACACTGTCCCACATGATCTCAGCTATAATGAGATCTCTGGTTGGACTTGAGTATTTGTCGATCTGAATTGTCATAACAATCATGGGTTCTTAGCACGAGATGTACTTGATATCCCAAGGTGCAGTTTCCACCATGAGATACCATTTACACAGTTGTTTTCCCGACTAACATATGGAAAACTGCTGTGCTTCATCAGCTGTTAAAGTGATCCATGTTTGTGGCATAGTTTACCTGGATATGTAAATTGCCTAAAGCATCGATATACCAATTGCCTGTGTTGACTACTGTACTCTGAATATTATGGATTGTTTTTTTTCCCCCATTCAAACAAGCAGAGTGGATAAACAGGCCTATGGATTTATTTTTCATTTATTTTGCACAGAATCCATATTTCGGTGCAGATCCCTCACCAGGATGGGATGCTGCCTCTCGTCTCCACCATGCCCCTGCATAACCTGCATTTCCTCCTGTCGGAGTCCATCTACAGACACCAGCACATCTGCTCCAATCTGGTGACACTCAAAGACCTCAAGAGTATCACAGGTAGGGTGCAAAAGCCAGCAACAAAATCAACTTGCATTTATAGAGCGCCCCTTATGCAGGGTAGAGTCCCAGAACGCTTTAGGAAATGCAATGTAAGGCTAGTTTTTTGCTGCTATGTTTCTTCTGTATGAACATAACATTAAAACCTTTTCAACAAACTGTTCGCCTTCCGGATGTGATGCTACATTGATGTTTGCCTGTTCAGGTAGATGTTAAAGATTCCATTACACTATTGGAAAAAAAAACTGTTCTCAGTGTCCTGGCCAACAGTCCTCCAGATCAATTTTTTTAACCTCATGGCTATAAGACCTTATTGGCTCAAATCACTGCTGCTTTTATTTACAAAGACAGTCACTGGGAAGAGCTTTGACAGGTTTTGACACAATGTTCTCTAAAAATCCACTTTATTTTCTCATGGCAATTTTCGGGGTCAAAATTTTAAAGTTTGCAGATGAAAGAAACTTGAGAATGTAGTAAATAGTGAGTAGGGTGGTAGGAGAATACAGTAGGATGTAGCCAAAGTGGTGAAATGGGAAGACACCTGGCAGATGAAGTTTAATGCAGAGAAGTGTGAGGTAATGCATTTTGGGAGGAAGAATGAGGAGCGGCAATACACACTAAATGGTAAAGTATTAAAGCGGTACAGGAGCAAAGTATTTGAAGGTGACAGGACAGGTTGATCGAGCTGTTAAAAAATCGTATGGGATCCTTGGCTTTATAAATAGAAGTATAGAGTACAAAACCAAGGAAGTTCTGCTAAACCTTTATAAGTCACTGGTTAGACCTCAGCTGGAGTATTGTGTCCAATTCGGGGCACCACACTTTAGGAAGGATATCACGGCCTTAGAGGAGAAGAGATTTACCAGAATGGTACCAGGGATGAGGAACTTTAGTTATGTGAAGAGACTAGTGAAGTTGAGATTGTTCTCCTTAGAGCAGAGAGGTTAAAAGGAGATTTAATAGAGGTGTTCAAAATTATGAGGGATTTTGATAGAATAGATAAGGGGAAACTGTTTCCACTGGCAGGTGAGTCGGTAACCAGGGGACATAGTTTTTAAGATAATTGGCAAATGAACCAGAGGGAAGATGAAGAGATTTTTTTTTACAGAAAGTTGTTACGGTCTGGAATGCATTGTCTGAAAGGGTGGTGGAAACAGATTCAATAACGACTTTCAAAAGGGAATGAGATAGGTACTTGAAGAAGAAAAATTTGCAAGCATATGGGGAAGGAGCAGGGGGATGGGACTGATTGGATAGCTCTTCCAAAGAGCTGGCACAGGCTCGATGGGCTGAATGGGCTCCTTCTGTGCTGTAATATTCTGATTCTATGATTCTAAAAGTAATGAAATCACACCACTGCCAGTTCAGTAATTACACTATTTTTTAGTAAAAACCTGGGCTCTCTTTTGCAGAATCTGGATTTCTGGACGATGTTAACTATGACAGGATCACTCTTGGCCCTGGTTATGATCGACCGTTCCAGTTTGACCCAAATGTGAGAGAATCTAAAACCATCCAGTTGTACAAACACCTGAACCTGAAGAGCTGTATCTGGACGTTCAATGCTTACTACGACATGACTGAGCTGATTGACGTGTGCGGTGGCTCTGTGACAGCTGACTTCCAGGTGAGATATTTTCTAAACATTGAAGCGTCAGAAGAGGAGTTAGTCCTTGCATCAATATTATGCACTTTTTTTTACAGCCTCCTTCTCCCCAACCTGTCTTTTATATAAAAAGTAATACAGTAATAGTTATCACATTGAAAAATCCATATTAGCATTCAAAAAGGAACTACATAGATCTCTAAAAAGAAGCAAACTACAGGGTGTGGGGAAAATATAGGGAAATGGGACTGAAATGGTTGCTCTTTAAAAGAACCAGCACAGACACGATGAGCTTCTTCTGTGCTGTCAATTTCTATAGTTTGATAAAAAGTTTCAAAGTGCTTCACACATTGTGTTACTGTCCCCAAGCCTTGGCTCTTTCCAACCTGGTCCCAATACTCGTTGGATTTATGTAGGCTGTCCCTCTAGGGAGAGATTGTGCATTCCATTCCTAAAAATAGCGGGGGAATTTCCATGTGTTAGTGAGATCCATGGGATTTTCATTTTGGATTGGATGCTCTGACCAAAACAAATTATTGTTTTAAAGTGTTATGTGGGGGGAAAATGTAGCAGCTGATCCATTTAAATAAAATCCCACAAACAGAATGAGGTGAATGTCTAGTTAATCTACTTTGGTGAATTTGGATAGGAAGAAAATGTGGATCTTTGCAACTCTGTATCAGGAACATAAAATTTTGGGAGGACAAGTTTGTAGGGCTATGGAGAGAAAGCGGGGGAGTGGGATTGATTTGGATAGCTTTTCAAAGAGCGGACAAGGAAACAATGGGCCAAATGGCCTCCTTCTGTGCTGTATAATCCTATGATTCTATGAAATGAATTGGATAGAGTCCACAGTGAAGCAGGATGGACATGGTCTACATACCGAAGGATCAGGGTTTATGTCTATCAAAAAGTTTGTTCTGTTCGCCCATCTCCCCCAAATACTATGCGTATGCTGTATACATTGTATATTGCTTTGATTGACAGGTGCGTGACTCGGCTCAGTCATTCCTGACCGTGTCGGTGCCATTGTACGTGTCTTACATTTACGTGACAGCACCACGAGGCTGGGCTTCATTGGAGCATCACACTGAGATGGAGTTCTCCTTCTTTTATGACACGGTTCTTTGGAGAACAGGTATGTCAAATGAGAGCTACGAAATAAAGCTTTTCTTTCCATCCTGTTCCTATTATTTTAATATATGCATGTTTTTAAAAAAAATACCATTTAATTGTGTTCCCGTTACTTGACGTAGGCATTCAGACTGACAGTGTGCTGTCAGCACGACTTCAAATCATACGCATCTACATCAGGGAAGATGGACGACTTGTCATTGAATTCAAGACCCACGCAAAGTTCAGAGGCAAGTCATTTCCTTATATGATGAAGAAAGCTCAAAAGGGGGAAGGGTTGGAGTACACTGAATAACAATCTTTGCAAATGATTTTTACAAACACTGTCATGCCTGTGGATCAACAACAACAATAAATTGCTTTTATATAGCGCCTTTCATGTTGGAAGGATGTCCCAAGGCACGGGACAGTTAAGGGTTGTTGAAAGCTGGGGGTTGAAATCGAAGTTAGTGGAGGTGGAGATGGGAGGGTGGCCGGAGATGGGAGGGTGGCTAAAGGTATGGTCAGAGGCAGGAGGCAAGGGAGGGGACGAGGCAAAGGGACTCCAGGATGGAGTTCCAGAGGGTGGGCACAGAAATGCTCAAGGCCTGACCAACAATGGCACAGTGGGCAAGGTGAGGGACATGGGGCAGACCAGTGCCTTCTGAGCAGAGGGAGCAGGTATGGTGTTAATAGGTTGCAGAGGTAGGAGGAGCACAACCGTGGAGGGCTTTAAAAGTGAGGATGAGGATTTTAAACTCAACCCACTAATGCATGGGGAGCCAGTGGAGCCGGACGAGGATGGGTGGTCGGGTCACGGAGCTTGGTACATGAGAGGACATGAGTTTTGACTGTTCATCATCCAATGTTGTACATACAAGACTGCTCTACGTTACCATCAATGTAAAAAGCGTATGACAACTTTATTATAAAACGAGAAAGAACAAAGTAGAACCAAATTATAGGACATTAATCTTGTTACAATTATAATTTACATTCATATAGCATCTTTCAGATCAGGAGGGTATCTCAAAGCCTTCGCACAGCTAACTGGGAGCTAGGGATTAAAAAAAATAGGTTTGAAGTTTGAAATCAGATGGTCACTGGACAGTCACTAGACTACAGTAAATCCTGTGCTTTGAGATGTCATCCTGATGTGAAAGGCTGTATGCCACATTATTATTAGTATTAAATAGTTTTAAATCTATTTTTAAATAAAGAGCTTTCCAAATGTATCCAAATGCCGGTTTGGTTGCATCATAAGAGTCCTCAATCACGTGCTTTTCCCTCCACAGGTCAATTTGTGATGGACCACCACACGCTACCCAGTCAAAAATCTGAAATCGTAGCTCCCGGTCACCTGGGAGGTATAGAATTTGACCTGCAGTTGCTCTGGAGCGCTCAGACATTTGACTCCCCTTATCAGCTGTGGCGAGCAACTAGTTCATACAACAGGTAGAGGACATTAAACCTTTCTTTTGGAGAACTTTGTCTAAAGAAAACTACCAGCGCTTTGGGACGTGCTCCCGACATGAAAGGCGCTCTATAAATGTAATTTTGTTGTACTGTTTTTTTTAAACCATTGTCATTAACTTACACAGAAGCAGAATATTATTTTGTTCTAAACCAATATGCTGTTATATAGTCCTGAACTATAGATTGTAAATATTTTATGTTTTCACCGCATTAGAAAGGGGGAGAGGAGAAATACCTTTATTTCTACTTCTTATTGTCTTTCTGGTAAACCTAGTGTTATTGTGCAGTGATTTCGCTCATATAAAACTGTTAGCTGTACAAAATTTCAAATGGAAATCTTGTCATCAAAAATAATGATTCTTTTATTTCTGATTCATTCTAGTCTGAGAGTAAACCGTGTCTGTAGCTCATGTCCCACTCACAATCTATTGCATAGAGGAAAATTGATGACCTTGCACAGATGGTGAAATGTTGCCTGATCTGATGAAGTGGAGAGCACACTTGATGGATCAAATAGTCCACACGGAACCTATAGTTTAATTTTGATCAGAACACTCAATGGGGGTAAATCATTGTAGCTTATTTTTTTTAACAGTTTCTCTTTAAATAATGTTAAGGGTTGTTTTGGAGTTCATTTCTAAAACTTAAATTCTTGCCAGAAAAATACCACCCCAATCCTATTTACATTAAAGTGCCAGCGAATCATTAATCCACTTTGGGCCTCAATACAAAATAATGTAATGCAATGGCACAGGTTGTATGGTTACTTAGGCAATAGTCATACAATATTAGGTAGGACAGCAAACCTCCAGCCAACAAGCTAGGCAACATGAGGAGATACTAGAAACCATTGGAGTTACGAATGATGAAAGCCATTCCTGTACAGTATTGTCAGCAGAAGCTATGTCTCTGACCTCAGGCAGAAACAGTTCCTGTTAAATAATTGTATTGACAAACGTGAAAAAACAGACAGTGCATTTTTTTATGTGAAATTTTTGAAGAAGCAAATAAATATGGAAGTGAGACTGATTGCAATCTAATATGAACAAAAATGAGTCTGTTTCAGATGATGTTATGAGCCAGACTGGATGAATTTTGTCACTAAGTTAACCTTTGTTTATCTAGCAGCATAAAACATTTTGTTTACAGAATAATGCATTTTTTGTTCAGTCTACTCTAAAGTTGAAATGCAAAAACTGCTTTTAACTGAATTCTGTTTAATTAAAGATTACATGACTGAAATAGTTCTTTGTAGTTACTGACTATTTCTATGTGATTTTTTAAGCCTGTCAGATTTTGAAAATGAGTAAGTATACTTCTCACCACACTATCATGTGTAATATTCCATTCAATAGCTCTGGCAGAGCCAGGAAAATGTTTATAATTGCATCCTTTTTAAAAACTTGCAGAACAATTATTGTATTCTGTAAAATGTATACAGTGTTATGCATAGCACTAGATTAAATGGTTAAATATTTGCAGAACTGCAATGTTGAGATGAATTGTCAGTAGTTTTATTTAAGGTCCATTGTTTGCTCTGTATGGTAAATAATTTTTCTTTATGCATTTGTCCACAGAAAAGATTATTCAGGAGAGTACACTATTCTTCTGATTCCTTGTACTGTGCAACCCACACAACCTTGGATCGACCCTGGAGACAAGCCCCTGGCCTGTACCGCACATGCTGTTGAGAAGTATGTTCATCCTGATTTGACTGTACAAATTGCTAATCCGTTTTAGAACATTTTTGCACCAAACATCTGAAATCTAGTTTTTGCTTAATTCATGGTGAGCGAACGTTTAACATTGAATGTTTGTGGTGGCGAGCTGATTGTTCAATAAACCATGAGAGCGGATCTTGAGATTAAATTACGGCTTCAAACTGTACCTCTTGTGTCCGGTCTACCAGCTGTATATTTTTAATAATATATACTGTGGTCTCAATAAAATGAAAAGAATAGTAATGATAGCTGATTGAAGGCCAGCAGTACATTATTGTGGCTTTGTGAGGAACTGCTGTGTTGTCAGCAGTGCAGAACAATATTGTCACATCTTTCATGGGATAAGATAGAGGGAAATCATTTACTGCAGCAATTCTTGTTGCTTAAAGAACGTCATTTAAGCATATATAGTTTATCTCAGGATCTAGCAATCTTTCTAGCACCCTTCCTAATATAAGTCGGGCCCTACCTAAGACACAGATATTTTTCCTGTGATTCAAAGTCAATGCATCATTTGCTACAGATGCAAAAATTGGTTCACTAGTGAAAAATCTAACAGGTATGAATGTCAGCCTAGCTCAGTCAGCATTTGTGCCTATGGTTCAGAAGGTTGCAGGTTCAAGGACCATGTTAGGAGTTCATCGTCCAGGGTGATATTCCAGTGCAGTACTGAGGGGGCACTGCACTGTCCAACTTACCATGTTTTCAATAAGATATGAAATCAAACCCAGATCTACTTGATTTAGATAGATGTTCAAGATCCCATGACATTATTTCAAAATAGAGGGACCTTATCCTTCTGTGTTCTGGACAACAGTTCTCTAGATGAAATGGTATTCACCCTATTGCTGTTTGTGGGACCTTGCTGGTGTAAGAAGTTTCTCTTTGACCGAGTCTTCAGCTCCCCTCTCGACTCTCTTCCCCCTTCTCGCTCCCTCCCATCCCTCCCCTCACCCTGACCATTTCCCCCCTCCTCGCTCCCTCCCCTCCCCCTGACCATTTCCCCCCTGCTCGGGTCATGACCCAACTGTGCAGCGCCTTGGGACGTCCTCCTGACGTGAAAGGCGCTTTATAAATAGAATCTTGTTGTTGTTGTTGTAAAGGAATGTTGAGGTTGCCTGCAAAACAGTCAGCACTTGACAGTACTCACTATGAACATCATTAGGAAGTTCAACATCTGACAATGCTGCATTCCCCCATCAGTGTATTGGATAGTCACTGACCAATGCAAAATCACCTGGAATTGTTTTCACTTGTTATTAATTGCATAATGAAGAGCAATTGCACAAGGTTTACACAACTCACAAATTAGACCCAAAGAGTGAAAGATCTGAACGGTCAAACACATTTTTTTTACTCTGATGTACCCCAAAGTATACATTAAGCTGTAGCCAAAGAGTAAATGGTAGGGAGAGGTAGACCACATTCAAAAGCTGGTAGTTTCAATATGTTTTAAACTCTAAATGTAGCAGTACTGCATTGTACCAGTGCAAAAAACAGAGACAAAGTTTTAATTATTATAAAGAATTGTAGTTTCAAAAGCATTTGTTGTATGTAATCTCTTATTGCTGCATTTATTTATAACTTCTGATTCTGCAGAAATAAATGTTTTTTGAAAGAAACTGTGAGATGTACATTTAAATTGTGTTTCTTTTTCTGTCAAGGTTCCTTGTCCCCATTGCATTCCAACAGACCAATCGTCCCGTTCCAGTGGTCTATTCCCTCAACACAGAGTTTCATCTTTGTAATAATGATAAAGTTTTTATGATGGATCCCTCCGAAACTGAGATGTCCTTAGCTGAAATGGATTATAAAGGAGCCTTCTCTATGGGTCTGCATCTTTTTTATTAAATTATTTGAAATGAAAGAAAGCTTCTGCAAAGTAGAATCTATTGCAAACTTCTTTTTGAAAAAGTGTTTTTGTGGTCCCAGGAGAATTTATAACGGCATAGTCCCACAGTTGACTGTCATAATAATAATAATAATAATCCTTCATGTGATATTGTGCCTTCTCATGTGGTCAAAACATCTCAAAGCACTTCATGGGATTTTACTATAAAGTGTAGTGCCTGTGTTTGTAGCCGAACGGGGCAGCCAATTTGTACACAACAGCAATAAATTACATTTGTACAGCACCTTTCACTTCGGAAGGATGTCCCTAGGTGCTGGACAGTCAGTGCAATGTCCTGCAAACATCTGTGTATTAAATTATGAATTTAAGTTGGAAGTTTGTTAGCACCGCTCAGTATTACTCAGTGCATATATTTTATATGGGGAAAACTGCAACTTTTGATTTACATCATATTTATTTTTGCTAAATTGTCATGTATGCAATTTTATTGGGCTGGATTTCATCCATTTTTGTCATTCGCTTAATCTTGTTCTGCACTGTTATTCAAATGGTGTTATAACTTTAGTAAGTAGTCTTCAAATAAAAGTGCAGGTAGGAGTCAAAGTAATTTCCTCTATTCATAGAGCAGGAGCTAAAACTATGTTTAAAAAAAAACAAACGTTCAAATAGTGGTATTGATTTCTCATCAAAGTAGTAATTTACACTTCTCAAAAATGGATAGGGTTCACTTGCTGAATGCTCTAACTGGAAGTGATGATTACACCAAACAAGATAACGGGTTTTCCAGGAATTCTGTTTTGACAAACTCTTAAGTCTAAGATGTCTCTTGTTTCTGGCATAACTTTTTTATCTAGTATCCCAGTCAAGACCTCCCTTTCTCTACCCCTGCCCCCCCAACCTCCCAATTCAAGTGAGTAGGGGGCTGGCTCTGTCACTTGGCAGTATGATTATAGTTATCTAAACTGTCCAGGGCACATACATCCATATTGCTAAGAATTTAGAAGAAAAAAACACAGCATATTGGAAATATCTTTTACTATAAAGAGCACAAATAAAAGGGTGAACCAGAGGCGTTTTCAGTTTCAGCAACCAACCAATTCACTGTAGTCTTTCATTAGCTTTCATTCCTTCTGCCCACCAACACAACAGCATTTGAGGAGCATCTCTAAACCACGTTATTTCAAAGGTTATACTTAAATGTGGGTCACGGAGTCTGTAATTGGAGCTCTGTGCAATAGATTGTGTTGTGTTGGCCCTGATGCAGATATCTGTAATGCCTACAAATACAGTCACTACACTTTAAAGTAAATCCTGTGAAGAAGCACTGTGAGATGTTCAAATACATCAAAAGGTCCTATATCAAATCCAAGCATTATTGTATTATTATTATGTTAAAACATTACCAGTTCAGGCTCAGACCTATTGAAAACATTTCCTTGTCATATCTGACAACAAATTCATTGAACGTGCACCAGCCAAGTAAGTGGGAGATGTAAGTGGCTACCGGCCCCTACAGAAAGGACAACCTTGCATTTCCAAAGTTTCTAGTCCTTCAGAATACTGAAACATATGATAATTGCAGAGTGTGTTTATATATAGCAAGGAATGTCCAATTGCATGTGCCATAACCACATCATGAACCATTGCCCAAGAGATTCATTCACTTCTCTTGTTTTAATAGGTCAGACATTATATGGACGTGTTCTCTGGAACCCAGAACAGAACCTCAACTCTGCATACAGGCTACAACTAGAGAAGGTGTACCTCTGCACTGGGAAAGATGGTTATGTCCCTTTCTTTGATCCCACTGGGACTATTTATAACGAGGGTCCCCAGTATGGTTGTATCCAGCCCAACAAACACTTGAAACATAGATTCCTGCTTTTGGTAGGTTTAAGATATATTTATCCGTGGGCTGGGGAGGGAGGGAGGAAGTTAAGCCATATTTAATGTTGTTATTCTTACAACATGTCTAAATGTCCTGCAACCTAAAGAATAATTGGAGATTTGTTGAAGGAATATTACATCTATATTCTACCTTGAAGATAATTTGCCTTAAATACAACCTAGCATGTACGAACATTTCAGCTGAAAGTTCAAGATTGCATAGAATTGTGGCAAATTGCTAAACTCCATCTTAATTTAAGCACTGAGACACGCTTCCCTGCGTGAGAGGGGCTGTAAGAATGCGAGTTGTTGTAATTTGGAAACTGAATCTTTTCAAGAACTGCAGAAAAGGAGCTTCCAAATTAAGGCTTAAATGAACAATTTTCCACAATTCTGCATGATCTTGAATGTTAAAACAGACAATCTTAGAGCCGAAGACTAGGAGGATTTTTGGGTGTTGTCTTAAATATGCTGCTATTTTGGGTATATTTGAGCAGAATCAGTATATACTGCTGATGGTTGAATATTTCTATTTATTCTTTCCACTTTATTAAAGGATCGGAACCAACCAGAGGTAACGGACCAGTATTTTCATGATGTTCCATTTGATGCTAACTTTGCATCGGATGCACCTGAGTTTCACGTCATGAGGCACATGCCTGGAGTGGATGGCTTTACCATGAAGGTGGATGCCCTTTACAAGGTTTGTCTGTTTCCTTCCCATTGCCATGCCAAAATAGCAGTCAGGCTTCCTGCAACACAATGTTCGAAGCAGCATCCTCAATCATTGCACAGCCAGAAGTTAGTGGTGCAGTCAATTTTTATGGCTTGTTCAGGGAGATTAAACAGAACAAAATGCTCTCAAAGAGGCTTGAATTGCACAATTTTAATTCGATTTGCAAATTCTAGAAATTTACCCTTTTGTGATAGTAATTTGTTCTGCCCCTTTTTTAAAAAAACAATGATTGCAAAACCAATATAAAACTTCTCCACTCACATGCTGCTTTGTTTCTTAAGTATATGTTTTTGTGCTTTTATTCCAGGAAAATAGTTACCTCCAGTGGTAGGAATATGGTGACATTTTACATGTTTACAATACAATACAAAATTTCATTTCTATAGCGCCTTTCATGTCGAGTGGACATCCCAAGGTGCTGGACAGCTGGCGGGGGTGGGTTGGGATCAGGTAGGGTAAGGAGGGTGCCCAATGATGGTGTGTTCGAAAAGGAGGGTGTTGAAATGTACCTTGAAGGAGGCAAGGGAGGGAGCAAGGTGAAGGGAATGTGGGATAGAATTCCAGAGGGTGGAGGCAGAGAGGCTGAAGGCCTGACTATTGATAGTGGGGTGGACCGGGCGGGGGACATGAAGCAGGCCAGAGCCTGCAGAGCGGAGGGAGCAGACAGGTTGATAAGGGGTTAACAGGTCACAGAGGTAGGAAGAGGCAAGGCTGTGGAGGGCTTTGAAGGTGAGGACGGGGTTTACATTCAGAGGCGAGCATAACTGCCAGTTGAGGCAGGCTGAACAATTTTTTTTTGATCCATCCATTGGCAAGAAGTTTTTGTTGACTAAGCTCTTTGCTTTGTTGCCAGGTGGAAGCTGGGCATCAATGGTACTTACAAGTCATCTACATCATTGGTCCAGAGTCACTTTCTGGACCACGTGTCCAGCGCTCACTCAGCTCCCGTCTGCCACGGACAAAGCGGGATCTGGTGGACAAGGATGGCAAACTAACACTGGACGACTCATTGATTTATGACAATGAGAACGACAAGGTTAAGAATGGTACCAATATGAAGAACTTAAGATTGGAGTCCGAAGCCTTGGCATCAACCTTGCACAAAGATGCATCAATTGGAGGTGCAGTCGCTGCTGTAATGCTCCTCTTCCTCTTCCTCCTTGCTGCTTGCATTTTGGCAAGAAAATGTAAGCAAAAGAAGAAGCTGCCCAAAGAGATCCCAGAGGAGTATCCACTGAACACAAAAGTGGAAATCTGCAGCAAAACACTGAACAGGCTTGAGAAAAACTTAAACAGCAAGCAGTGCACAGTAAAGAATATCAACATTTTAAATAAAAATGATGACATGGTTCGGGTAAAGGGTGTCAAAGTTAAGCAGGTGAACCTAAACGTTAAGCTCCAAAATAATCTACACGATGGAACAGAGGTTTGATGGCAGACAAATGTTGTTATAAGATATGTAATTCTGGGAGACGGGGTCTGTAAAATCTCGAGGAAAAAAGGGAAACGATTTCCGTGGTGGTCAGTTATGCAGTGTAATACATTTGGTAATTGAGCTACCTCATTCTATGCAAGCATGTAACACATTATAATACAGCACTCATCCATTTTAGCTGGTGCAGATCCATTCAGGAGTTTAATCATGGTGCAGTATTCCCTCTCCTCCTCATCCCCCCATCTCTATCTCTATTTTTCTACTGGTAGCTCAAGCCTTGTGTGTGCTTTTAAATATCCAGCATTTTCACCATCTTCTGGCTGGGCTAATGAATTGTTTGAACTGTGTAAATGTAAACACACCAGTGAAAGATCAAACCACTTTAAATTACACATGAGTATTATTGCCTTGTTTCCAGCCAAGCACTCAAATGTGTTCAGTCATGTAAAAGTTTGTTTATAACTGGATGAGTTATGTAAATATCCTTTTAAGTGCAATTCCTGTTTGGAGGCAAGGTTCATCCAGGTTGACTTGTGAAACAATCAGGTTGTGTGTTTGAGAATGCTTGTTCTCTTTATTGGCTTTATTTCGGCCGAAAGGCTTTCAGTTATTATTTTTATACTTACTCATGGTAAAACTTTGGACAAACTGAAATGAGACCATTATTGTTGTCTGTTTGGACATCATTTTAAAAAAAACTCCTCTCCTGGCGATGTAATCTTGATTTTAGTGCTTATTTGAAAACAAATATAAATTTACAGTGTATTACGTACCATTGCTTTTATATACTGTGTAGTGAAGTAGAAGTGAACTTTATGGTTAAACTGTGTAACGGAGCTCTGTGACAAATCATATTTGATTGTTATATTGTTGTATCTATCAATCAACAAGAGGACCTCAGCAGTTTCTGTTGATGAAAGACCATAGCACCCGGGCATACCACTGTTTTCAGTAATTCCATTCTCTTAAGATAAACACCACCAACATCTCATATTCAGTATGGATCAACCCACTTTCCCACTAGTGCTCGTGCTGTTATTAAGTGACTTAAATTGTGGTGCTGTAGTTTAATCTTTACATTTGTGTATTTAAAACTTTAGTATGTGGGCTTATGATACGAGTAAACTGACTGCTACATGACATAACCTGAGGTGTTTTTTTTACTAATAAAGAACATTTTGTTAAATGTGGACAAATTCTATTTTTCTTACTTTGTAGCTCTTTCATAGTTACAACGATGTGCTTTTGTCTTCTTTTAGTGCTTGAAAAAAAGAAAATAATTTTCACTCGGATACTAAAGCTGTCAATTCAGTCTGGAAAATGCCAGTTTGGGATTTGTTGAATGAATCCTGTTTTCACCACGGTTTCTGATATTCTGCTTACACTTTACATTTTGTGGCAAATCATAGAGGGTACAGCTGCAAAACATGCATATTGTGGAGATGCAGACAGCCTGAAGCCAGGAGGCAGGCTCCTTTCATTGCCTGGAGGAGTTGGTTTCCAGAGCAGTGCAATTCAAGTCAGCGCAACATAATTGTGTCAGGTGCAGAGCGCACTGGACCCATTCCCAAGTTTGATTCAAAGCTTGAAAGGAGCATTTTTGAACATTATTAAAGAGCCATGTCATGTGACCAGCTCTTTAATAATGTTTAAAAAAAAACTTGAGTTTGGTGTTCTGCCATGTGCAAAATGCCATTCTCCAGGGCACTGCTGCTGACAGCTCAGCCAGCCTCATTGATAGAACCTGGAAAGGCAGCCCAGTCACTGGGCTCGGGACTCTTCCCACTCAGCTCCTGTTACCCTGCAAGCCAAAGTTCTAAAGGGTAGGGTGGTCCTAGCTGGACAAGCTTGTCAGGCAGTGCTTTTAATGGGAAGCTATGCAGTTTAGCTGGTAAGAACTCCAGCAGGACCTCAATGACCACTGTGGGGTCCCCAAGCCTTGGCTCTTGCCAATTTATACCTAATAATCTCCAGAAATAGGTAAGCAAGATATGTTCTTCAGGGACAGAATGCACATTATATTTCAAAGTATAGGTGGGATGCATGGGGCTCTGCTTGGTTTCGATAATCTTAAGCATGGTGATGGTTTTCCACTTGTATCAGACATCCAGCTGATCAAAAAAATCTCCATTGCAGACACTTGCAATTCAGTACTAGAAAAATGTTATTGTTTTATTTGAACTGTCAAATACATTCTGGATATTTTAATAATAATAATCCTTGCATTTGATATAGAGCCTTTATCACATTTTTGAGTTGTCTCAAAGTGCTTCACAGAATATACTGTAAAGAATTATTTTGTGGGTGAAACGCAGCAGCCAATTGCGCACAGCAGTTTCCCACAAACAGTCATGGAATGAGTGACCAATTTATTATTTTTTTTGGAAGGAATTATTACCCCCGGAAAAACGATCCGCCATTCTACTAACAGCCAGGGTCCCACTTACTACTAGGTGAGGAAACTTGCCCAACGTTTCACCCTACCAGGAATCAAATCCAGGTCTCTCGCTTGCAAGGGGAGTGCTCTAACCACTGAGCCACAGGACTCCAAAACAAAATCTTGATAGGATCCTCAACGAAGATTAATTGGCAAGTGAAACATATTGAATATTCAAGTGGAAATGCTCCTAGCTTTCCTAATGTCCAATCCCCATTTTAGGAATTGTGCCAATCCTTTTGTCGCCTTTTTCAGGTACACAATACAATGAGGCCTCACAAACTAATACGCTACTGTATCTGCCTACCCCAGACCATGGGGCATTGAGATATAATAGACAGATGGTGGATCACAGTCACCGCTAATTGGCTATTTGTAACAATTAGAGCTCAATTAGATAGATACCTGATGCTCTGTGTATTTAGTTGTTTCTCTTTGTGAAATTCAGTACCTCAATTGTAAATTGGTGGATTTTATAGTTGAATAAACGGTTAAAGTGTATTCATTGTTAATAAATCTTGCCGATATTGGGGTCTATTGTGCAAATTATGTAAACCATGTGTAAATGCATGACTGCAGAGAGAATAAAATGTGCTCTTAATTAAGTATTTAACATGCAATAAAAGGATCATAGGTGAATGTGAAATCCTTTGCATTGGTTGTTAATTTACTGAATTGAAGACACTTGTAATTCCCTCTGTTAAATGCCCATTCATTAGGTGCTATATCAAATGCAAGGATTATTACGATTATAAAAACAACAGTAGGCTTGAATGTAGACTATTTTTTAGGCTACAGTGCTAAAGACACTTACAATTTTCAAAACTTAAACACAGCCATTTTAATGTTTTTAAATAGTTTTCCATTTATAACTATAAATCAGACTTGTATAAATCAACCACAATATCGGATGTTCTTGACTAATTTAGTCTGTCTTTTTCCCTGATCAGCGCAGTTTCTTTTCATGATATAATAACCCTCCTTCACTTAGCCTCTTTTAAATTTAAAAGCTAATTAAACTGTACTGTCTGGCTTTTTAAAAATAAATGTTCACTTATTTCCAACTACAAACATTCAGCGCATTCAAGACCCAGAGTATATTATTATTAACCAATAAGTTCAGTTTCATTCCTGCAGAGCCTTCTAATTACTTGTGATACTTTAAGCCTTATTGATGTACTATCTTATGAATTTATCTTGAATGAATGCAATCAGGGTGTCTTACTGACATTGCTCCATTCTTCAACAAGTCACAAACATTTTAGCATTACATTGTGTAAATGCATTGATAAGATAGTTATTTGACGTTTGCCATAACATCACTTTTGTCCAGAAAATAGCCAGTAGAGAGCTCAGAAGAACTGCAGGATACAGGAACACTTCAGATGACAGACTATAAAACTTAGCATCCTAAACCTTCTAGTTATATGTAATTTCCCACAATGGTAAGCTATTGTTACTATCAAGGGGAAATGCTGACTTTTGTAGGTGAATGAGGCAGCCAATTTGTCCACAGCAATTTGCCACAGACAGCCATGAAGTGTTTAACTGGGGATCCTACCTTCCCTCTCCTTCTGCTCTAAACGCCTCTAATCTTAGGTGACTTCAACATCCACTTCATCCCCTCCTGCTCTACTCTGCTCTACCTCTGCCAACTTCTCCCTCCTCTCTTCCCTTAACCTCTCCCTCCTCATCCATTTCCCCACTCTTGACCATGGCCACTCCCTTAACCTGGTGATCACCCGGGGCCTCACCGTCTCGGACATCATCATCATCGATAAAGCCATCTCAGATCACCACTTCATCTCCCTCAACACCTCCGTACCCCTTCCCATTTCTCAACCCTCCACGATCACTTACCGTCCATGGAAAAAAAATTCCTCCCCCTCCACTGCCCTGGAGTCATTTGAACTCCTACACCTCTGGCCCTCACTGACCGATCTCCCCTCCTCACTCTCTTTTCTCCACAACTCCTTCTCCTCCATTCTGGACTCCCTTGCCCCCCTCACCTCCCGAACTGCCTCATACTCCCATAAATCCCCCTAGTACACCAGCCATCTCCATTCCTTCAAGGCACAAGTGTGAGCTATCAAACTCACGTGGACCAAATCCAAACTAATGGTTCATCAGTAGATCTGGCTTCACCACACCAAGACCTACTGCTGCCCTCTTGCCTCCGCCAAATCCTCCTTCTACTCCAAGGTTATCTTGGAGGCAAAGGACAACCCCAGGTTTCTCTTTTCCACCACAAACCGTTTCCTCCGTCCACCTTCCCATACCTTGCCCATCCTCTCCTCAATCGCCAACTGTGAGGAGATGCTGGACTTCCTCGAATCTAAAATCGAGGGGATACGTTCAGCCAACTCTGCCCTGTCCCCAGACACCCACGTCACCTCTCCCGCATGACCCACCCATCCTCCCCACACTCCTTCGACCCTATCTCTCCAAGGTCCTGGAACAAGTCATCATGTCCCAGCTCCACTCCTTTCTTTCTCGCCATTCCCTCTTTGAACCCCTCCAATCCGACTTCCACGCTGCCCACAGCACGGAAACAGCCCTGGTCAAAGTCACTAATGACATTCTGAACATCTGTGATCAGGACTCCCTCTGCCTCCTTGTCCTTCTCGACCTCTCTGCCGCCTTCGACACTGTCGACCACGCCATCCTCATACACTACCTCTCCGCTTTACTAAATCTTCACAAACATGCCCTTGCCTGGTTCGATTACTATCCCTATCACCGTCTCCACTGTGTTGCCTCCAATGGTTTCTCCTCCAGCCCCCACACTGTCACATCTGGCGTCCCCCAGGGCTCTGTCCTTGGCCCTCTCCTCTTTAATATCTACATGCTCCCCCTTGGTGACATCATCCGCAGACATGGGGTCAACTTCCATATGTATGCGGATGACACCCAACTCTATCTTTCTGCTTCCACCGTCAACTCCAGGACCACTGCTGTCCTGACAGACTGTCTGTCGGACATCAAGACCTGGATGAGGGCAAGTTTCTTACAGTTGAATGTGAACAAGACTGAGGCCCTCCTGATTGGCTCGCGCCAGCGCCTCAGCACCTCAGGCTCTGGCAGCATCAACCTCCATGGTTGCACACTTCAACTCACCATATGCAGTCAGGAACCTGGTGTCTTGTTCGACACTCAACTTTCTTTTCTTCCCCACATCCAAGCCTTGACCCACTCTGCCTTCCCTCACCTCCGTAACATTGCCCGATTCCGCCACTACCTCACCCCTCAGGCCCCTGAAACTCTTGTTTCGTCCTTCATCACCTCCAGACTCAACTATGCAAATGCTCTGCTTGTTGGCCTTCCCAACTCCTCCCTCCACAGGCTGCAGATAATCCAGAACTCTGGAGCCCGTGTCCTCTCCCGGACCAAACTCCGTGACCCCATCTCCCCCATTCTCGCCTGACTCCATTGGCTCCCTATCCTTCAGAGGATCCAGTTCAAGATCCTGGTCCTCACCTACAAAGCCCTCCATGGCCTCGCCCCGCCCTACCTCTGCGACCTCCTAACCCCCTACCAACCTGCCCGCTCCCTCCACTCAGCCGGCTCTGACCTGCTCAACATCCCCCGACCCACCCGCCCCACTATTGGCGGGAGAGCCTTCAGCCACTCTGCCCCCAACCTCTGGAATTCCATCCCCCAATCACTCCGTCTCGCCCCCTCTTTAGCCTCCTTCAAGTCTTGCCTCAAGACCCTCCTCTTCGACCATGCCATCGGCCACCCCCCTTCCCCTCCCCTCCCTTCTCCTCCCCTGACCCTAGCTCAGGTCTGAAATGCTGTACACTGTCCAGCGCTTTGGGACGTCCTCCCAACATGAAAGGTGCTATAGAAATGTAATTTTGTTACTGTTAACAGCAGACTGGTAGAAACTCCCTTCTGCTTTCATATTGTGCTATGGGATCTTAATAATAATCCTTGCCTTTGATATAGCACCTTATCACATCTTCGAGATGTCTCAAAGCGCTTTACAAAATATACTGATAAGTAAATTGACTATATTTTGTGGGTGAAACACAGCAGCCAATTGCACACAGCATTGCCCACAAACAGTCGTGAATGAGTGACCAATTTACTCTTATTTTTTTTGAAGGAATCATTAACCTTGGAAAAGCGATCCACCAATCGATTAACAACTGGGTTCCTACTTACTGCTAGGTAAACAGAGGCACGTGGAGTAAGGAAACTTGCCCAACATTTCGCTCTGCCTGGGAATCAAACCCAGGTCTTTCGCTTGCAAGGTGAGTGCTCCAACCACTACGGTACAGGACTCCACAACCATCTGCTCAAAGTAATGAAATTTGATTCTGTATTAAACAAACAAAATACTTTCACATTCTACTGTAAATAGATTAATAAGTGGCTCAGAGCGCGTCATAAAACAAATTAAGTGGTTCAGATGATATAAACAGATGATGAAAGATGCAGTGTAGGTTTATTTATTATTATTTAAAACAAAATAAAATTTAATTTGGGACTGGTCAGATGAACTGCCACTGTCTTTTCCTATTCAATAATTTCCTGTGCTCCTATGAAAGCAGTTTATAAAAATCAACTCCAGAAGCTCCACATAGTCAATTCATTAATTGAAATAAATATTATGCTGTTCTATTTGGACAGGTTTATAAATTTCTCCCTTGTTTTTGGAAACCACTGGTGGAATATGCTGTTCCCAGTACAGTACAATATATATTTAACATTCATGGCAATTCAATGAATGTGCACATTCTTCAAGGAAGAAATGTAGCATATTTGTGGATTGGACTGGTGAGATTGTAAGTTGATTCAGTCAATGATAACACAAATAAAAAGCCACACATATATACATCAGTAAAGGACAGAGCAAAATATAGTATGAATTAAGAGGTGCATAGATAGGATAACAGAAAACAGAAGTGTCTTGAAATAGGGGAGGGAGGGAACGAGTCAGAAGGGACTCTGGGACAAATTTCCAGAATGTGGGGGCAAAATGGCTGAAAGCACACCTGCCTGACTGCCAATGGTGAGGTGGATGGGGCAAGGGACATGAAACAAAGTTGAGCAGCCAGGTCAATAGGGAGATCGCAGAGTTAGGATGGGGTGAGACCCGTGGAAGGATATCTCAGTGCGAACAAGGATCTTGACCTTGATCTCCTGGAGGAATGGGGAATCATTGAAGCTGATCGAGGATGGGGGTAAGAGGCTCATGGAGCCTGGTGTGGGAGAGGACACAGGCTGCATGCAGAGATCTGAATAGAAGGCAGCTTGTGCAGACTGGAGCTGTGGAGTCCGGTGAACAGAGCATTAGTGTAGTCAAGCCTGGACATGATGAAAGCATGGATGAAGATCTTGACCGAAATTCTCATGTAAAAGTATGTTGTTGATTTAACTTTGCATATACACAAACAACAAAATACTAGATCTTCAGTTTCATGATTTCCTTCTTACTATATACATTTCTAGTCATGCATACATAGAAAAATATGCAGGATATCCATCAAATAACATGAACATTTTTGAATATTTATCTGAAAATTCTCAACAAAACAAAAACAACATGTACTTTTATAGCAACTTTCAGATAAAAATAAATATCTCAAAGTGCTTTGAAATATATAAAAATGAATTGATTTCTTATATAGGCAAATATGACAGGTATTCTGCACCAGCAACAGTAATAGGTATCAGGCTGGTTCAGTTAGTAGCACTCTCGCCTCTGAATCAGAAGATTGTGGATTTAAGTCTCAAGTCAGGTCGATGAACTCATAGTCTAGGCTGACACACCAAGGCAGTGTTGGAGGAGCGCTATATTGTCGGAAGTCCCATCTGCCTCTTCAGGAGGATGTGAAAGGTCCATGGCACTACTCCGAAAGAGAAAGGAGTTCCTCCCTATGTCCTGGCCAACAATCCCCCAGATAAAACAAGCCATTCACTTGATAATTTGTAGGATGGGTCTGCTTTCAGATTGGCTGTTGAGTTTGCCGACAAATACATAGTCACTACACTTCATAGTAAAATCCTATAAAGTGCTTGCATTTGGTATAACTCCTTATCACATCATCTTGACAATTGTTTATGTAGTAATCTATCCTCCTGGGGGTGGGGGGTGTGGGGGGTGTGGGGGTAAGTGGGGTTTCTCTGGAGCTGAACTGGCTCCAAGGTGACATGCCTGGTAAAAAGAATGTCAGAATAGAGCCAGTCCACTGTGGCAGCCTCGGTAGTCCAGTTCTTGAGCCAGGCAGGTCTGGAGTATTCCCGATCACTGCTAGTGACAGCACAGTCAGCTTGGCTCATCGGCAGTACCTGGAAGGACAGACCAGTTACCGGGGCAGAGAGTCATCCCACTCAGCTCCTGTTAACTCTACAAGCCAAAGCCCTAATGGGTAGGGTGGTCCAAGCCGGACAAGCAGCGGGAAAGTTTGCCAGACAGCAATATCAATGGCAGCTATGCAGGTTTAGATAATGAGACTCCAGCAGTAACCCAATTGTACACTCTGGGGTCCCCAAGCCTTGGCTCTTGCCAATCTGCGCCTAATACTTTCCAGAATTAGGTAAACAGGATGGGTCCCTGCAGGAAGAGAGGGCACATTCCATTCCAACAATCTATCTCTGGGATTTCCATGTGTAGGTGGGATGCATGAAAATCAGCATATAAATAATACAATTGTATATGTAGTAATAATATACTGTAAGATGCTGATATAGAAGTAAAAACTGGAAATATTCATAAACTGGAAATACTGTAACAGTAAGACAGAAGAAACAGGACAAAATAGATAAGTTAAATATTTTAAATAGCCTTTGCATTAGATGAGGCGTCTTTCATGGCGGGAGGACATTTCGAAGCACTGAACAAGATATAAACTGAAGCATAGTGACTTTGTGTAGTGTTTTATGAATGTCTTTTATAACACATATGAATAATAATAATAATCCTTGCATTTGATATAGCGCTTTTCATGTCTTCTAGACATCGCAAAGCGCTTCACAGAATATGCTGTAAAGTGAATTGACTGTATATTTGTGGGTGAAATGCTAACGCAACAGATGATGTAACTCACCGCTCTCGGTTTCCAGTAAGTCTTTAAACAGCTTGTCAAAGCTGTTGCAAGATCAAAAAGGACAGATTATAATGAAAATTATTAACTTGTATTGCTCTCCCTACCTTGGTATCAAATAAATCTTTGACCAAGATTCTAGACTATTGTCACCATATACAACATACAGTGTAATATCTAAGTGCTGAATGGACTTTAGTCTAAGTTTAGAATTAATTTTATGATAGGCAAAATGGCACTAAATAAAGCAAACTTTAATAAACCACAACAATGTGTTTGCCCTGTATGATTTTGTGCAGTCTCCAGACTTGGAGCCTGTGGGAAAGATGCCCTCTCTTTGCTGTGGCTATGAAATCAAGCTGTAATTCTAGATAAGCCCAGCAATTGAGTAACTCCTCACACAAAACCACAAAAGGTTGGTTGTAATGTTTCATTTGCATCATATCCGTCGAAATTTGTATAAAAAGTGAGGGCTCAAAGGCAACTGGACTATTCGGTTGCAAAGCGGGTTTGCAGAGTGAGGATCCCACTCAAGTTCAAGGTAAATAAATACAAAAGTTCCTATTTCTACAATTTAGAAGGTACTGACCTTAATATTTGTGTATGTGCCTGCTAATAATTAATTGCCCCATCTCCAGCTGTTGAAGTGAGTTCTGTTTTTTCCCCACAAACTGAGGGGCAATTGGAAGTGAGTTTGTAAACTGTTTGCAGAGAGTGAAATCCTTCCTTTTACCCCCAAATCAACTTTAACAGGAGGGAGAGAGACCAAAGAGTAGTCTTGAGAGTGTTATTGTAGTTTGCCTTTAAATGTTTTGAAATTTTGTTTTTAAAAAAGTGAATTGGGAACTAGCTAAGTTATTTTAAAAAAAGTATTCATGTAACAATAATGAGTACATTTTATCTGTGTGAAATGGTTGCAATGTTTTATAGGTGGTTTGAAGTGTCTAATTGTCATAGTTTAAATGTGTTCCATGTGTGTCCTGAAGTTCTGAGGATATAATGCTATGGTTTTCATGTGTCAAACCAGTGTGTAACTGTAACATGCTGTAATATTGCAGTGGACACTCTTAGAGGATGTGTGTATTATGATATGAATTGAAAAGCTATGTGAAGGTGACGTGTGAATGTACTATTCGTTTTAAAACCCAGTGTGTATACTGAGATTGTTTGGTGACAACGAAAGCCTAAGTTAATGTCATTTTAGTGTAAGTTTTAATAAAAATTAAAGTGGCAAGGAGAGTGCTTCCTCCTGTCAATCATTAAAGCTGTTAAGAATTAAAATCGGGCATTTAAGTAGCCTGGTGCTATATGTGAAGAGGGGATGGAGAGTTGCAAATTTCTTACATGGAGTGTTGTACTGATTGAGGTTTGCTTATTTAAAGGATGTAAATCTCAAAAGGCAGTGGGAAACACTTAATGGGCACATAATAAACAAGTCAGCAAGCTTGTTAGTTCATAAGAACAAACAAATTGTGCCCAGACAGAAGGAAAACTGCAGAAATGGCCAGCAAACAAATATCCAAGGTTTTACAAGCAAGGTTTATTTTGTTGCTGCTATTATATTTACTTTTGTTTTGGTAGCATTTTTGTTTTGTTCAATCTATAATTGATTAAAATGTAATATTACGAGACTCAGGGATGGGCATTTAAACTGTAAGTTCTGGAAAGAGGCTGAGGATGGATAGAGAAAGCTTTTGTCAATTAGCATCTTAATTAGACTATAAATGTCACTGAGCTAATTTTGTAGAGTCCAACTTTATTATGTATTGCTACAATGCAAAGGTAGATGTGAATTTCTGAAGTGCTGCTAAATTTAGAAAGTTCCCTAGCCAATAGCTCTTTCCCCAGTCCCAACAATTTCAGATTTTCTAGTTCCCAAAGAAAATATGCTGAAGATCCTGCAGCTGTGAAGGTTATGATGAACAAACTAAATTTATTCATAAGGGTGGATTTTCCCTGCACTTTATCTATCTCACATCTAACAATGTGACTGGGTGAAATTTTCCTGAGTTAAATTTCAAGTGATCTTCGGGTTGGGTTGTGGTTGATTATATTGTTTTATCTTTGTCTGCAATTTACTCCATCGTGTATACAAATTGCAGTGTAGAAAAGTGCCGGGTGCTCTAATGTTAAGCCTCTGAATAGTATTTTAGTCTAAATAAGAGTTTGATCTTGGAATGCAAAATCTTAGTACAGTATGGGCTAAAACAGAGTCTCCCTGAGAATGAAGGGGTGGGGTGGGTGGGTGGATGAGGGGGATGATCACTTGCTGAAGCAATGGGTTTAAATCTCTTTATTCAAATTGGACATGTTAGAAACATTTGCAACTATCTCCAACAACTTTGGAATGATCCGATTCCAGTATACCAATTGGTTGAGTTAAGTCACTTTATTCAGGTCAAAACAGCAGTATTGGCCTGAATATGGGCCATCATGATCTTAAGCCAGTTCTCGGTTACCGTTCCCTGTAATTTAGCATTCCCTTCTCCACTTCCTAACACTGGCTCCGGTCTGCTCCACGTCCCCCGCCCCAATCGTCCTACCATCGGTGGTCGGGCTTTCAGCCTCTCAGCCCCTAGGCTCTGGAACTCCATCCCCCAGTGCCTTCGCCGCCTCCTCCCTTTCCTCCTTCAAGGCCGGTCTCAAAACCTTTCTCTTTGACCGAGCCTTCAGCTCCCCTATCGACTCTCTTCCCCCTCCTCGCTCCCTCCCTTCCCTCCCCTCACCCTGACCATTTCCCCCCTGCTCGGGTCATGACCCAACTGTGCAGCACCTTGGGACGTCCTCCTGACGTGAAAGGCGCTTTATAAATGGAATCTTGTTGTTGTTGTTGTTGTTCTTTAGTGGTTACCAGCATATGTCCAGGTAACTTCATCAGCCTTCCTGCCATTGCCTAATAAGGTGTTATTCCTGCAGTAGAGTGAGGGGTAGGTCTAATAGCCATTAAGCACATGGGTGTAGCCACAGGCCAGTGTTTGGAGTGATCTGCACAAAATTTCTTTAACATCGTTTTGAGCGTTCAGTTCCCTCTTTCAACTATCCCAGATGACTGAGGGTGGAAATGAGATATTCAATTTATGTTTTATTTCCATTAATTTCATTAAATCAGTAAAAACTTCCCCTGTGAAATGGGACCCCTGATCATTGTCCAAGGTTACAGGTATTCCCCACCTGCAGATCACCTCACAAAACAAAATACGAGCCGCAGTTAAAGCTGAACAATTCTTAACCAGAAAGGCCTCCATCCACTTAGTAAATTTATCAATGATGACTAACCCATACTTATATCCACCTTGAGCCGTGGTAAGTGGCTCAACAAAGTCAATCTGAATACTGGTTCACCATCACACAACAGCATCTGTGGAATCAAGGTGGTGAGTCCGGAGATACAACAACAACAACAACTTGGATTTATTTAGCACCTTCCACACTGGACGGGGTCTCAGAGCGCTTCACAATAACGGATCCCGGGGCCAAGCCAGGGGGAGGGGGAGGAAGGTGACCAAAGGCGCGGTCGAAAAGAAAGGTCTTCAGCCAAGATAATCTCAATGTCCCTCCCTGTCAAGCACAGGATCCAATTGCTGAGTCTTTGAGATGACACCATTGTATCCCCTGGTTTCAGTAACAAATTTAAAGGTGTATGGGGCGAATGTAAGATGAGCTTCTGCAGTCCAGTGATGTAAGTGAAATGTTTTACAGCCCATAGGTGACCAACAAATGTCTCTCACATGGGTCGTATTGTTGTTCCACTCCCGTCAAAATGCGTGAAGCATAGGCAATGGAACAGTACCGACCTCCAACATGTTGGGTTAGCACAGCAGCAAGACTGTCATTTGTCCCAGCCACCTCCAGGTGGGAGGGTTACGATAGGGACGGTGCAACCAGTGTAGTAGCTTGCATCACTGCTTGTTTAAGAGAGGTGACTGCTTCACTATGTTTGACATTCCACCTGACACCAAAGGGTTGGTCATCAGGTCCTTTTAGCAATTCATAAAGTGGTTTTCCATACTCCGAAAATTGGGGAAAGAAACTTCGCTGATACCCTACCAAACCCAAAAATGATCTTAAAGCAGTTTTGGTTCGGGATAATGGCAGTCGTTTAATTATTTCCACTTTGTGTTCATCTGGTTTCATGCCCGTGGGTGTCAACTGTAATCCCAAAAAGGTTACCTGTTTCTGCATCAATTGGACCTTTAATCCTGCTACATGTAGTTTAGCCAATATTTGTTCCAGGAGGTGTTTATGTTGTTCTTCTGTAGTGGTGGCAATCAAAATATCATCCACATATTGTAACACTGTCCCTGACTCATCCCGAGTGCATCCCGACTACGCCAATTTTTTTTGAAACATTTGCAACTATCTCCAACAACTTTAAAATGATCTGATTCCAGTATACCAATTGGTTGTGTTAAGTCACTTTATTCAGGTCAAAACAGCAGGTAATACACAAATAAATGAAACAATAATACACAAGACACAAAACGGTACTACCGGATTTCTGTTACAGCACTGGTCGTCTCTCACACTGCTCCGATACAGTTCTGGAGATATATCTAACACACCTTTTTTAATGACAACTTAAATACTCCCAACAAAGCTGACTTATTAAGAAAAACAACTTCTTATATGATTATCTTCTACAAGCTTGCATAGCAACAGTCTCTACTTTCTGTATCCTTGTACTTCCTAATCTTATTTTGCCACCTTGTTTTGGGTTCTGCCATGCAGTTACTTAGCTTTGCAATCTTTGCACTTCTATTTTATATTCTTAAAGCACACTTTAGCATTAACCCACTACAACAGACAGAAACCTACTTCTGTGATCCTTCATATTATACTGTAGTTATTTCTTCAGTGTAATTGTTTATGGCTTGTTCAAAAGAAAATGAAAATGATTTAAGGGCATCCAATAGGTTCAAAAAAGGTGGTTGGATCATTACAACTACTGCTGAATGTTTTGAAATTGACTAGACTAACTTTTTCTCATTTGTGTAACCTTATAAAAAATATCAAATGCAGCAGGAGATTGAATGGACCAACAGAGCCAGGAATGTGACAAAAAGCCATGGGACACAGTGAAGAGCCAGAGATTTAGGAGAAACTTGTTGAATGTACAGAATTTCCATACTGAAAGAATCATTACTTTTCAGCTCATCAGCTGGAGTCAATTTTTCCAGATGTCCCAGTTCTGAGACCATTAAAATTTAAGATTGTGCACAATTTGGAGTTCTTAATTTGGTGCTATGACAATAAAGAATGTCACATTTTTGGTCCCCAAAAGCATTGACGACAAAACCAACGTGGCATTGTGCCAGGGAAAGTATAGAAGGAGTTAAATTTCGCCCACAAATATTCAGTCACTTCACTTTACAGTCTATTCTGTGGAGCCCTTTGAGACGTCTAGAAGATGTGAAGAGCGCTATATCAAATGCAAGGATTATTATTATTATTAAATGTGTTATTTTATCATGGTAGGACTATATTCCATTCAGTCTACTAGGAAAATGAATTTTATGTATTTATTTCACATCTTTTTTTCTTTCTTTTCCAGAGCTTTTCCACCTTTGAAGCTATTCTCCATTAAAGAAGAAAATGTCAACCACATGGGTAAGTTACAAATATTAACCACTATGAAGTCTGGCTGGGTGAAGGCTATTTCCGTTTTGAATTTTTTTACATGTGTCGAGTGTAATAGTGTGACCTGCGAGCTTGGAACTATAACCTAATTGTACTGCAGTTAGCATTGATTCAGTGTCGTATAATTCAGGTTTTAGGGCCATTGATTCAATTTTATTGAACTTAAGATACTGTAACATCTGGTTTTATGCTGCTGCTTATTCCAGTCATTTTTGACTCAGTTTAAATAAGTATAAGGCAGTCCATTGGGACTCCTACAGACCTTTTAATGTTAAAGTGCTTGACAGGCAACTGGCTCACCAGTAACATTAAGGAAGTAACAGCCTTTTGATGCCATGCAGGGTAGCTCTGTGTTGAATGTGCAGAGCTCCCAGCAACCATTAGCACAGTGCTGCAGAAAACCATGTCACAAAAGATTTTGCTCCACAAAACTACTGAGAACAAGAAAAAGCTATTCAGCCTATTCCAACAGTTTATTAAATATTGGCAGATATTTAGGTCCAACACCTACCCTTTCACAAAACCCCTTAATATTTCTGCTATTCACGCATTTATCTATTTCTCACGTAAACATACTTATTGAGGCTTAGCAACTAAAAAAGTTTGTAATTTCCTTATAGTTGTTGGTGGTTTCAGGAGCTAAACCTGCTTCCAAACTCTCTAAATATAAGCCAATGGTTTCTCTTTTTGTTGCTACTGCTCTTCCCTTGTGTATCTGCTGCAAATGGAAATGAAGAATGCGACTTGTTTAAAAACAATTTTTTTTAGAGATTGTTTGAGAAATTGTGCCATAAACAACCAGTACTCATAAGGACGTAAGAAAATACTCAAGAACATGCCCATGCTCATCTGGCTTTAAATGTTAGTTTGACTAAATTTAATTTTTCTGAAGTGAAAGATTACAGGAATGGATTAAAGAGTGAATCTTTAATTACTTAATTTAGCAACATGGACTATTATGTGGCATTTGGTTTTGTTCATTGTAATTAGATGTGGGAGAGTGGACTGTCCTCAAATCAGATACTGTATAATCTTGTGTGTATTGATGTGGTTTTTGTTTCACAATTCAGACTTTCAGTCCATAAATGTGGAAAAATCTTTTCAGAATGCCTCTTTCGTATCCCTTCAGTGATGATCACTAATAGACACTATCCAAATGCAACTTTCATTTAGGCTGCTGTAAGAAGTGGTTCTATAGATTTACAGTAATGTATATAGTCACAGCAAAATCTTGTGAAGAGCTTTGAGAAGTTTTAACAATGTTATATGGTTGTGTATCAAACGCTAGCATTATTATATATCATCCCAAAATAGCATCTGATATGTAAGAAGATGGCTTAAGTATCCTGGATGAGATGCTCTAAAATGTAAGATGTCCTATATTGGATAATGCTCAAGATATAAGAATATAGACAGTGCGTATATATCTTACATGTACGCTCGACTGGCACCAGCCTCCTGCTCGTCCCTTACACCCTCTGCCCACCATTAGAGGTTGCACTTTCAGCCACTACACCCCAAAACTCTGGAACACTCTCTTTCAATTCCTCCACCTTGCCCCCTCTCTCCCCTTTTTCAAGCCCCGCCTGAAAACTTTCCATTTCGACCATGCTTACAGCCACTTCCCCACCCAGCTTGGAGTCAGGCTCCGCCAGTGTTAAGCGCTCTGAAACACTACCCTGCATGGAGGGCGCTATATAAGTGCAAGTTGTTGTTGTATATACATCTCTCTGTTGGATAGTAAGTGAAAATATTCCCAAAATATTAATTAGCATTGGGAAGTTCTTCCAGTGTATGAATATGATTTTAATTTAGTGATGCTGAAATTGGCTTCAAACTGTTTTGCATAATTTTACTGTCTTTAGATTCAATTTTAATTCACCAATTCAATAACTTGCAACAACAATACTTGCCAATGCATTTCACTGTCTGTCCCAGAAACTACCCCTTTCATATTTCGTGTTTGTTTGACTGAAACTGTTTTTTTTAATCAGATTTTATAGGAACTTTCTGAAGCTGACCAATACTCTGCTCTGACAAGAATTTGTAACTCTCGTTTCACCAAAGAAAAATCAAGGACTTTAACAACACACAATTTCATTTGCTCATTATTTTATTCACAGGGTTTAGTAAAAATTATAATTCAACCAAACGTATACATACATACATAAACCATACATACAATACGCCTAATAATAATCCCTCCAAAACAAAACAATAATAAATTGGTCACTTTCACTCTATGACTGTTTGTGGGACATTGCTGTGCGCAATTGGCTGCCGCGTTCGCCCACAAATATACAGTCAATTCACTTTACAGTGTGTTCTGTGAAGCGCTTTGGGACGTCCTCCGACGTGAAAAGCGCTATATCAAATGCAAGGATTATTTATTATTATTATAATAACATAACGTAACGCTGGTCTGAATCTTAGAAGAAGAGTCAAGGAAATTTAGTTGTAAAGTCAGGTTAAATAAGAAATACAAGCATCGCAATCAATCCTATGTAAGTGCCTCAGAGGGCAAATACAATGCAGTATGATCTTTGTTAAATGTCTCTCAGACGTGTTACATTTTAGGTCATTTCTTGAGTTTGACCGGCATGGCTCAGTTGAGTTGTCTAAAATTTTGACCATTGTGGCCCAGTTTTTGTCATTCATTCGCGGTGTCTTGTTTCTTAGAGCCATCTCTTTGAATCTTCCTTCTTAGGTCTCATACATTGTCGCTGCTTTAGCAGTTAATGGGTATTTTAAGTTTTGATAAATCTACAGTCTTTTATTTCTGTTTACCAGAGTAATTTGAAAGTTTCTTTCTCATCTCCCATTTCTCTTCTATTTCTACATTGCAGAGCTATAGAAATTCTGTTTGTTACATTTTTTGCTTTTGATTTTCTCATTCTCTACTCTAAATCCAATCTCTCAAATGGGACTCATTCAATACCACTTAAGTAGCCATTCTATCAATATCCTACATTGATACTTCAGGAAAAGAACTTGGATTTTATATAGCACCCTTCACATGGAGTAATATCGTGGGAGGGCTTAATGCACAACCAGGGAGTGCCTACTATCTACAAGACTTCCATGGTTTGGGTTGACCTCCTTTATCCAACCAACAACCAGATCCACCTCTGACTTGACTGCATTTCAAATCCCTTTACAACAATAACAACAACAAGATTACATTTGTATAGCACCTTTCAAGTCGGGAAGATGTCCCAAGGCGCTGGACAGTGTACATCATTTCAGGCCTGAGCTGGGGTCAGGGCAGGAGAGGGGAGGAGAAGGGGGTGACCGATAGGATGGTTGAAGAGGAGGTTTTGAGGGGGACTTGAAGGAGGCTAAGGAGGGGGCGAGGTGGAGTAATTGAGGGATGGAATTCCAGAGGTTGGTGGCAGAGTGGCAGAAGGCTCTCCCGCCAATGGTGAGGCGGGTGGGTCGGGGGACGTGAAGCAGGCCAGAGCCGGCTGAGCTGAGGGAGCGGGCAGGTTGGTAGACAGTTAGGAGGTCGCATGGGGTGAGGCTATCGAGGGCTTTGTAGGTGAGGACCAGAATCTTGAACTGGATTCTCTGAAGTATAGGGAGCCAATGGAGTCGGGGGAGATGGGGTCACTGAGTTTGGTGCAGGAGAGGACACGGGCTGCAGAGTTCTGGATTATCTGCAGCCTGTGGAGGGAGGAGTTGGGAAGGCTGACAAGCAGAGCATTTGCACAGTTGAGCCTGGAGGTGGTGAAGGCATGAACAAGAGTTTCAGTGACCTGAGGGGTGAGGTAGTGGCGGAGTCGGGTGATGTTCCGGAGTTGAGGGAAGGCAGAGCGGGTCATGGCTTGGATGTGGGCAAGAAAAGACGGTTGAGGGTCGACCAAGACACCTAGGTCCCTGACTGGCTATGGTGAGTTGAAGTGTGCAACCATGGAGGTTGATGCTGCCAGAGCACACTGCACAATCGAAACTCCTTTATGAATGCTTGAGGGGGATGAGGAGCCATTGTCATTGCAAAGTATCATTCCCTTTCCAAAATAACCAGTTTCTTTGTTAAACGGTGTTTAAGTTTAATTTGCAGAGTAGAGTTTTCTCTCATTCATTCTCCAGCTCTATTTATTTGTGCTAATAATTTATCCAAACCTCTACTTCAGTTCCTCTTTGTCTGTATCTGAGTTGATCGTTTTGATAAAAGTGTCATTATTGCACACCGTGTCAGTCTGTCTCAGTGTGAGCATTCTAACCTCTGAGTTGGAAGATTGTGGGTTCAAGCCCCACATCAGAACATGAACCCGTATCGTTTAAGCTGACGCTCCAATGTATGCTGGGAGAGCATTGCCTTGTCGGAGGTGACTTTCAGATGAGACATTAAACCAAGGTCCTGTCTGCATTTTCAGGTGGATATTAAAGATCCCATGGCACTTTTCAAAAAGAGAAGGGAGTTTCTCCCGGTGTCCTGGCCAACAATTCCCCAAATAAAATTGTTCTCTCCTTTCTGGACTGTTTGTGGGACATTGCTGTGCACAATTGTGCTGCATCTTTTGTGTACAAATACACAATCACTCCTCCTCGCAGTAAATCCTGTGAAGCACTTTAGGACGTCCTCCCAACATGAAACCTACTACACCAAATGCAAGGATTATTGATAATAATGAAAATAACTGCCCTTATATGAAGAGCTGGACAGGGATCATCTTATTTGGATTCGATGTTGCCTTTTCATATGTTTCCAGTAACAGTAGCTCAATCGTGCCCTCGGGCTGAAATTTGACTAAATTCAGACCACTTTGCGCTGTTTCTTGACGGGGGGGAAAAAGTCTTAACTTTTTATTCCTCCTGTGTGTGTGCAATTCCTGGGAACACTAGTGGAACAAGTAGCTGATCATTTTGTATTTGTCTCTTTACATTTCTTTCTGGTTGTCAGTCTAATGGTGAGGCGTGTGATTCCTGGTGGTCTCATGGTGAATGTGTATCAGAGGGAAGTAACGGTGATGGTGGGGAGCAAACTGGACCCGCTCTATGTGGCCGTTATGCGCTTGTGAGTATGTTTCAGTCTTGCATGGTGGTGTTGGGATGGGAATGGAGGAAATGTGTCCTGTAATCTTAGATTGTTTGTGAGGATCAGTCACAATATATTCAGCTTGCCCAACTACTTTGGAGTGAGGGCATTTTACATTTCATGTAAAATGGGTGAAAAGCACTGTAGCTAACTTGCATTGCTATTCAGTCTTTTGGCACTGCAAAGTGTTTGGTTACAAACAGGAATTTGCACTTCTGATGAATTGGGGGCCCTATAAGGAAGAAAGCAAGCACGAAGATGGCACTATATTGTACTTCACTGAGTAGAATCATTGGCAATGTACCAAGATACTAATGTGCTAGATTCTTCAAATTGCTCTCAATGGGATGTTAATTGGAGCTGTAGCCAGGGTTTGAGGAAGAAAGTGGGTGTGGTTTAGGAAGTTAATTGTAACAAATTCCTATTTACTGGTAGACAATTAAAAAAATGTAAATCACTGCTGGTTGGTGGTGGGATGATACCCTCTTATCCTGGAGAACTTTAACCTCCCCCCACCCCAACCCCCCCAGTTAGCAGAAGGCGGGGGCTGCATTCTACTCTCCAAGTCTGAAAATCAAAGTTGCCTAACTCTTCAAGAAATTCCTTGTATTAGATAAAAAATATTGCTTGGAGTTTCAGGCTTATTCAGTTGCATGGATTTGAAACTAAAGTACAGTGTTAGCATCAGTGTTGGTTAAAGGGTCTCTGGAACATATGGGTCAACAATTGGAGCACAAGTTATCACCAATAATAATTATCAAGGTCTAAAAAGTTAGGAGTCAATAGTTACCATGGAAGGGGGAACGTAGAAACAGAAGGAGGCCATTCAGCTCTTCGTGCCTGTTCCGCCATTTAATTAGATCATGGCTAATCTGTACCTCAACTAATCCTTTTAATTCCAATTTCTGGCTTCCTCTCCGTATTCCTTAATACCCTGACCTACCAAAAATCTATCAACCTCACTCTTGAAGGTGTGGCTGGATCCAGCATCCACAGCCTTTTGGGGGCGAGTGGGGGGCAGTGATTAATCGCTTTTAGCTGCATGTGGTTAATGTGATATCACAAGCCGCAGTTTGACCTAATAAAAGATTAAATGAAATCAAACTATCATTCTCTTCAATGTAATATGAAATAGTGTAGGGAGTAGGCAATTGCACTGCGGGTTCCTTGGAGTAGCCCTGTGGAGCAATGCCAAATGCAGTGTATGTAGTAATCCAATGCATTATCTAAAGGTAGCCAGCCTATCTGGCTCAGCATTCAGCTTTGGAGGTGTATCTGTTGCAGGAGCTAAATTGCTAATGGTTTAGGCAACCCTACTGGTCGGCAATACTCTGTAAGTGATGTGTACTAGGATAAGCTTTGCAGTTGCTATTCAAGTGGTTCTGTGCAATCCTGCAGACAGATTGAATTATAGTGTTAATATAGTCAGCTTACTAAAGCATATAATATGGGCTGGTGATAGCAGTGGCCTATAAATGGGTCTCCCAGGACTACTGGTCACTACTAAATGGTGAATCCAAATAATATGTTTGATATAACCACAGACTCCATAACTCTGGCACATACTTCAGCCAGAGGAGAAGATGTGTTGAACATTTAACTGCTGTACTTCACACAGAAGGTGTTGAATGTGTGGAACAGATTGTCCTGGGAGGCAGGAGGATTGCCAATAGCAGAAAATTCAAGAGTACCTGTGTAATGTTGATGAAAAACATATTTTTACGCTTTTTTAAGTGCACATTTTTAAGTGCACAAATTGGGGATTATATGGCATTTTACAAACTCTGGGATCTGAGCAGATGGGCTGCGCTGAACTTTTCCACCTTATCCATTTTGTACAGGACAGGAACAGGGTCATGTAACAATACCAACTGAGAGGTCTGGAAGAATGTCCTTGGATAACTCTACTCCAGTTGGTTAAAGTCACTGCCTCTGTTTAGCTAAGATTTGGACCATAGGCTCAATCCTACAATCTTGCCACTGTTGCTGGAAAAGACTAAATACCAACACAATTCCCCACTTTAAAGATGGAAGAGATTTAATTGGGAATGAAACCTGCTGGGAATCAAACCCAGAGACCACACCCAGCAGGATGAAATGTTGGGCAAGTTTCCTTTTTCCACACACATGCCTCAGTTTACCTAGTGGTAAGTAGTCCATTGGGGGATGGCTTTTCCGGTGGTAATAATTCCTTCATAAAAATAATAACAATAAATTGGTCACTCAATCCACAACTGTTTGTGGGACACTGCTGTGCTCAATTGGCTGCTTCGTTTCGCCCACAAAATACACAGTCAATTCATGTTACAGTATATTTTGTGAAGTGCTTTGAAATGTCTTGAAGACATGATAAGGCCCTATATCAAATGCAAGGATTAATATTAAATCCAAAATGTTAGGTAAGGTAATATTTCCTATACCATCTAGAACCATCTCATGTATGTGGGCACGTACATAATTGTGCAAATTCAATCTCAACAGCCAATCTGGAGCACTAAATAAAATGAGGAACATATTTTCAATAGGGAACTTGCTTTGATGTAAAGCACAATTTTGGGTTTTCTTCAGTCGAGGTTTTCAAGATCTATTTATGTAGCATGCTGCAATCTTCCAATTATAGGGCAGGCAGGATTCTTGCTTAAAATAACCATCTGGCATTTTCCAATATTGTGTGTTTAATGAAAATTTGCAGCTTCTGGCTCCTAGATTGTTCTGTTGCTAGTATAATCATAATGTACTTTCTCTTTGGAAAACATAATTTGATGTGCAATTTGGTGAAGTTTTTGTGAGGACCAGTTGTACGTTGTCTCTTCACTAATTACATAACACCAACACAGGCTCCTGTAGTGACACATTCCCCATTGCCACAAAGTGCAACAGCATTGATCATATATTTGTCCTAACACAATTTACCTCAGCGTAAATTGCCAGTGACTGTACTTAGTGATATAAGGAATTTCTCTTCAAAGTTACTGTCCAAAACACTGGTGGCAAATACAGGAAAATCCCTGGTATAATGTGGCTCATAAGAATACTGATTTACTTTTAGCTTAATTAGCTTGCTTTTTCTCATCCAAAATGTGCAAATCAATTTCAATCTGTGCTTCAAAATGCCAGCTAGCGCACTGGAAGCTAAAATGTACAGGAAGTGAAACAAAAACGGAGAGAGAGCTGGGAAACTCAGCAAGTCAGGCAGCATCTATGGAGAAAGGAAAGTGAGTCAACGACCAGGTTGTGGACCCGAAACATTGACTCACTTTCCTTTCTCCAGAGGTGCTGCCTGACTTGCTGAGTTTTCCCAGCTCTCTCTGTTTTTGTTTCAGATTCCAGCATCTGCAGTATTTTGTGTTTTGTACAGGAAGTGAGGTTGGAAGAAACCTAATGGCATGGTAGTTGGACATTTGACTTCCCATTTGGCCAGCGTTTTGAAGCAACTATGGAGCATGCTTTCTGCACAATGCAAAATGAATGTGGAAGTGCTGACTAGGATCTTGCCCTGTTATAGCACAAGTTGGGATTTTATAGAACCCCAAATACTATTTTTATAGGGCTCTAATATATCTATGAGTCAGATATTAAAGATTCTAAATGTACAATATTTTGTAAATATTTGTGTTGATGATACCAGAATTTTGTTTTAACAAAATGGGGCATTATTTTATTGGAATACCAGAATTCTCTTGCAGGACCCAGGAAGTTAAAGGGTATTTAATTCCACTAGTCAAAAGGATCTATAATTCTATGAACCATCAGGACCACACCAATACTATTGTCTCTCAAGCCAAGATGAAACAAATTTAAAATTCCTTTTGCAGTGCTTTCTGTGTAACATTAATGGACATTTTTGTGCTCTCTGACAAAATTATGCAAAACAAAACTCTACTAATTGAAGTGGGTTAAATCTAGTGCATGGTTTAGTAGGTTCTAGTGCCAAGAATGGTTCACAAAGAATACACACTCCCTTTGTATATTTTTGCAAAAATAGACCAAGTGGGGCTCAGCTGTAGTTACTAAAAGATGATTTATCTCTGCTTATAATGTGTTGTATTATACTGGGAACAATGAAGTCTGACTGAGACCTTTTGATCTAATCCAACTTAATTACTTTAATTTGCTCAAATGGGCTATCAGCAATGCGGGCCAGTGCAATTTTTTCAGTGTCACCTGTAGTTTCTATGGTCTATATAGTCGGTGCATGTTGTGGAAGTAATTATGTTCTGTCCTTTCCATCAGGGTTTGTGATGGTTATTTATGTGTGTATTTGAATGGTTTATACAGCAAAACTTTCTTTTGGACACCATTTACGCCATTCCAAGTACCAATCCTTCATTTTGAAGAGTTCTAAGTGTTGCATTGAAATGCGATTAGCACTTTATTAAAAGCAGTAGTATGAGTGTGTTGAGATGATGAATTAGATCTTTTAACAAAGAATCACTATTCTTGTTAACCTGAAATACCAGTCTGAAGTTTAATGTTCTATAATTTCCTTTTGAATAGCCTGGAACTATTCGAGGAACTATCTGTGATTACACTTGCTTCAACCCAGGCAAAGATGCTGATCTTCTTCGTAAAGCTCTGGTAGGATTAGGTAAGAGTACACTACATCTGGGTGTGATTTTGAAACCCCTCTCTTTCTTTATTCCTTACTTCAGATGTTGACCACTATAAATTTGTGTGTAGGCTTTTTTTTAGTAATCATGAATATTTTTTGTTAAAATGCACATTATTAATATTGTGAAATATTTACACAAATTTATCATGCCAAAAAAACTTCTGTTAACATTCTTCCATTCATTATAATTTTTTATGCTGCTCTTTAAAAATGAGGCAATTTATCATGGGGTCTAGTTGCCCCTGCCTTGTCAGCTGAAATGAGTATTGAAGCCTGATCTGTCCTCAACTTGAAACTTATATGTGCATTCTGTGTATTGGTCACTAATGATGAAGAAAATGAACTCTGGCTTGTATTCCACCCCCATCCCCACCCACTTCCATAATGTAAATATGTTGAGGGTAATTGTAATGCTCCACTTCCATCCATGCCACATCAAATGACTGCATAGTTGAAAGATTGAAGCAGGATTCTCTGGATCAAAGACTGGGTATGTTGCTAGGCTCCAAGATCTTGATCTCGGGACTTAGCAATGCACCTAGCAGTGCATTTGTCATTGTGGTTGGGAGGAGGCTATGGCCAACAAGCTTTTTGTTTTATGTAGTCTCCAGAACTTATGCCCCAGTATTGAGAATCTGCCAAGCATTCTCTTCCCTTTGACGTTGCTAGACATTTTCTACAAATTATATCTACAGTTTTACTAATATTGATGTGTTGTAGGCCAGCACATTATAAATTTAGTTTTTACTTCTTACTAACTGAAGCAACACGACCCTGTGTTGAAACCTGTGGCTCTGAGCTTTCCAGACTCCATATTTTAGTGCAGCTTCCTGATCATTTATGGTTAACTGATGAAAGTGTTTAATGCTTTTAACAGCACTTGTACAATTATTTTTGCACACAATAAAAAAAATCTCACTTACATTTATAGGCAAAGATCATTAGAAATTGTGAACAGTTAAAGATTTTAGCCATATTTTGAAAGTAGCATCTGGGGAGGAAGACGGTCATCATATGTGAGTTGTAAGTGACCAAATATACAGCAGATATAGAACTACAGTTGGTCTGTTCCATGTAGGACTACGAACAAATAGTTGATTGGCTCAGCAACGGAATGAATGTTCCATTCAAATTGTCCAGTGGAAATATCGCAGCTGGACAACGAGCAGATAGCCCCAATTCTGAAGGGCTTTACACAATTCAGGAAAAATTCAGAAACTTAATGAGGATGGGAAAGTGAACCCAGGTATCCAAATTAAGAGTATTTGAAATTTGTAGGATCAAGGGGAAGAAATGTGTTCTTATATACAATATCAATATATACAATGGGCAGGATGGATCTTGCTCTGTCCAGCCAAGAGACTCTGTATTGTAGTCTAGGAATATTTGTTTTACACAAACTTGTCAAACTTGTTTATTTCCGAACCAGGAAAGCTCAAAAAAGAGACCTAACTACTGAATAAAGGCCACTGCATTGCTAAATAATTGATTTTAAAACTAAATACTGGGTAGGTAGATACTGTATACTGTCTGCGCACAATTTCTCATCACATGACACTCTATGGAGAGTGATTAATAATATGGAATAAACCTTGTGTACAACAAAGGAGCCTTCCTCATTTAATATCAGCCAACATTGAAATATTGGTGCAGAATTCAGTCTCCACAGAGAAGCTCCAAGGCTGACGATTCCCATTTTCTGTTTTATTTTAACATTTTAGGAACCGATGAGCAAGCAATCATTGACATCCTGACACACAGATCCAATGCTCAACGCCAACAGATTGCTAAAGAATATAAAAGTACCTGTGGAAATGTATGTATTTAGATGATGCTGTTTAAATGTGCTGGATATGTAGATTGCAACTATATAGTTTACCTGCTCTTGTTTTTGGCCATACATGATACTTGTCATGACATGGTGAATGCAGAATGCATATCTTTGTACGTCTTGTGTTCTAGGTGTATGTTCATGCTGTGTATGAATCTAATAGACCAACTTTTGTCAAGATATTTCCCTCTGTTGTCTATGCTAGATGACCTGCTTCCAAACCTCTGCCTTGTGTTGTGCCTTTTACATTGACTCAACTATTTGAAAGTATTTGATGCTAGTTTACTGCGGAGTTAGCTAATCTCAATTGGGTCAGCAGCTACAGTTGTGTTGTAATTGACCTAAATGCTCCTGTGTTTGGGAACCCCCTGAAAATAGTAACACTCAATTATAATACTTCTCTCCCCACCAGTCATTATTCTTGCTGATATCATTTATTTTCAAAACTAGCAAATGAAGTAGTTGCTCTTCTCATCTTCTTGGGTGTATATAGTGTTACTATTCAATTACAAAGATCTTGTGACAGACATAAGCCTGTACCAGCTGTGAGGGGAGAAATAGCATATCTGTGGTACAACAAGGGCATATTTACACTTCTTAAGTGACAATGCCACAATAAAGATGGAAAATAGAACCCGTTCATGTTGACAGACATTTTTTTAAAACAAATTACGAGAGAGTTTTGTTTTCTAAAGAGGTCAAATGTAAGGCTGAATGGTTACGTGATGCATCCATTAACCAAAAGTTTGCATGAAGTTAGCCTACTGTAACTGAAGATCATGTTTAAGCGCTTGAAATCGGAAGCTTCTGATTCATAAAAGAACCATGAAAGCTTGTCGCTGAAACAAATTATAGCTGTGAAAAGAAGCCGATCATCTGTGTCTTGCATTGTAGCGACCCTTTGTCTTAAACAAAATAAAAGTTTATCTTATCTTCATTATATTTTAATCAGCTGACGTGTGTTTCTGTTACAGGAACTAATCGCTGACTTACAAAATGACCTCTCTGGTGATTTTAGACAGGCAATCACTGCTCTGATGGAGTACCCAGCAGTGTATGATGCAAAAGTACTGAGAAAAGCGATTCAGGTGAGTTCCATCAGTGTTGCCTTACAGGCTTGTCAGCTTATCAAAAAAAATGAAAACTCTGTGTTTCATACATCATAAACACACTTGGAACTTGTGAATTACATGAGTCACCATGAAATTCAGTTAATCATGTTCAACTTTCTTATAAATAGAACATTTTGATCAAATTGTGCTGTTTTAATTCATCATTGAATCTGAGATAGCACCATAATGTTGTTGTATCAAAGCATGGTCCTACAATCATCTTATGTGGGGTATTATTGGCTAGAAGATTGGGAAAAACGTCAGTGTTCATGTGATTGTTATTGTTCACCCAAGCAGATAGATGCAACTGGTCTCCTGCTCATCCAAAGGATAGAACCTCTGCAGCAGTCCTCTGGTAGTGAATGTCAGTCTAGGACTGAGCTCAATGTCCTGACATGGGGATTGAAACATCCATAAACCACTGAGCCAGAAATAAGAATGCTGACATCTCCTGGCAAGAGTGTCCTGGCCAACAATCCCCCAAAATAAAATTGGTCACTCACTCCTTGCCACTCCGTGGGACATTGCTGTGTGTAATTGGCTGCCACGTTTTGCCCACAAAAGTATACAATCAATCCACTTTATTGTAAATCATGTGAAGCGCATTGAGATGTCTCAACGACATGATAAGGTTCTATATCAAATACAAGGATTCATTAATATTATCTATTTTGATGCTGGTTGCACTGAGCATTGCTTGCAGTCCAGCTGCAATCTTTATATTCAAAACTCTTGGGATATCCATTTTTGTTCCATACATGTATACATGAAATCTTATGAAAATGTTCTGATCACTCACTGTCTTATTCTGTAATGGTATTAGAGAAAGCTGGGAGCAGCACCTGAATTCAGCTAATTTTGCTTTCATCCTATTCCTTCTGACCTGCTGCTGCTAAAGTAAGTGCATCAGAAAAAACATGTTTTTATGAACGTACATAATTATGCTTGCATCACCTGAGAATGGCTACAGTGACTACCATGTCCAGTGAAGTATCCAGTAGCTGAAGAGGTTCAATTGCAGGTGTCTCAAGGTAGATTAGTATATTTTTAATGGCCAACCACTGAAAACAGGAGTGAAGTTGCTGTGAGGCCTGTACTGTAAAAGTGATACAAAACTGTGTGTGTAGGGTGGTGGGGGAGTTCCCCTCTCTCCCCTTCTCCAAGGGTAGAGTTCAATAGGCACAGGTTACATTTGACTATACAGCCAATGACTACTATTCATACTTTGAGCATTGACAGATAATGTTGGAAGATGTGCCAGTTTGGGGGAATTATATCTATCCTTGTCTTTTCTTGCTTCCTCTGCCTGCCCCAGGATGCTAACCCTAAACTTCACTTCTGGTAAAGATTTAGTGCTAAAATAATCCAAAACCTTTCTCTGATTTTTTTTTCTTCTTCTTAGGGAGCTGGTACAGATGAAGGTTTGCTAACTGAAATTCTTGTTTCAAGAAACAACCAACAGATAAGAGAAATAAAGGAAGCCTACCAAGCAGGTATTGTGCATTATTCTACAGACCCCAGATATAATGTTTGAGACCATTTTCTCCAGGATCAGCTTCATAAGACGTTCAGACTTGAAAATTCATTTAGAACTTCTGTCTGTGTTCAAAGTGCTTTGTTTCTTCAGATTCTTTTCGCATTTTTTGTGTCAAAATAAAGCTCTCTCCTTTCCCAAAACATTTTTTTTTTAAAAATTGCCTTTGCATAACGGTATTTTTCCTGTTAAGAGTCCCTCGCATAACTGCTTTGACTTGCAAAGTTGAGGACCCAGGGTCGTGAAATGCAATTTCAGAACGGACTCGAGCGAGCATTTATTAATCACTGGAATGGGTTTCGAGGAAGAGTGATTGAGGCCAGAATCCTGGACTCATTTAAAAAATCACTTGATGTTACTGTGGGTAGGTAGTAGGGTTGAAATAGTGTTCTGTACTGTACTATTCTTTTTTTCAATCTTACTTGAATCCAAATGAATCTCAGCGCAAAGATCACTGAAGGATGAAATATTCCAAACCTTCTTTAATTTTTCTCCCTCTTTTCCAATATTTCAACATTTCTCTTAATTTTGCTTCTCTTTTAGCTTTCAAGTGGCAAAGTGATTTTTTAAAAAAAATCCTGTTCAATGGGAGTAATGGTCACATTTTCTTTGTAAATATTTTCTAGAATATAAAGATGACTTGGTAAAGGATATTGCCTCAGACGTTTCAGGGGATTTTAAAAGAGCTGTGATCACCTTGCTAGAGGTATGTGTCTAATTCATTAAATGTAGTTTACTACAATACAGTTTTAAAGTTATTATTCCTATACCATTCCTTATTGAAAACATCTTATACATTTAATGCAAATGTGCCCGTTTCAGTGAAAATAAATTCCGCATGATTAGAGAACTTAGCTTGATTCAGGATATGTTAGTCAAGACTGGAAATGGGAACTAAGGGTGCACAAAAATCAAGTTTTTTTATGATTCTTCGTTTCAGTCAACAATTTACATTTAATAATAATAATAATAATCCTTGCATTTGATATAGTGCTTTTCACATTTTCTAAATGTTTCAAAGCTTTTCACAGAATATATTGTAAAGTGAATTGACTGTATATTTGTGGGCGAAACGCCAATTGTGCACAGCAGTGTCCCACAAACATTCGTGGATTGAAAATGACCAATTTATTTGTTTTGTTTTGGAGGGATTATTATCAGGCGTGTGGAGTAAAGAAATTTGCCCAAGGTTTCGCCCTGCCTGGAATTGAACCCAGGTGTCTCGCTTGCAAGGCAGGTGCTCTAACCACTGAGCTACAGGACTTCACATTTATGTAGCACCTTATATTGGAAAGTCTTCTCAAAGCATTTTGCTGTTAAATGTTAGCCAAGCTTGAGGGAGGAGGTGGGAGCAGGAAGAGGAGGAAGGTGACTGAAAGCACGATGGAAAAGATAGGTCTTAAGGTGGGCTTTGAAGACGAGGAATAAACTGATCATGTATATTCTCATTTGCAATGGGATGACAATTGTTTAACAGTTTTAAAGTGTTCTCAAATAATCTGTTTAAAATTAGCAATATCCAGCTCAATATTAGACTGGCTGAATCATCCAGCTCCCACCTGACTTGAGTTCAGTGGTTGTGTGTGAAGGCAGTCTGACAATGTCAATGCTGCTATTGCCACTACTGCTACCAATTATTATTTCTGTGATGGAGCGTAATGTTTCATTACCGTTTCTCAAGACACTGACTTCACTCAATGCAACTTAAACCAGCAACCTGTGAAACATTACAGGCAGCAATGAAAATGTTGAAATCTTCAGGTCAAGTTATTCTATCAAAATTGGGAAGAGTGGGGTAGTCTTCAGTATCTTAGCAGATTTGATAATGCATTACAAATGTCATCCCAGAATTTCTCAACAGATTTCTTAATGTTTAAATCATCAACTTTCTGCAAACACACAGTTTATAAAAGTAATTGACTTTGCATTTGATGTATTGCCTCATCACTTTGTTGAGATGTCTTAATGCGCTTCAAAGGAGATACTGTAAAGCGTGTATATTTACTGTGTGTATTTTGTGGGTGAATGTGGGGCATATTTGGCAAATTTACCAGGAGAATCCCTCTTCTCCTTTCAAATAGTGTCATGGGATCTTTAACGTTTATCTCAATAGGCAAACGGAACTTTCATTTAACATCCCATCTGAATGAATGCAGCACATCCCCTATACTGCATTGGAGTGTCAACCTAGACATCTGTGTTCAAAGTCCCAACATTGGACTTCTAACACTCAACCTTTTGACTCGAAGATGACCCAGGCTTTGTTCAGCAAATAGTTTATACATACACTTAGGAACATCCATTGTTCAATGTCAAATTTGTCCTGAGTTTCCTAAAGCACTGCTATGATTAGTTGGGATTACTCTGGATTTCCACTGTGATATCTTTTATAATCTTTGCATTTCATATAGCATTTTAGCACATCATTTTGTGGGCAAAACGCAGTAGCCCAATTGCACACAGCAGTGTCCCACAAACAGTTGTGGAGTGAGTAACCATATTATTATTATATGAGATGTTAAACCAAAATCCTATTTGCCTGTTCCCAGGTGGATAATTAAAGATTCTGTGGTGCCATTCAAAAAGAAAAGGGTGTTTCTTCCAGCATCCAAGCCCAAGCAATCTTCCAAATTAATACGTCATTCACCTCACAGTCATGTGTCGGCATTGCTGTGTCTAAAGTATCTGCGGTATATGCCTACCTACATATAAATGCAGTTTATATTTGTCTATACCTGCTGTAAAAAAAATTGAGACATTGACACTGTAAAAATGCAAGTTCTTTATCAATGGAATAGAGTCCTGCTCCTGAGTGCTGTTTAGTGACCTCTGCTGGATGTATAATTCTGTAGATCTCTTGAGGGAATATCTGGGATTGCTTTGCTGACTTTTTCCCCCGTCCAATCACCATAATTGATGATCACTTGGGTGTGGTACCAAAGGGTGTCTGTGGAATAGGTGTTGGGAACATTTTGGAGGTTGGAGGGGGAGGGGAAATTGTGTTTAATCAAGTGCTGGCTCTGCCTCAATTATTATTTTCATAATTTTCCTACCGTTGTGTATACTTTGGATTAAATGTTGCAAAATAACTACAATACCTCTAATTGTTCTATTTACTCCCAGGCTAGAAGGGATGAAAACTGTCCAGTTGTGGATGAAAAGCTGGTTAGGAATGATGCACAGGTATTGCTTTAACAAATCANTTTTTGATGACTATTAATTGTTTCTGCATGTTTGCTATCCTACTGAAGGAAAATGAAAATGTGCTGTGCTCGTAAGGTTACCTAGAATAGTTGCATGTGAAATGTGGCCAAACAATTATTCTAAACAATTATTCTAAACAATTATTACTGAAGTAAGGTTGTGAAAGTGCTGCTTAAAATGATCTGTGATGCCCACAGGGTAAATGTTTCAATAGGAATTAAACTTGAATGTATTTGTCCTAAATTGTTTTATCAATAACAGCTAAGGCTGTGGAAACCAAATGGGACTCGCTTTAATAACTACAACAAGATAGTGTGCCAATTTGTTTACACTGGTTCAGCAATGGGTAATTTGAGATGATGCTTAGCCAAAATATTTGAATCTAAAACTGACACTATCTTTTCCTCATCCAAATGTCTAAATATTTTTCTCAATCACTGTACAAGTTACTGGCTCCTGATTTTAATTCCCTCCTTCACCACTAATAGTTGCAGTTTAAGTCATATTTACAATAAGAAGCTATGGAGTAGAATATAATCTTCGAAGCTGGGTTAGAATTGGGGTCATGGTGTGGGGAGACAATGCTCTTGTATGATATGGTCTCACTATATCATGCCCACATCATTTGGCTATTAATATAAAACCTGACCGTGCAACCACTTCCTACTGGCAGATTCCAAACCGCGATCTGCAGGTTCACATATGAATATTTGAACAGCAAAGGGGATACACTTTGGCGGATGGCTAGGGCTAGAGGGAGTTCAGCTTTCATCCTTGCTGCGCAGATTCCATGTCAGCAATAAGCACAGCTGCCCCTCCGCACTGTGCAGACTCTGATGGACCTCAGTCTACCTGGTGCGGAGGGTGGGGGCGGCCATCTTTGAAGCTGGCACGGAGCCTACCCAATAAGAAGGAGGGAGGGGAGGTTGCCATTAACACTGGCACGGAGGCTGTGCTTGATCACTCAACCTCCCCAAACAATATTTTTTATCTGCTGCCTATGGGGATATTTTCAGGCAGAGGGCAGCATTTTCTTAGTTACTTGAGCTTATGAGACATTTTACAACACTGACATCTGACCTTGCAAATAAACCTAAAGGGCCTTCTTTTCTTTATCATCTTCACTCCGATGACTTTTCTCTTCCTCTCATTCCTTTCCTATCATTCGTCATTTATTTTGTTCTCCTTGTTGTACACATGGAAATGTAGAATCCTAGAAATGTTCACCACAGAAGGCCATCATTAGCTCACCATATCTGTGATATCTCTCTATTAGAACTATGCGTTTAGTCCCATAAACATTTTTTTTCAAAAGTATGTCTAATTCCCTTCTCAAAGTTATTCTAGATTCTGCTGTTTTGAAAGGACAATGCAGTGCTAACGTGTATGTGAAATTTATGTTGTCTCGTTACCGACTCTCAACCAATGTAAATAATTCTCTCTATTTACTCCATTTAAAATCCTCCTCATGATTTCAAAAACCTGCCATCAGACCTCCTCTTAAACCTTCTCTGCTCTAACGAAAACTGATCGGGTTTATCTAATTTCTCCTCGTAAGTAACTCCTGTGTTTTGTAATTGTCTTGTACACTCTAGGCTCTTCACAAGGCTGGTGAGAAGCAGTTAGGGACAGATGAAGACAAGTTCATTGACATTTTGTGCTCCAGGAGCATTCCTCATCTACAAGCCAGTAAGAAGGTCCTTTTAAATAGTTTTCCTGTCTCCCCTCCACCCCCCACCCAGGTTTACTAGATAAAGACTTAAACTTATTTGCATTTCTTTTTAGCTTTTGAAACATACAAGATCATAAGTAACAAAGATCTGGAGGAGAGTATTAAGAGTGAGATGTCTGGGGATCTGAGAAACTTCATGCTAACTATGGGTAAGTCCAAAGCTCAGAGTTTTTTTTCCTGTTTTGAAAGGCACTATATAAATATATTGTGTGATGGTGGAACATCAACCTGGATTCATTTACAAAAAAATCAGTCGATACTTCACCATGTCATCACATTGTGTAAGCATGGGCAATATTGTGTTATGACCAGTTGGCCATGTCCCAAACTCAAAACAAACATAGTTTGGATTTTCTTTGCCTTCCCCCAGTTCATGTGAGCAAAACCTTTTTGTTTGTATTTATGTTTTTTCTTGTTTGTAACGATAGAAATTTAAAGTAAATATTTAGAACAATGTATTCTGTTCACAGCTTAGTGACTCAACTAATTGAGCTTGGCTCCCAGTCATGTGTCCATGACTACGAGCCACTTGATTGTTTTCTCCCCTGAGCTTCAGTTGTGTGAGTTTGATAAACTCTTGGCTGGGTTCTTGACTGGGGCATTAGATGTTCTGTCTTAAAGAAGAAAATAAACTGGCTTTGCTTTTTCATTGATGTTTTTTATTTGTTTTCTCAGTTCAGTATGCAAAGTCTGCACCAACCTTCTTTGCTAACAAAATTGTGAAAAGTGTAAAGGTAAGAGCTGAAATTCTGGCTGAAGAAACGTTGGGTCTAGTTGTTCACTCTTTACTCTCAAAGGTAGTTTTAACACTGAGCCTCAGTTTAACTTGATATAAAATGTTGCCATGTTCCTTTGAGCCTCTTCTTCAGACTTAGTTTGTTTGCACAAAGAACAAAGTCTGCATGACATTTACTGAACCAAATATTGAACAGTTTTATTTGGATTATTTGCAGTTGCGCTAATGTAAATAAAACAAATTAAAAACAAAAATAAATGTTTCCTTTCAAACTTTGGAGGATAAATGGTCTTCACTGAATATGTTCTGGGGAGAAATTAAGGTACCAATTCCCTAAGGGCAAAGTTATTAATAATCTTTTTGAAACTTTGAAGTAAATTGAGGCAAATGCTGCTCCTACACCCTCTCAGTTGTGTCTGGGTCAAGACAGCAGAAGTAATTTAAGTTTGGTTGGCATGACTTCCTGCACTGCATTAGAAATGTTTTTGTGACTGAATCCACTCATTAGCAGTACATTGCCGGCAGCTACACTAATGAGGAGAAAACATGGCTTAATACCATTAAACATTAGTCACTTCAGCCAATAGCGCTAATGCTACTTGGCGATCAACAGTATAAATCCAATTTGTTGTTGTATTCTGTTTCACCCACAGAATACACAGTCAAACAACTTTACAGTATATTCTGTGAAACACTTTGAGATGTTGTGATAAGGTGCTATATCAAATGCAATGATTAATATTAGTAGTAATATAAATGTCATCCTTCTCCTTAGATCATAAGTTCTGTGGTAAATGTTTACTGGACTCAGATTAATCTGTGGAAGATACTGACCGTATTGTTTAAACAAAACTTTGCTTCTGTCAGCGGGGTGTCTGAATATGTGAAAACCCATGGTTATGCTTAAGAGCATCAAAACCAAGTATGCCACCAATGCGTGCAATTTTCTGTATTTGGAATGGAATATGCACTCTCTTCCTTGGGAAACATGCTCTGCTTACCTAATTCCAAAGAGAATTAGATGTAGGTTGGCAAGAGCCAAGGTTTGGGGACCCAGAGTGCGTATTGAGGGTACACATTTAACCAGCTAAAACTGCATAGCTTGCCATTGAAAATGGTCTGGCAAGTTTCCCCTTGCTTGTCCAGCTAGGACTGCCATACCTTTTAATTCTGCTCTTCATGTTATCCTTATTATCTCTATCCCATTCTTTCTGCTTTGCCTTTTTTCTATTTGATAGCTTGGAGCAGGGGCTAGATTGAAGTTCCTACCTATATCCTTTTATCCTGTTTCTCCTTGCTCTTATCCTCCATTGTGAAAGTCTGAGGAACTTCAAAATGTTGTCTGTTGATTGAATATGCGGCTGGCTCAATTTATCCTGTGAAGCTGGCTCAGACCCACATTACTGAATGATGTGGTTGTTTCCTAGATGCAACTGGGTCATTTGTTTTGTTAGTCAAACCAAGAAGGTCCTAAGACACTGTTTAAAAAAGAGCAGGGAGTTTCTTCTGGCACCTGGCCAACAATCTCCCAGATAAAATTGCTCGTTCACTTCATGGCCAGTGATGGGATATTGCTGTGCACAAATTGGCTGTGGCATTGATTTACAAATACAATTTCTACACTTTTACAGAAACTCTGTGCTTTGAGAAATTGTGACTAGATATTGCAAAGACTATTATTTTGAAAGGCTGCCATGTGTGCCTACAAAAGACAGTTGCTACTCGTTGCAGTATTCTGTGAAGTGTTTAGATAGCTTACTGTCATGATGAGGTGTTGTATCAAATTCTAGGATTATTTTAAACTACGTACTCACTGGTATTTATTGCTTTCTCTCCCCTCCCCCACAAAAAATAATGACTTTAATGAGTAAACTTGTCTGACACTTGGAAAACTTTTAAATGTTCAAAGGTCAAAATACGGATTTTTAAAACACTTGCATTTCATTTTCTGAAGCTGTGCAAGGAGCTCATTTAATCATTTTTATATCTGCTGAATCTGCCTGAATCCTCATATTCAGGGGATATACGGCAGCTAGAACAACTTGCATTAATATAGTGCCCTTCACACAAGGTGACTTCCCACAGGGCTAAAGCAATAAAGGAAAGTGAGTAGAACATCTTTAGTTTATGTTACTCATTTACTGGCCTGCTTGTTTTCTCCACTCAACAAACTTCAGCCTGCTTCATGTCTACTGCCCCAAAGGTTGGTAAATTGACAGATGGAACAAAAACAATACTCTTTCAGTATGATAATTATACAATGTACAAAAGTGATTTTGGTTTTGTTGAGCTTATGAAAATATTTGGAATGAGGGGACAGTTGTTCTAATGTACTAATATGAAGGGATTTGACAAAAGGACTGATTCACTGAAATGACAATGTGAAACATGTGAAACCTGAAGCCTATCTAAATTAGAGCTCCTAATTGTATTTCTTGGAGTTTTTTTTTGCACATGAGGTATCTTCCAGTGAAGGGTATTGTATCCTCAATTGCAAATATAATCTTTCTTCCCTGGACCAATGTTCATCTGGGTGTGAGGCGTAACTCGCTCACTCCATTACCAATTGTTCGAGAGATCACTGAAGTGCCACTACACCAGATTTTTTTTCTCTCCTTTCCTCCTGGTAGAAATATTGCAACCACTTTATTGCCCTTTTTTTCTCGTGCACCTCGTCACTTGGAGGGGAGGACGAACAGCTGATTTTGTCTATGTTACACACGGTTCATCCACAAGGAGGAGCATGAGAACGTGAGAACAGTGTGTTGACTATGCCCCTCAGTGAGAAGGCTTCCACTGCTGTGAAAACAACAATGTGCTATTCTTTTGCAGGGTCTGGGCACCGATGAGAATACCCTGACCAGAATCCTTGTCACCAGGTCAGAGATGGACCTGCTGGATATTCAAGATCAGTACAAGCTGTTAGCTGGCTGCTCAATGTCCTCCACTATTAAGGTAAGACTGAATTGTCAATTGAGATAAAAAAAATTCTTAGCCTCATCTCTTCCCCTCGCCCTGTGAGTTTGTCATAATAGTTTTCTTGTGAATGCCATTTGATAATTAATAATGTAATAGTTTACCTTTACATGCCAATCAGATTGTGAACTTGCTTTCAACCATATAATGCAAGCTCCAGTTCAGCCAGTTGCACTCTTGCCTCTGAGTCAGAATATTGTGGATTCACGCTAGGAACTCGTACTCTAGGTTGACACTCCAATGTAGTTGAGCTGGGGTGTGCTGCATTGTTTGAGGTGCTGGCCTTCAGATGAGAAATTAAACCAATCTGCCATCCCCATATCTGTGGATATTACAACAACAAAATTACATTTGTATAGCGCCTTTCACGTTGAGAGGACGTCATGGCGCTATTCACCCATCAATCCCCTAAATAAAATTGGTCATTCACTTCATGGTTGTTTGTGGAACCTGTTGTGAACAAATCACTTGCAATGTTTACCAACAAAACACACAGTCTCACCACTTTACAGTGAATCCTGTTAAATGCTTAAGACATGTTCTCTCAACATGAAAGGTGCTATATCAAATGCAAATATTTATTATCTGAAGAGCCTGCATGGGTACATAATTTGGAACATGGATGAAATCCAGTACAATTTGCAGCTAAATGCTTTCAACCACATCAGAAGAATACAGGTTGGGGGTCAGTGGGGGAGGGCAAGAAGGGGGGAGGAGAAAAAGAAAGCTATATTAGATGTACAAGGGTGGGTTTGTAACTTATTCTTATGTCAATTAATCTTTCAGTTAAGGGAGGTGAAATTTTGAAAACATTTTTTTAAAAAAATTTGAAAAATGGGCAGGGACCATTTCTTTCCACATTGTTTTTGAATGTTCAGCAGCAAAATAGTTTTGAGTGTCTGAATATTGTGACTTTAAATTTTACAACCTCTCTCTTCTGTTTTTTTTAAAAAAGAGTGAAACTTCTGGAGACTACAAGAAGCTTTTGCTTAAAATCTGCGGATCAGAGAATTAAACAGTCAGCAAATAGCAGATAACGGTGTGGCTTGGATTTCAACGTAGAGAATAGATTGGCTTTTGTTTGAATTGTTTAGTTAGAGTACAAGACATAGTGTTTTAAATGTCTTGTAATTATCTACTGTTTTACTGGTTAATTGTAATTGCATCACTGTAGAGGACTCATAGGACTGATGCTGACCGTCAGAGAATGATATTGTTGGGAGAATTCTGCTTGTTTCAGAATAAACCTGGATCAGATAATGTAAAGAACTCTGTTAAACCTAGCTTGGATAATTTATTTCAGTTTTGGTTCATTTTCACTTGTCCTTGCCAACAGTCTTCCAAATAAAATTATCCATTCAGTTCCTGGCTGTTTGTGATACATTACTGTTTGCAAATTTGCTGCTGTGTTCGTGTACGAAATACTTACAACAATAACTTGCACTTATATAGCGCCCTCCACGCAGGGTAGCGTCTCAGAATGCTTATCTTTTTACTAAGCTTTACAGAAATCTTATAAAGTGCATTGAGATGTTTCAACAATGTGATAAAATAATACAATACTAAATTACATTTGTATAGAGCCTTTCACGTTGGGAGGACATCATGGTTCACACAACACGTTGATGCATAAAAGTAGAACATCTAGAGAAGATCTCATTAAAAAGACAAACATTTGAAGAAAAAGAATATGGAATTAACACTAAGTAGTTAGTCCCAGTGGGTGAGCTAGCGACCTAGGTATTGTTTAGTTAGTAACTGTAAAGCCAAAAGCTGTGTCTTTTTCCTGACATTGAAGATGTTAACTATTGTAAATGGTTGATACCAAATTACACAATGTACTGGTTGAATGCATGACTTGTTATACCAAGAAAAAAAGTTCTCCAATCCGCTTGTCTCACTTAAATTGCATACAAAACACTAATATTTCCAAAGACAATACTTCTTTTGTGAATCATTTCAATCGTTGAAAATCATTCAAAATGTTGATGGAAATGAGAATGACAAAGCAGCTTCAATAGTATCTGGTTGAATCGCTTAAGATATCGCAAGACCTAAACATAGTAATATTGGATTCCGCTGATTATTCCTACATGGACCAAAATATTGAAGGATCAGCCATCTCAAAAGTAGTGGCAATCTTTTACTAAGGACTAGCAGTTCAGCAGTAACCATGCATACACTGCCACTCAATGACTACTTAATCCTAAACATTCATAGCCATTTTAGCCTCTAATTTGGAATTTAAAAAAAGTAAGCATCTTCATCATAGTGTATACTCAGTAAGTTTAATATTACTGGCTGTTTGCAAGTACAGTATTATGTTTATTAAGTTCAACATACTTTCCTGTTTTTTTGATTTGAGTTTTCTTAATGCTTAATCTGTTTCCTTAATAAACATATCATTAATAGTTCAGATTTATGGTTCCGATTGTTTTATTTTTTTTCTTCTATTTTGTCACAACTTTTTGTTTAAAATGGGAAGCTTCAGTTCATTACAATGGCCGATTGATATTGCGGCTTGATGAAGCATTTACAAACTGGGCACATATGGAGCATAAATGTATAATCATTTATCCTAACCACTTGGTACAACTATCGAAGCCATCAAATGCAGCTAAAATTAGACCAAAATGTAGCTTGACATCATCCGCAGACATGGGGTCAATTTCCACATGGATGCGGATGACACCCAACTGTACCTCTCCGCCTCCACTCTTGACTCCAGGACCACTGCTGTGCTGACAGAATGTCTGTCAGACATGAAGTCTTGCATGGGAACTAACTTTCTTCAGTTGAACATCAACAAGACCGAGGCTCATCTGATTGGCTCCCGTCAGCGCCTCCACACCTCAGGCACTGACAACATCACCATCCATGGTGGCACACTCCACCTCACTGAGCCAGTCTGGAAACTTGGTGTCTTGTTTGACCCTCAACTATCCTTTGTGCCCCACATCCTTGCCATCACCCGCTCTGCCTTCCCCCACTTCCACAACATCGCCCGGCTCCGACAGTGTCTCACACCTCAGGCCGCCGAAATCCTCATATGTGCATTCATAACATCGAGGCTTGACTATGCAAACTCCTTCCTTGTTGGCCTCCCCAACTCGTCCCTCCACAGACTGCAGATCATCCAGAACTCTGCAGCCCCTGTCCTCTCCTGCACCAGACTCTGTGACCCTATCACCTCCATCCTCGCCTGACTCCACTGGCTTCCCGTTGCTCAGAGGATATAGTTCAAGATCCTGGTCCTCACCTTGAAAGCCCTCCATGGCCTGCTCCCTCCACTTAGTGGGCTCCAGCCTGCTTCACATCCCCCACCACACCCGCCCCACCATCAACGGGCGTGCCTTCTGCCACTCTGCCCACACCCTCTGGAACTCTATCCCCCAATTGCTCCATCTCGCCCCCTCCCTTGCCTCCTTCAAGACCCATCTCAAGACCCTCCTCTTCGACCGTGCAAATTTAAAAGCATGGATGGATCTTGTTAACAAAGCCATGCTGAAGGAGTTAACATTTGAATTCACAAACGCATTGACTGCATTTATTCACACCTTGATGGTTTATATAACAATGATAACTTGCATCTATATAGTGCCCTTCACATAAAATAACATCTTGTGCACTTTGCAATGGCGGGGACACCAGGGAAGGGTTGTTGAGGCAGAATTGACCATATGAAGTGACCTTGAAGTGAAAGGTTTAAAGGTGGGACTTGGAGACAAAGAGTGGGGGGGTAAGATGGACAGACAGAGGGTTAGACAGAGAGGTTGAGGGAAGGACTTCTGGAGTTTAGGCGCATATAATTGGAAAGTTTTGTTCTTGATTACGGCACAGGTGAGGTAGGGCACCTCAGCACACCTGAGTTAGCCGAGCGGAGGGACAAGCAGAGTAGAGTTAGAGATGCTCAAGTACATGATGTATTTATATTGCATCAGGATGGTTTTGAAACCTGTATATGAATTCATTTTGCCCCAAACAATGATTATATTCTTCAGTACTAATAGAAGCTGTACTTTGTGTAGTCACGCACAAACTGGCTGCTGTGTTTGCCTACAAATATATAGATATTACACTACATTTAAGACTTTGAATTGAATAATGCTTCTTAAGTAAACTCCTACAAGTCTTTGCGATTCGAACCCCTGACTACAATTTAGCTATATATCTGATTGTGTGTAAGACATTTCACACAACTATAGCACATCATCCAGAACTTTTCTCACATATAACATGAATTCAAGGAAAGCAAAGAATGAAATTATCAAATCTAATAGTACAGCAAAACTAGAATAAACTTGATCTAAATCAGACCATCACAAAATGTCATCTGACCTATTTCCCCAGGGAATACTGAGACCGCCCACTATAGACAGCTATAAAAATAATAAGAAGGTTCCCTGAGGTAACGTCCACTTTAAGCTGTATTATTCCATTGTGCAACGCTAAAGAGCCATCAGTGCTATCACCTGGAATAATAGGGTGGCCTTTCAAAACCCATTGTATGATATTAGTTCCAATCTGCCCTGTTGTTCTTCAAAACGCTTATGTTCTTCTAAACATGTCAAGATTGTAGACCAGATTGACACATAGTAATACATTGTCAGAGATGCTGTCTTTCCGATGAGACATTAAACTGAGGTCCCATTACATTATTCAAAGAGAGAAGGGAGTTTCTTCCAGTACCATGGTCATCAATCTTCTACATTATAATAATAAAAATAAGTAGTCCTTGCATTTGATATAGCGTTTTTCACATCTTCTAGACGTCTCAAAGCCCTTCACAGAATATATTGTAAAGTGAATTGACTGTATATTTGTGGGTGGAACAGGGCAGCCAATTGCACACAGCAATGTCCCACAAACAGTCGTGGACCAATTTATTATTGTTTTGTTTTGGAGGGATTATTATTAGGCGTGTGGAGTAAGGAAACTTGCCCAAGGTTTCGCTCTGCCTGGAATTGAACCCATGTGTCTCGCTTGCAAGGCGAGTGTTCTAACCACTGAGCTACAGGACTCCATGAAAGGGAGTCAGCATGGGTTTGCAAAAGGTATGTCGTAATTAATTGTTCACCTCATGACTATTTGTAATCATGATGTGAACACAAATGGTAATTATTTCTAAAGTGCTTTGAGGTGTTTGAACCTGATATAAGTCAACAAATTTTCCTAATACTAAGAAATTCCATATTCATTACATACATAATTAAGAGCAACTGGGATTTGCTGGGACCCTATGTGTACATTAAAAATTCACCTGGTTTACACATGATTTACACATGGTGCATAATAGACTATTGAAAATATTTATAAGTGGCAGAGACAATAACTTTTAAAGGTCCACTGCTTTTAAAGTGCTGAATATCCTGAATAAAATAAATTATTTAAAATAAGAAATGTATTTTTTGGCATTAATACAGCATTACTTATTCTGTTGAACTTGATAAAAACCATTGGTACAAGGGCATTAAATAATGTACATTATGTATATTAATAAAAAAAACCTATGTAATATTTATAACACCGGTCAAGCACTATATATACACATTGTCTATAGTGTGGATTACTGAAGGAAAACAAGTTTGCAGCTTGTAGATATTTTTTGTGGGTCAGCTGGGTGCCTGACCCATGCAGAAAACCATCACCGTGCTTCAGAATGTCTAAACTAAACAGAGAGTTCCACATGTACCACTTATACATGGAAATTCCCGAGATATTTATTGGAATGGAATGTGCATTCACTCCCTAGAGGACGTATCCTGCTTTCCTAATTCCAGAGAGTATTAGGTGCAGGTTGGCAAGAGTCAAGGCTTGGGAATCCCAGAGAGTGTATTGAGGTACTGCTGGAGTCTAACCAGCTAAAACTGCTTGTCATTGAGAGTACTAGACTACCAAGACTGCCACAGTAGGTTGGCTCAATTCTGACCGTCCGTTGCCAAACATGTTATCTTGGAGCCAAATCAGCTCCAAGAAGACCCTGCCTATCTCTCCCCTCCCATCTCCCCCACCCCCACCCCACTCCAAGGAGTATAATCCTCCAAAGACTATAGTCCTAACAAGTGACTATCCTTCTTGGGGGGAAGCAAGTGGGATCTGTTTGGGGCAGAGCTGGTTCCAAACTGATGTACCTTGGAAAGGAATGTTGAATTCCAGACAACATCCTCCAGTGGTCTTGGTAATCAGGTTCCTAAGACAGACAGGTCAGCAGTTCACCAGAGCACTGCTAATGGCAGACCAGCCAACCTAACCCATTGACATGACTTGGAGAGCTAGACTGGGGCAGAGATTGTTCCCACTCTGCTCCTGTTAACCCTGAAAGCCAAAG